TTTCACTTGATGAATTGACTACCCTCTTTTCCTCATCTAACCCCTACATGTGTCATTCTGTTCCCTCCAGGATGCTGAGGCCGCTCCTTCCCTGACCCCCTAATTATATATCCTTTCTGTCACAGAATCCTGAGAGTTAAAAAGCCTCATATAACCAACATGCTTAAGTCTAATGAATGCATGAAGGTTTTAAGGCCATAGAGAAAGCTGTCCTTGCCAGGCTTAGCTCACCTTGGGAAGGACTACATAATCAAAACTTTGTTCCTTTCCAGTCTACCGGAGAAGCTCAGCGTGTGAGGAGGTCTGAGCTAGTTGCTGCAGCTCAGAACGCATGGCTTTCACAAGCCATTGTTGTGTTCCTAGACCAATAATTTAGGAATTGTCACCCACTTTGGAACTAAGCCAAGTTTTACTGCCTGTGTGTCTTTTCTGACTGGTGTATGGAAAACCACATGAACCTGACCTTTGGAGAAACACACACACAACAAATTTTATTTATATCCCGCCTCCCCAGCCAAAGGCTCAGGGCGGCTAACAACAACTTCAAATAATCCAACATTCTAAAAGATTCATTATAAAATTAATTAAATCAATTTAATCAAATTGATGGCAAACTATTGGCAAAAATTTGTGCAGATTGCCAGGAGGAGGGGCCGGGCTGCGCCCTGATCAAAGGCCTGGTGAACAGCCTGTCTTGCAGGCCCAAGGAAGACACCCAGGGCCCTAGTCTCTAGACAGAGTTGCCCCACCAGATTGGAGCCGCGCCGCAAAAAGCCCTGGCCTGTAGCTGAGGCCAGCCTAACTCTCTGTGGCTCTGGGATCAGGATGTTTTACTTGCAGATCCGTGAATTTCTGTGGGACATAACAGGAGAGGCGTCTGGTGGTACCAGGGTCCTAGGCCGTATAGGGCTTTGGGGCCAAGAAACCAGCACCTTAAACCTGATCCAGACCCACCCAAGCCAGTGCAGCTGGCAGTAACGATGAATGAGATCTCGCAGCGAAGACCCTATGAGTCTCACGCGCATTCTGCACTCCGCTGGAGCTCTGGGCCAGCCCCACGGGCAGCCCACGTGGAGCAGTTGGCATCAGTCAAGCCTGGAGGTGACCGTCGCGTGGATCACAATGGCTAGGTCAGGGCGAGAGAGATAAGGAGCCAACTGCTTAGCCACTTAGAAATGTAAGTAAACCAATTTTTTACTTACTAAACATGTGGTCTTTTCCTTTGCTGGGGGAAGACGGACGTTTTGGAACTCACAAGGGGGTATTTTAAAGGTCTAACAGCCCATATTTTCACACTTTGCTTTGCTGTATATTTTGTGATTTTAAAGCTGTGCTGGGGTTCTTTCACCAAAGAGTACTTGCCCCAAACCTGGATCTTGGCATCCAGGAATTCTAATTTTAAACCTATATTTTTTCCCCTTGAACCAACATGTCCATTCTGCTTTCATATTCTGTGAGGGGTAAAGTACAGGGCCCAGAATTCTTTGAGGGGGCAAAATACGCTTCAAATGTGCTTCAAAGGTGTAGCAAATGCTACATGAGGTTTCAGCTGTGTGGTGGCCAACTGCAGAAGGGCTTGCTGGAGTCCACTTATTGCCTGAGTGACACTGGCTCCATCCTCACCCCAGGAAAATTGCAGTGTCTCAAAATACACTCGTTAAGCAGCAAATCTGTTCCGTCAGATTCTTCTCACTGTGAAAATGAACCTGGCTCCACAAACTCGATGGCAAAATCTTCCCCTGGTGGGAACAGACGCGTCAAACACCTGTGTAGGGTGAATGTCTGGAAAATGTGTCTATACATGGATAAAGGATTGCTCTACTAAGAGAAACAAAAATATCCACATTTTTATAGAGGACCGTATTTGCATCTAAGGGCTCCAGGTGCAACCCCTGGTATTTCACGTTAAAAGGGATCTAAACAGCTGCTGCTTGAGGCCCCAAGAGAACCACTGCCAGCCGGAGGATATCAGCCTTTGCCAACCTGGTGCCCTCCCTATGTTTTTGGACTACAACTCCCATCAACTTCAGCCAGCACAGAATGATGGGAGTTGTAGTCCAAAACACAGATTGGTGAATGCTGGAGTGCAGAGTTCCAAGTTGGAGAGCCCAATAGAGCCTGACTCAGTACAGTGGTACCTCGGTTTGCGAACTTAATCCATTCTGGAAGTCCGTTCTTAAACCGAAACCGTTCTTAAACCAAGGTGCGCTTTCTTTAATGAGGCCTCCTGCCACCGGTGCCCTTCCACTGTTCGGATTCCGTTCTTAGACCGAGGTAAAGTTTGCAAACCGGGACACTACTTCCGGTTTTGCGGAGTTCGTAAACCGGTTCGTAAACAGGACTGTTCTTAAACCGAGGTACCACTGTAAAAGGCATTCAGTTCAATGTCATCTCACTTCACCTGCCCGGCTGACTGGTTCATATTAAGTCCTAATTCCTTCAATAAGATTAATAACGGGAAACTTTAAACAGGGTGTTGATTCTCCCTCATTATGTACTCGCTGCCTTTTATTTAATCGAGCAGTCGCAGTTCTATGCACCTTTGGAAGAAAGGATGCGATCCTACAAATGTTTACCTATGAGGAAGCTGAACACACTGGGGATTTACTTCTGAGCAGGCTATGCTGCAAGCCTCCATAAAATCAGAGGGGCTCACTTCTGAGTAAACTGTGCATTAAGACTAGGCTGGGGACATTTAAAACGTCGCCTCAATCAAAACAACAATTCCAGGTTCATCTAGCCACCTAACGTGTGAACCCGGCTGGCGTGGTGGTGGGGCTCAGAAGCAAACCCTCCATCAACCCCCCCTGTTCCTAAGAAGCTCAATTTCCCACTTGCCAGTAGCAGATTAAAAAAAAAAAAACAACCAGAAACGGGGAGGGACCTCGTCTGTCAGAGCCTATGTAGATTAACCTTTCAATTAGCTGTTATCAAGTCCTGTGTTTTAGAACCAGCCCTTGCGATCTGCGGCCATTTAGCATCAAGAAAGGTTTGAGGATTTTTTTTATTAATTTTTTTTTTTAGGGGGGAGGCAGAGCTGCGGGAGCGGGGAGGGCATGAACAATCCTAATTCTGCGTCCCTGTGTTTGAATATGTACTGAAACCTCACTCCCCAAATCCCAATCCACGACCTGATTGTTTGCTTGCAACCTTTTTTTTTGGGGGGGGGGACCGGGGGTGTAAATATATTTCTATACATCTATGTTTCCGCACGTCTCTGTGATTTCCCCTCCCTTTTTGGGGGGGGGGGGAGAATAAGAAGAGAGGCTTCGCAAAGGCGAGAGGAGGAGGAGGAGGGGACAAAAAGGTATTAATTTTTCCTCGTAATGTCGTTGCGTGCGATTTGGTGGGGCGCAAAAAAGAAAGGAGGGAGAGCTTTGATTGCAAATAAATAAATAAAAATTATGGGGAGAAAAATCCCAAATCCGCTACATCGGGATTCCTCCCGCACTCTCTGTCTCTCTCGCCCCCCGCACCCCACCCCTTTCCCAATTTCCTTCTGGCTTCTCCGTTTATTTGGGAAAAAAGGGGGTGGCGGAGAGGGGGAAAGGGCTCGCGAGGGTGGTTGTGCTCCTGGCTCGGAGGGAAAAGGCAGCGAGGAGCTGCCGCCGCCGCGATCGCCTTTTCTGGAGGAGCAGCGGCAGCAGAGGCAGCATTCCGCCCGAACCGCTTCTGCAGAAACATCCCCGAGCAGAGAGAAAAGGAAAAAGGTCGATTTGCAAGCTGCAAAGGTTGGGGAGGGACGGGGGGCAGAGAGCCTGCAGCAATGAGGTTATAGAGTTGCAGGAGCGCGTATATGTATGTATATATATATATGGGTGTTGGATCGCGTTCGGGAGCTGCATGGGCAAGGTTGCAACGTCCTGCAACAATGTCTATTTGTCCTCCCCCTGCTCCCCTTTCTGCTTTTGCGAGCTCCGCGGGAAGGGGTTTGTTGACGATCCAGATCCGTGCGGGGACTTTTGCAAAGCTTTCTACGAGCCGGAGAGGCCCGTGCACGTGTTTACAGGCACTTCTGCCGGCTCCGCGCGATTGTATTGTAGTGGCCCTTTGCATTTCGAGGGGGGGTGGGGGGTGGACAAGTCGCAGCAGCAGCAGGCTGGGCTGGGAGAGCGGCGGGGCGGTTGCCGAAAGCAATCTGGTGTGTGCGTGCGTGTTGCATCCCCCCCCTGTGTGTCTTTCTAGGCAGCGATTGTTTTCTGCAGAAAATGGGCGGGTTCGGGGGAGTCCCGGGTGCATTGCAATATAGCTGGGAGGTTTGCGTGTGCATGCATGCATGCATGCATATAGGCGGCGGTGGACTTGCATATGGTCGTGTAGCTGGGAATCAATTGTCCGCTATGCCGCGGTCGTGCGAAGGGTTGCTGCTGCTGCCGCCGCCGGTGCCAGGCACCTTAAGGGGAGGCGCGTTTCCGAATCGCGATGAGGACATGTTTGTTTTTTAAGTCTCGCCCGACCGGGTGGATGGCAAAAGGCTCCGGCGGCACGTGGCGTGAAACTCAAAGACTTAAGCGGGCGCTTATTAGTGTGTGTCGCGCGCCCGTCCGCTCCAAGCACGCTTAAGCGTTCTTCTCGCCCTCCCTTCCCGCGATAGGGCGCCTCTGCCGCTTTAAACTTCAGCGGGGGGTGGTGGTGGAGGAGAAGCGGCTTGATGGACAGCCGCGGCGGCCTATAAGAAGCCTATCTGTGCCGTCTCGTTTCCTCTTCCACCTTCCCATTCGTAACCGTTCTCCAATGAGAACCGAGGACAAGGCGGCGCTCCGCGTTCCGAGGAGCCCTTGCCACAGAAGTGCGTTCCCACCCGCTCCCTTAAGAGGCGTGATTGACGTCGCGCGCCCTCCAATCGCTGCGGACGCGTCGGAGAAAGGCGTGAGGGGGGGGTAAGGCGGAGATGATGGACAGGGCTGCGTCGCCAATGAAGGTGGCTGCTTACCCCTGGTGAGGCGGGGCTTTACCCCAGTCCTCGAGGAGGGGAGGAGGCGGGGGACGGCAAGGTAGGGATGCGCCGCGTTGATTGCGAGACAAAATGGCGGCGGCTTGAAAAGGCGAGAGCGGCGGCGCGGAGGGAAGCTCGCTGTCGAGGGCGCCGGCAGCAGGGGGCGCAGCTGCGGCAGCTCCCGGCCGTGGCTCCTCCCTCGTGGGCCGCTTCCCAAGCCGCGGGGGCGGGTCGCGAGGGCCGCCCGCCGCCGGTGAGGTGAGTGGCGGGACTGAGGCGGCCGGCCTTCGCCCCGCGGGGCTGAGGGGAGGATCCGCCGGGGCGCCGGGCGGGGGACCCAAAGGAGGAAACAAGCAGGGGAGGCGTCTGAAAGTTAACTAATTGGGCTGCATATGAAGTGAATGTCAACCACCATATTATTGTGGTTGTTGTTATTTATTTTAATTAATTAAAGTGCGTTTTTCTTCGGCTTGCCAGCCATACTTTGCCTTGACTCGTGTGGGTTTTTTGTTTTTGTTTTTGCGGTGATCTTGGACTCAATATGGAATTGCTTACCTTGTGCTTCCCCCTCCCTTTTTTTAATAAATAAGAGTTTAATAGAACAAGGACGTCAAAAGGGAAAGGCATATATCATTGTAAGAGACTGAAGTTAACTAATTGGGCTGAATATAAAGTGAATATCAACCATATTATTATTATTGTTGTTGTTGTTGTTATTATCACCATCATCATTATTATAAAAATGCTCTTTTCTTCAACTCACTAGCCATACTTTGCCTTGACTCGTATGGGGTTTTTGATTTTGTGGTAATATTGGACTCAATCTTTGTGCTCCCCCCTTCTTTTTTAAAAAAGAAGAGTTTAGTTGAACAAGGATGTCAAAAGAGAAAGGTATACAGTATATCATTATTAGGGTCGACGATCCCGATTCTGTATATACCGTATTTGCTTTATTTATTTATTTTAAAAAATATTTATACTTTTCAGATTTATACTTTTCACTAATTTTACAATCATCTTTAAATTTCCAAACTTCACTTCCTTCCCCCTCTTTCTGCGGTTCCTTAAATATATTTTAAATGTCTTCTGCATATACAAATTAACGTATTTACCATATTTACTCTGATGCTCACCTTTTGGGGCCAAATGATGGTCGATTTGGTGGCACGTTTGCTGGCATAAATGCCTTTTTTTGGAGGGATGTTTCAAGATTCCAAAAACGGAGATACGCATTAGGTTCAGTGGCGCATTAGGTTCGAGTAAATACGGCATATTATCTATTACCTAAGGTTTGCTGTTAAAGGTTTATTTTTAACCCGCCGTAGTTGTGTAAATGTGCTCCAAATATTGTCGTACTTGGCCTTTGTTTGTTTGTTTGCTGTTTACATTGACTGATGTGCTCTGCATTTTGCTATTTTGCATTTTTCACTTGTGTAGGATTGTGAGGTGCTGGACGTTTCGTTCGCAAGCCACTTTGGCCACACTTTGGCGTGGAAAGTGGTATATGAGTGAAGTCAGTTTGTCAGTCGGTAGCCCCGTAAATGGCGCTTGGAGGAGGAGGGCAGGAATTGGGAGGTGGAGAAGGAGGGCTCTGGGGGTTTTAATTTTAGAAAAATGAAAGCTGAAAGTTCAGCAAGAGGGCTTGAAGCATCCCTAAGGGGACTTGTCTGAGATTACATGGCAAGCCCTGCTCTCTTCCCTCATTGGCTCCCGTCAAAACATAGCAGGTGTGTGGTCATTATTATTCATAACTTAATTTAGAACCTATGATGATTGCAATGATGTAACAAAAATATGCCATATGTGTGTGTGTGTCTATTTTCTAAGCACGACTGTAAATATCAATATTGTAAACATTATCCAAAAATTAGAAAATGCTGATTTACCACATACAAAAAACTCCTCAATATTTATATTGTAAATAAGCTCCATGAATTCAATTAGAGAATTCCATTTATTTATTATAAAAAATCTGTATTGTTTGGTATAATTCAATATTGATAATTTTGTAAGTTTATACAGTACTTCTGCCCTCCATTTTTGTTTGTTAGTTTACCAGCCATTCTTTCACTGTTGGCGGTTACCTGTTTTTCCATTTTTGCAAAACCAGAAGAGTCACAGCTATTAAATACTTTATTAAGTCCTAGTGCTTGACCTGTTTATACAGACAGATCCCTAATGATATTATTAGGACTATGAGATGTCATGACTGATACAACCCCCCCCCCCAAACCCCACATTTTAATTGATTGGCAACTCCACCCAAATGCTTCACATCTGCCTTTGAGGCTCCATGCCTACACTGCATGGTATTTGGTCTGTGGAGTCATGTACCATTGATAGAATAATTTATAATGGTTTTCTCTTATGTGTACACATAGAGATAATTTTGGTTCTTGATATAATTTTTCCCTCAGCTCTCGTTCAGGGATTTTTCTACCAATTATTTTATCAACTCCCCCCTCCCCCCTGAAAACCTGTGCCAAGTTGTGAATTCACAGGTTATCCAATAAGACATAGATCATGGATTAAAAACCTATTCAAGGCTTTCTTTTTATGATACCCTCAAAAGTTCTTACTACACTTGCCATGTTATTCCTTCTTATATTTTCATCTGTATTGTTTCTTTATTGAAACATTACGCCATTGGACCCATTTGAAGAATTTCATTAAGTGTTTTGCAGTGTCAGTTACTTAAAGTTTCCGTATATATTATTATATATAGTTGCTTATCCAATTAAACACTGGGTTTTAAAATCATTAAAAATGGAGGTTGAAAGTAAAGATAACTTGGGTGTTAACACTGTTACTAAACCATTGGGTGTTGGTGTTAACATAAAAAATTGAGCATTCATCCTGATCTGTTTGCAGAAAGTTTGTGGAGAGGTTAGACAATGTCTATTTATCGAGCATGATTTATTTATGGGGAAGGTAGATGGCATGCCAAGCAGTTGTTATCCCACACTTTTCACTGGATTTATCTTGTCACTTTCCTTATCGCTAAAAGTCCTTTGAGTGGGGAAGCATGCTTGTAGCACGAGAGCATCAGATCAGCGTTAATTGTGCAACCTGAAGTAGTTGGTGTCTTACTGATTCTCACCCGAAAATACAGTGGTGCCTCGCAAGACGAAATTAATTCGTTCCGCGAGTTTTGTCGTCTTGCGATTTTTTTCCTCTTGCAAAGCACGGTGTCGGGAAAGTTTTGGAAAAGCTTCAAAAATCACCAAAGTCTTTAAAAACCTCAAAAAAGGCTACCACACCGCGTTCTATGAGTTGCTCCTCGAAGTCAAGTTGCAACTGTATTAACGGTGTTAAGAAAAAGGAAACAAACTTGCAAGAGGTTTCCGTCTTGCGAAGCAAGCCCATAGGGAAAATCGTCTTGCGAAGCAGCTCAAAAAACAAAAAACCCTTTCGTCTAGCGAGTTTTTTGTCTTGCGAGGCATTCTTGCGAGGTACCACTGTAGTTGCAGTCTGGAAGTGCCTTGTGATAGGATATATGTATATATGTATAATAGGTTCTGGGGTGGTTTTTGTTTTGCGGCACAGGAGAGGGAAGAGTTTAACCCTTTCCTTCTCCAGCCTCAGTTCTGACAAAGATCTTCCTGTCAGTCCTAGAAAAAAAAGCTTCCATTGGCAGGATGGGAGCTTTTCCCTGTAAAGCTAATAACAGTGTGTGTGTGTGTGTGTGTGTGACTGTGAGAGAGAATTCCTGCAGAGCAAATCTTTCCTTGGTTGGAACATGTGAAGTGGCATGGGAATTCTGTTTTACCTCACCCACATGTGAAATGAATCACCCGATGTTTCAGCCATGACTCCTTTTCACAGGCTACTTATGTGAAAGGACACTGTGTGATTAAAGGGGTGTATAGGCTCCCCGAACCTGCCTGCTAATGCACGAATGAATGCCTGTCGGTTTCCCTGCCTCAGGTATCCATGCTAATGCTTTGGTGGCAGCAGTAAGACCCAGAGAATTGCAAGTGTTGTCAAGGGGTGGGGGCGTGGGGCCCCGCAGCCTCCTTAAAAATCATTTGATGCCCCTTCATGTAAGTAAAGAATAAAGGCAGCTACAGTTTCTAACCAGCTGATCACTCTTCTCGTTAGAGGTCTCCAACATACAGTAGAGGTTTCCCCAATACTCTCACTGTGTCCTGTGAGCGTTGCACATGGAAGCATGATATCCTCCCTATGTTCCACTTTCAGGAGGAAAGGATTTTTGAGAATTGAAGTCCATGCACATCAAAACTCCCTCTTTGGTTGACTGATGTGTGTTCCTATTTGCTCTCCTGCTGTGTGTTTACACACCTCCCAGCCAGAGGTACTAAACTGAACCTTGATGTGAACTAACTCCATTGAAAAGCCTTGTCTTTGAGTTGCTTGGATGGGAGTCTTTGTAGTGGTTCATTCATATATGAAAGCCACCACTCAATTTTGCAGCTGTTTACTATCACCTTTAACCACTTCAATTTTGATTTTCAAAAGTTAGAAAAGATGAGTCCCATGAGCGACTGGTGTGTAACTGAAGGTAGCCCTGTTTAGGGAAGCTTTTAATGATTAATAGACTATTGTATTTTTATATTTTGTTAGAAGCTGCCCAGAGTGGCCGGGGAAACCCAGCCAGATGGGCGGGGTATAAAGAATAAATTATTATTATTATTATAACTAATTAGCCTTAGAAAATTATTTTTATATGTTTTTCGAGTGTGAGTTTATGAATTGCAAAATAAAAGCTATGTAGAATGACCTACTCTACACCTTTAGGTGCCTGCCATCAACTGCTGTCCCTATAATGTGTGACTTAACCTGGATTTAATCTGTAGATGCTTTTACCTCTGAAAAGTCTCCCTGATGTTGAGAGTGAGAATTCTTACTGCCTTATAATAATTTGTAACAAGCATGCTTGCTTATTGTCAGGTTCTTACAAAAGGGAGCAATTGCAGTGGTGCCAATGGAGAACAACACGGTGCTATTCATCCAGCCCCCTCCAAAAAACCCCACACTGCTTCAGTAGATCTCATATCATGTGGTCCAATGACCCCAATGTGCAATGATGATGGATCAACACAAATTTATTGACTTCCTAGAGTCCATCACTGTGTGTTGTAACTTGAATCAGTACTCTGACTGCACTGCAAAGACCCTGCTATATGTATTGAGGAATTTATTGGCAACAGTGACGCTGTTTATGTGAAAGTAGTGCAGTAATATAAACTTACAAATGACTTTACAGCTATGGTTGCCTTCAGTGGATGGATAACTTTTTTATCTCTCTTGCCCCAGCTGTAATACTATCAGACTTGCTGTTTTTGATTAGCAGTTTACTCTTAAGTACACTTATTATGGAGTAAGTCTGATTGAACTCAATATAACTTACTTCTGAGTAATTGTGTTTAGATTGCACTGCGGGAGTTATGGAGGGCATTTTTTTTTATTGCTCAGACTTCTCACAGAGTTTAAATTGCCTCAAAACTGAAACTTATTTATAAAATTGATTCTCTAATTGACTAGAGCAGCAAGGTTCTATAATTAAAACTGAACTTGTCTTGGGTAGAATTTGCATATTCTGTTAGCTGTATTGCAGAGGAAGGTGAAATGTCTATCCTTGCTGAATTCAGAGATCTAGTTACCAGCAGAGTTCTTGGCTTCTTTCCATAGTTCCTAGTCCATTTGGTTGAGGATTTCAAGTGTGGGTACATGTAGACCGGCATGTGTCCTGTTGTGCCAGAAGTGGTTTAGTCATGGTGGCCACATGACCCGGAAAGCTGTTTGGAGACAAACGGCGGCTCCCTCGGCCTGAAGTGAGATGAGCGCTGCACCCCATGGTCGCCTTTGACTTAACTGTCCAGGGGTCCTTTACCTTACCTTTACCTTAGACTGACAGCATTGTGGACCGTAGCTGAGGTTTTCTACATATGTTTAGGATAACTCAGCGGTTCATTGAAAGGTTTCGCAATTAGAAGTTCAGTAATGGTGGACAAGATTCCCTGAAAGACAGCTTGTTTAACAACCACTATTTTGTCAGTATGTCTGTATAGTGAAGAGTTGGGAACAATTGCCAGGTCTCCTGGGCCTTTCTGTGTAAATTGAGTATGAAATCTTAGAACATTCCCCAGACTCCTCAGCAAGACTCAGGGGTTACTCCAAAGGTAAATTGATGTGGAAAGGGTTCTCAGAAGGTATAAATCTTGAAAATTGCCATGCTAGGTTGATGGGCATGAATAGATTTCAACCTGGAGAATGGAAGAGAAGTTGACATTCAGCATCATTAGTGTTGATGTTGAAAATGTTACTGTAGAAATTATGGTCCATGTTCTGATGAGATAAGGAAGAGTGCTTTGCAGTAATGCCTTGTTGTTTACAAGCTGGATCAGAGTGGTAGGCTTTGCCTCTGGAGTTTTTGTAGAATCCAAGATCAGTGTTGGTGCCAGCAATGTGAGTCAGTATGCATAAGTATGCAGCCTAGGATTTACAAATTGCATGAAGGCTGCAAATCTAATGGGACCTGAGAGTAAGTGTGTATAAAACCTAGTGGGATTTCCTTTTGAGAAAACATGATTCTGACTGGTTTCTTGGGAAAGTAGATACTCTTTGCAGACAAGTACACACTATTTGACGGTAGGGAGAGCAAGGATTACACACCTCCGTCATTGGTGCTGTGCAATGCCAGGTCCATAGGCAACAAAACCGCCACCATGCGTGACTTTTTTGTCTCGCAGGGGATTGACCTGGCTTGCGTGACGGAGACCTGGGTACGGGAAGGCGAAGTACTCTCCCTACATGAGATAACACCCCCAGGTTTCTCTGTCCCCCATCAATCGCGGACTGTGGGTCGGGGGGGGGGAGAAGTAGCGTTGTTATTCCGGGAGGATTGCTCTTTCAGAGCTTTGCCATCACTGGTGATCTCCGGCATTGAATGTGTTGGTCTCGTGTGGGGCACCAAGGAGAGCTTGGCTGTCTGGTTGGTGTACCGATCACCCAGCACACCTGCAGCCACCCTGTCAGACCTGCTGGAGGTGGTGGCGGGCTGGGCCTTGGAGTTCCCAAACCTACTGGTTTTGGGAGACTTCAACGTCCATGCCGATGCCGCTCCCTCCTCACAGGCTCTGGACCTAGTGACTTCCATGGCAACACTAGGGCTCTCCCAGTTTGTTTTGGGCCCCACTCATCAAGCAGGCCACACGCTGGATCTGATCTTTGGGGCTGGCATAGATGTGATCATGCTCCCCACTGTGGAAGTGCCATGGTCTGATCGCTACGCTCTGAAAGCCAAGATTGACTTCCCGCTCCTCCCCGGCTCGGGTGGTGAACCTATTTGGGCTCGTCCGCGAAAACTGATGGATCCTGATAGATTCCGACAAGCCTTGCGGAACCCTGCTCCTCCTGGCGACTCATTAGATGACCTTGTTGAGGACTGGAATAACCGGCTCTTGGCAGCCATTGATGAGATCGCGCCTAAGCGCCCTCTGCGACCCCGTCGAAATCGGGCCCCTTGGTTTACTGAGGAGCTCTGGAAAATGAAGCGGGATCTCAGACGGTTAGAGCGAGTATGGCGACGGACTCGTGACGGAGCCTCAAGAACATCTTCTAGGACGCTTATGAAAGCCTATGAGATGGCTATGAAAGCTGCTAAGAAATCTTACTTTGCAGCTTCCATTGCATCCGCTAGCTCTCGCCCGGCACAACTTTTTAGAATACAGTGGTGCCCCGCAAGACGAATGCCTCGCAAGACGGAAAACTCGCTAGACGAAAGAGTTTTCCGTTTTGGAGGTGCCTCGCAAAACGAATCTGCTATGGGCTTGCTTCGCAAGACGAAAATGTCTTGCGAGTTCCTGGGTTTTTTTCCTTTCCCCCTCTTTTCTAAGTCGCTAAGCCGCTTATCTGCTTATCCGATAAGCTGATAAGCTGCTAAAAGCCGCTAAAAGCCGCTAATAGCGCTAATCCGCTAATCCCATCAATGGGCTTGCTTTGCAAGACGAAGAAACCGCTAGACGAAGAGACTTCCAGAACGGATTCTTTTCGTCTTGCGAGGCACCACTGTAATTAGGTCAATAATGTCCTTAGGAGGACAACCAAATTTAAGCACAAATTCGACCCACAGCTGTGAGGCATTCACGAGCTTTTTTGCGGAGAAAGTCCTGTTGCTCCGCTGTGACCTCCCTGCCAATTTAGATACAGTGACTGAACTGGAGGCCCCTCGACTGACTTCAGGTCCAGTGTTGGACCATTTCGATCGGATACTCCCTACTGATGTGGATAGATTCCTCCAAGTTGGTAGGCCCACCACCTTCCTCCTTGATCCATACCCGTCTTGGCTGATTAGGGAGCGTCCAGATGTTGCGCGGACCCCCCTGGTTGAAATTATCAATCTGTCCCTTGACATGGGGACATTCCCAGGGGAACTGAAGGAAGCAGTGGTGTGTCCACTCTTAAAGAAAACTTGATCAGATCCCTTAGACCTATCCAATTACCGCCCAGTTTCAAATCTTCCATACCTGGGTAAGGTAATTGAGAGAGCGGTTGCTGAACAGCTTGGTAGGTTTCTGGAGGAAACATCGGCATTAGATCCATTTCAGTCCAGTTTCCGTCCTGGTTTTGGGACGGAGACGGCTCTGGTTGCCCTAACAGATGATCTCCGTAGACAACTGGATCGAGGCGGGTCAGGACTGCTGATCCTTTTAGATTTGTCAGCAGCCTTTGACATGGTTGATCATGATCTTCTGGACCACCGCCTCGCAGACGTGGGGATACAGGGCATAGCCCGTAACTGGTTGTGCTCTTTTATCTCTGGTCGGGGACAGAGGGTGGCACTAGGGAGGGAAATGTCGTCGCGCCACTCCTTGGTGTGTGGAGTGCTGCAGGGCGCAATTCTCTCCCTGATGCTTTTTAACATCTTTATGCGCCCCCTTGCCCAGATTATCTGGAGCTTTGGGCTGGGCTGTCACCAATATGCTGATGACACTCAGGTCTATCTGCTGATGGATGGCCACACCGACTCGGCCCCGAACACACTGACCAGATGCTTGGAAGCTGTGGTTGGATGGTTTCGTGGGAGCCGATTGAAACGAAATCCTTCGAAGACAGAGGTCCTATGGCTAGGTCGGGATGGCATGGGGATGAGGGACCAACTCCCTTCTCTTGCGGGGGCCCAATTAGTGCCATTGCCTTCCGTTAAGAGTTTGGGTGTAATCCTTGACGCCTCCCTTTCCATGGAGGCGCAAGTTACAGCAACAGCCAAGGCGACATTTTTCCACCTTCGCCGCATCAAGCAGTTGGTCCCTTACCTTTCCCGCCCCGACCTGGCCACAGTGATCCTTGCGACAGTCATCGCCAGGCTTGACTACTGTAATTCGCTCTACGCGGGGCTGCCCTTGAAGCTGTCCCAGAAACTCCAGCGGGTACAGAATGCTGCAGCGAGGCTCCTCATGGGGTCTCTGCCATGGGAGCATATTCACCCACTGCTTTTCAAGCTGCACTGGCTCCCAGTGAAGTACAGGGTCAGGTTCAAGGTGCTGCTTTTGACCTTTAAAGCCCTTCACGGCCTAGGACCCTCGTACCTACGGGACCGCCTCTCCTGGTATGCCCCACGGAGAGCCTCAAGGTCCATAAATAACAACACCCTAGTGGTCCCAGGCCCTAAGGAAGTTAGATTGGCTTCAACGAGAGCCAGGGCCTTTTCTCTGCCTCATGAGACCAGGGCCCTGCACGATCTGATTTCTTTACGCAGGGCCTGTAAGACAGAGTTGTTCCGCCTGGCCTTTGGCTTGGAGCCAAATTGATTCCCTCCCTCCCTCTCTTTTTTCTTTTCATTCTCCTGCGATGAGGCTACATTTTAATATTTTAATGTTCCATTATTTTAATGTTGTATTTTATTTTTGTTTTTAAGTTGTAATCATTCATCTTGTTTCTGTTATTGCTTGTAAGCCGCTCTGAGCCCGGCCTTGGCTGGGGAGGGCGGGGTATAAATAAAAATAATTATTATTATTATTATTATTATTATTATTATTTTAGCTAGGTAGGTTAGAAGATCTATCTTCTAATGGATTTTCAACTGCTTCTTGATACCAGGTCTGGAGTGTAAATTTAAGGGAGGAATGTGTCGCATGCCTGGGCAGCATGCCTTCACAAATTTTAGTTAGTAGCTTCAACGTCTTGGCTATGCATGACCTGTAGAGGTGGAATTTTAAAAATAAAATTGTATACATCTGCATTCTTGTTGAGCGTTGGACTTTTGTTTTAAAGAGACTAACTACATACATCTTTTTAAAATCACTTTAGGCTTTTGTGAAGACTCGGAGATACTTGAATTGCCAAGAAAGAAAAGTCCATCAAATTGCAGAGATGTATTCCATCTGGTATAGCAGAACAATTCCAACTTTTCATGTTGGTTAAGGATTTTAAAGAAACATTTGCATCATCTCTTTTTTATGATATCCTAAGGATGGATTCTTGAGTTGGTGTTACAGTACATGAAGAGGTCTTCCTGTGTTGAATACTTATTGGAATGCTCACTAATAGGATTAGAGAGGAACTCTATGGGTAACACTTGCTCTCGAGAAATTACTGGTCAACCATGGTAAAACTTGCCAACCCACTTTACACAGAGTGGATTCTTGAAGCTATACAAAAAGTTAAAAGGCAAAAACAGAGACCATCTGAAGAGAGAATTTGTCATGCTGTGTGCGCATCCCATGGATTAGATAAGAAGACTGTTTCAGAACAGCTGGAGCTAAGTGTCCAAGATGGTTCTATTCTCAAAGTTACCAACAAAGGCCTTGCTTCCTACAAGGACCCAGATAATCCTGGGCGTTTCTCATCTGTTAAACTGGGTGAGCTTTCTAAGCCTGCTAAAGGATCTAGGGGAGCTTGTAATGAGCTTCGGAATGTGGATTGGAATAAACTTCTGCGCAGAGGAATTGAAGGGCTCCAGGAACCAAATGGCTCATCACTCAGAAACATAGAAAAATACCTGAGAAGTCAACATGATCTTGCAGGTATTTTCAACAACCCTGTGTTTCAACGGAGATTACGATTGGGGGCCAAACGCGCTGTAAATAATGGGAGATTATTGAAAGAAGGACCTCAGTATAGGGTGAACTATGGTAGCCTGGAAGGCAAAGGAACATCTAAGTACAATTCTTTTCCAATGTCTCTCCCACCTGTCAGTCTTTTGCCTCATGAAAAAGACCAGGTAAGTGTGAAAAGATTATATCAATGCAGGCATGTTCATTTGGGGGGTTTCACAGGAAGCATTAATGTGTGTTGCTTATATTTGAGGAAGTTTCACTTTTCTATTATTATTAAGCTTTATTGCCTCATTTAGAGAGGTTTTCCTTAATGTTTTAAGATTTTTTTATTATTTTTAGGTGGGCAGTAGTTCTATTTGAGAAAATAAGTGTCTTGGAGAGCAATTGGGCTCTGCTGCTCTTCAAGATTTGTGCCAATTGAAGCAAATGTATAAAGTTTGGAAATCTGAAGAACCATAGTCTTCTACATGTGTAATCACCCCACCTCATTAAAAATGTGTAGCTTTGTAGATAAACTATGGGCTCTTCAGTGATTGAAATTTAATTCTTAATTGTGCAGAAATTGCTGCTACTTATGTGATGTCATTGCTACTTGCACTGCGGGTTGTGGTGTGATGGGCAAGAATTTTGGAATTTGTGTGTGTATCTTAAGTGTAAGAGGAAATAACCCTTTTTAGCTTTTGACACCTTGAAGATTCTTCCTATATTCTCATTTTCTGTCTGTTCTAGAGTATCCATTTCTGTTTGTTATGTTACACTTCATTCCAGCTGAGGAATCTAATGGAATACTGAATCCTTTAATGCTGATGGTTTCTCTCTGTGATATTTGACTGGACTTAACCGTCCAGGGGTCCTTTACCTTTTACCTATCTACCTGCTTCACACCTGATGTCATATATGCTTAGGTATAGGGCCTGTGGGCATGACTTAGCCAAAGCAGCCTTACAAGCACATGCAGAGGCCTGGCAGGCATGGTTAGGTTAGGGCAGGCCCTAATTGGGTTCCCTTCCCCTTGCTGTAGTGGAAGCAAAGGAACCTTAGAATTATTTCATCTTTTGGCATTGGAAGGGGAAGCATGCACAGTTCTTATGCCTATATGTTTTCCTGTCTGCTGGGAATCGAAACTCCAGAATGGCAATGTCTGGGTTGGAGCTGTGGCAGAAGGGTTAAGATACCTCCCTACCAGGAGTTGACAGTTGTTGCTGGCCTAATCATATATAACATCAGGTGTGGGGCGGGTGACTGGTTAAGGAACAATTGGGACCTTAGGGTGAACTTGTGATGGTTCCTTTGCAAGCAGCACTTACTGTCAGTGTCAATTAGCTAATGTAATAATGACATCAGGCGATTGACAGGTGCCATCAGCCAAGTGGGGGGAGGGTTAAGGATCTGGCCGGCCGGATCCAGTTCCCCACCCCTTCCCTAGGATTACCTCTGCCTCACTAGTTGATTGTGCTCTACGAGTTTGGCAGGGATCCTTGGTGGACCATAGCCAGGAACCAAAGAATAGCATAACTAGTTTATACCCAGGCAGGCTTTGAACTTATTGACCAAAAGCTCCCTCTACCACAAATGGTACCTTGAAGTTCCCTTTGCTTTACAAAACAATCTATGATAAGGTGGAATGTGGTATGAGCTTAAATTCAAGCCCATCTTTTATAAAGCCAAGTTAGAAAAGCTATTATAAAAACAAATTTCACTGTTTAATCTTCAAGCCCAATATGGTAAAAACATGATCATTTCACACACTTTCTATGTATTGTTATACTTGGCAAGGAAACACATTTTTACTGAAAATCCACAATATGTGTCTTGTAGTACTATGAGGCTTCTTACTTTAACTGTTAAGTTTTATTCTTGCCAGTTCATTTAATACAATAGTGGATAAATGGAGGACCACTTGCAATTTTGGTTGGACCGTGTGATTCCTGCTGATTGCTGGCATTTTGCAAAGAATGTTGGATTCAGGAGTTTTAAAAATACAAATTTGCATATGGTGTATTTTAGTCGTAGTCTGTGTATTGTAGTTTTGCACTTCCATTAGTTCACCTTCCCCCCATGTTTGTGTATATGTGTGTGTGTGTGTGTGTGTGTGTGTGTACACACACACATGTCAGTTTCCTTTGCTTTTTTAGCAAAGCAATATTATGCTCAGGGTGTCCACATATAAATATTGTTCAGAGAGGGTACAGTTCAAAATCCTACAGAGGAAGTGGCTGCAACAATAATGGGAAGTGCTATGTTCCCTTGAGCAGTTATGATGACACTGACTCCCATGTCAAAATGTAAAATGTATGTGGACATTCTTGAAGTCCCAAGGAAGAAATGAAATATCCCATACCTACTTTCTTTTTTTGCACCTTAGCTATACTGCTTTAAGAGCATGTAGAATTTAGCTAGCAGATGAAATAGTGTGGTTTGGCATATTTATACAGCTTGCACTTACATGTTATACACATGTGTTATGCAGGAACTTGGCTTAAAGCCAACTTTTGCAGCTGCCAAAGCACAGCATATAATTATATATTTTAATGGATGGTATGGACTTAAGTGAATATCGCTTTGCACACATTCCAATTTTATTGTGTAATTTTTCCATGTTAACTCAAAAGCACTTCATAAAGCCATGAACCTTTTTTACCTTACAGTAAATGATCATTCTTCTTTCTAGATTTCATAGAATCACAGAATTGTAGAATTGGAAGGGATCCTGAGGGTCATCTAGTCCAACTGCCTGCGGTAGGGACCCTGCCAATGTAGGAATCCCAGCTAGATCATACATGACAGATGACCATCTAACCCCTTGCTTTAAAACCTTCAAGGGAGGAAAGCCCACTACCTCTTGTGTAAGTCTGTTCCGCTGTTGAACAGCTCTTACTCTCAGAAAATTCTAACTGATGTTTGGTCGGAATCTCCTTTCTTGTAACTTCATTACTTCAGGTCCTAGCCTCCAGAGCAGGAGAAAACAAATTTGCTCCATCCTTCATGTAACAGCCCTATTTGGTGTTGGCTATTCTATCTCCTCTCAGTCTGCTCTTTACCATGCCAAACATACCCAGTTCCCTCAACTGTTCCTCATGCAGCTTGGTTTCCAGACCCTTTATCATGTGCACACGTCCCAGCTTGTCAGTCTCCTTGTTAAATTGTGCCCAGAACTGGATACAGTACTTCAGGTGTGGTCTGTGATCTAGACACTATACTTCTGTTGATACAGCCTAAAATAGTATTAGGTTTTTTTGCTGCATCACACTGTTGACTCATACAGTGGTACCTCGGGTTAAATACGCTTCAGGTTACATATGCTTCAGGTTACAGACTCCACTAACCCAGAAATATTACCTCGGGTTAAGAACTTTGCTTCAGGATGAGAACAGAAATGGTGCAGCAGCAGCAGCAGCAGGAGGCCCCATTAGCTAAAGTGGTGATTCAGGTTAAGAACAGACCTCCAGAACGAATTACATTCTTAACCCAAGGTACCACTGTATTAAGCTTGTCGTCTACTAAGACTCCTAGATCCTTTTCACATGTACTACTAGCAAGCTAGGTGACCCCCATCTTACGTTTGTGCAGCTGGTTCTTCCTAAGTGTAGAACTTTCTTTGTCTCTATTGAAATTAGTTTTGCCCCAGTTCTCCAATCTATTAAGGTCATATTGAATCCCAATTCTGTTTTCAGCGGCATTGGCTACCCCTCCCAGTTTGGCGTCATCTGCAGATTTGATGAGCATCCCCTAAATTCCTTCATCATTTATAAAGATGTTGAACCACAATGGGCCCAGGACAGAACCTTGTGGCACCCCACTTGTTACTTTTTTCCAGGATGACAGGAAACTCTTAGTGAACACTATTTAGGTTCTGTCAGTCAACTAACTACAAATCCACCTAACAGTTATCTCATCTGATCCACATTTTACCAGCTTCTCCATAAGAATATCATGGGGGACTTCATCAAAAGCCTTATTGAAATCAATATATACTACATCTACAGCATTCCCCTGACCCACCAAGTTTGTAACTTATCAAAAATAGAAATGAGTTTTGTCTGACATTACCTGTGACCAAAACATAACCTTCCCAATAGATATAACTTTGTGGCTTTTAAAAAAGAAGTAAAGCTATCATTTAGGGCCATACTGCATGTTGAGTTGCAGCTTTCAAATTTATTTTTATGAAAGTAGCTGCAGCTGGAGTTGATCAGGGCTTTTGTAGTATCTCTGAAACAAATTCCAGCCCCAGTAGTTTTTAGCCATGAAGGTGAAGACTTCAAACAAGTTTTAAAACCTTAAACCCTGCAAGTTATTCATTCTGTGCCAAACAGCAGATATTATTTTTTTTGGGGGGGGGATCTTGTCCACATCTTTACCATCCTCTCTCAACACTGTTATCCAAATTCTGATCTCTGGTGCAACAGCTTTTATAAACTATAAGCACAGGTAATTTGGACCGTAGACAATGAAATACGGGTGTCTAACCTTATTTAACTTCTGGTTCATGGTTGTCATGATTGAATGAAGTTTATATTTAACCTGTGGTAAGTTGGAATTTGTTTAGAGTACAGACTGGAATTCTGACTGTCTTACTTCCATCATATTTGAATAGCAAGAGCATTTTCAGAGGTAATAATACAAAGATAGACTTAACCTGATTATTTTTACTTGAAAAATACTGGAGGAGGAAACATTTTCGAAAGGTTTTGAAATACTTTTGAAATGTTTCAGATAATAAAATTAAATAAAAATGGTAGAGGTGGGAGCTTCTTATGTTTAATGTGAAGCTTATTATGTTAAGCTGACTTACAAGACTTAAATATATCATTTTATTCATGACTAATTTTTAAAGAGAATTTTGCCTTGGGAATTCTTACGTTAAGGTCATTGTGTACAAAGGGTAGATGACACAGCTTTGGTGTTTCCCTTGTCTCTTTTTAAGTATAAAAGTTTGCTCTGTGTAGTTTTTAGCAGTGAGACTGGGCATCTGTTCAGCAAACTGGAGTAATCAAAGCCGCTTACCAAGTCATTGGCTAAGGATGCTTCTTAAAATTTCTGCAGAGTTCAGCCTTTTAAAAAAGCTGTTGCTAAGAGACAAATGTATGCTGACATGAGGGCATGTCAGCATGCTTCCAATTGTTTTAGAAGCAGTTAGGCCTGTCGCTTTGCAGATGGTAGAAACTCTCTTCATAGTGGTTGGATGTGTGCTGATTATCTCATTGAATTAAGGTAACCTTTTGTCATTCATTGAGGTCCTCAGCTCAGGCACTGAACAGCTGCTCTAGGGTCTCTCACCCAACATCCTTCCCCTTTTGTATGCAATGATTATGCTAAAGAGTGTCCAGGCTGGTGCCAGGTATTCAGCCATGCACAAAATAAAACTCCTTTTAACACTACTGTGTATGATTAGTAAAAATGATTTGCAGGGTCCTATATTTGGCTGAATGATAGATAGCTCTTCCTCAAAAGAATTTGCTAGCCAAGTATACTGAATGTCTTTATCCAAAGTAATTGTTTTTTAATAGAAAGATGGAAGGCTGACCTTTCCCTTATTTGTGTGGCTTTATGCTGCTAAAGTTCTCTGATTTTGCAATTTATTGGTTCCAGCTGGACTGTCTGTTTTTCTGTATATATTTGACTCCTCATATTGAACAGAACCAGTGCTACTATTTAGAACTAGCTCTGCAAAAGAGTGCAGTACATATCAGATGAAAATGAAGTCAATACTAGTGTGTTATGTATTGTTGTATGGTATTTATTCTTGAGGTCTGGAAGAACCACACTTTAGTCTTATGAGTGCTGAACAATAAAGTAACATTTCCAACTTCTGTATTCTTTATGAAGCCTGTATATTCCGGACTTGAGGAAATGAACCTGTCAGGTTTGGTAATAAAGCTGGCATGCCTGAAAAGAAAGCCTTCATAGTTATTCAGATGGTGTAAAAACATAAACCCGGGCCAGTGTGGGGTGCAGGAGCTTACAAATGGATGTGCTTCCTAAAAGCCCCCATCAGCTTTCAGATTGACTAAGATTTATTTGGTGACTTGCTGCTTCTTTCCTTTCAAGTGAAACTGAGCAAATGTGTCTTTTATCGCACACTAAGTTTTTTTTAAAAAAGTGACTAGGTAAAGATGCTTCATAGCCACATCCAAGTACTGATTGCCCATCCATTACACATGAGTGCATTTACTCAAGGTATGCCCTCATTTGTTTTTTGGAGCCTACTAGGGCTAAGGGTGTGACGGATTGCCACCTAAGCAGACTTGTGAAACTTTACCTTGTAAAATTATTATTTTAACCTCTCCCCCCCCAAGTACCTTGAAGCGGAATAATCAAGGGCAGACAGAGCTTGTCAGCAATTTTAGTTGCCAGTCCCACTCCCCTGGTACTTTTGCCAGCTGTCCACAAAGCTGTTGGCGTGAGCCATCAATACTTCTAGGAATGGTGCAGCAGATGTCTTAAGCTAGGCAAAAAGATGCCAGGACTGGCTGAATCAAGTCTGGGCATTCAATAAGCATTTGCTCCTCTTCCCCCCCCCCCCCGCCAAATACTGGAGAGTTGGCTGTGCCAGAAATGTACGTGAGAGTGAGAACACAGTGTCTTAAAAGCTCCTTTAATTGTTTGCCAAGCCTCCCCCCCCCAAGATCAGAGAATAATAGTGTCTGCTCTGCAGGACTTTGCAGAAGCTTGGGCCAACACATTGCAGTTGGGACTTATTGGCAGTCATGAGAGCTTGCCCGTGCTGGTTGCAAATTCTGTGGAGTCTTTGCAAACAGGATGAACTGCCACTTTGTTGTATTCTGACTCTCTGTGCCATATAGCAGAGGTGGGGAATCTTTGGCCCGCCAGATATTGCTGAACTAAAACTCCCATAATCTCTGGCCATTAGCCATGATTGCTGTAGCTGTTGGGAGCAACATCTGGAGGACCAAAGGTGCTCCACCCCTGCCCTGCCATACAGGTGACAGGTTCCTGATGCAAAATGTTGGAGATCAGATTAAACATATTCTGGAAATTAGAAGCTCTAAGTATTCCCTCTCAGCTCCGACAAATTGTTCTTTATGTGCTTTTTAAAAAGATCTATGTTTGGACTTTGCCATCAGTTATGTACACTGAAGCACTGATATTAGTGTTTCGTGGTGCAAACATTTTGCAGGAATCAGGGTGAGTTGATTTAAAACAAGGCAGTATAAATCAATTTTCCAATTTTCCTGAGGAAGCATGCATTCAAATTAAAACATTGATTTGGATCCAGACTTAGTCATACTCAGACTTGTTCAGATGAATGGGTCTTGAGTTAGTCCCACTGATTTAACTGGACCTACATGTGTGTCTGGATCTAACCCATTGATTTGTAACCTAAATGTATATTTCAGAACCTTTAATCTTGCAGCTCTCATGCCTTTTGTACTGTAGAATCATGTCTTGCTCATAAACAAGGCATGCATACATGTAAGATACCAAGACTGCTTACTGCTTAAAGTCTCAAGATTCCATTCCATGTGCACCTTTAATTAATTTCCTTGGGGAGACCCGTTCTTGTGTTGCCACCCTACAGACCTCTCATGGAGGAGGCACACAAAGAAAGGCTTCAGGTGATTAGAAACAAGCCCCACTGAATAAAGTGTAAGTTACTGCTGAGGAAATTTGCATAAGGTTGGGCTCTAAAAGGTGTCACACACTGTCCATAAATTATATTTGTTAAATTTTATTTTATTTTTTTACTTGCTCCAAAATTGCTTTGGGACTTTTAAGTGGGAAATAATATACAAATTTAATAAACCTTCTTCATGAGATGAAAGTCACTGTGTGCTATCTTTCGTCAATTGCAGGGGCTTAGGTAGTTTGTCATAAACTAGGAGTAAAAAATCATTCACATAGGCTCAGTGGATGATCCTTGTGAGATGCAGAACATTACCTGGATTTCCTGTCATGGTTTGTTCGCCGCTGGCCCCAGCATTAAGCTCTAAAGTGTGGACATCAACTGTTGTACCGTGCATGCTTTCCCCACAGCTTTTTCTATATAAAGAAGAGCAGCTTTTTTAAAATAAGGAAACAATTTCAGTTTTAGTAAATTAATATATTCAGAATTCTTTTGAAACCATGTTAGTTTTATGGGACGGTATTTATAACTGAAATATGCATCTGCTTTTACTTTTTTTAAAAAAAAAACCACCCTAATTTTTTTTTTTATCCACCCTGATAGGAACACTTCCTTCTCATAGAGATACTTGGAATGCAAGTAATTTGCAGAAAGTAGCAAATTTGATTGATTTGGATATCAGTGTCTGTAGGGACTTCAGCTCAGTGGTGGAGTGCATGTTTTGCATGAACAAGATCCCTGATTCAGCTCTTGGCATTTCCAATGAAAGGTAGCAGAGCTAGGAAAAATATCTGAGGCCCCGGAGAGTCACTTTCAGAGAAGATAGCAAGTCTAGCACAGGACTGTCTATCTGAAACAATGGAGAAGGCAGTTTAATATCTTAATATCTTAAGATATTAAACTATGAACCTATGAACTCTTCCTGCCTTTTAACAATTATCAAAGCAGCTTTTAAAAAAATCCTTTTCATCTTTAGGAAGTGCTGGAAGGGGATTTCTTCCTATTTCTTAAGTTAACTAGTAAAGTGAATGCCATAATCTTTAACAGTACAGTGGTGTGGATTGATGTACTTTTCATCCTAGTTGGCAGGGATATTGTTGCTTTTGGCAAAACACTTTTAGCTAATGACTGCCCTTCTGTTCTCTGTCCAAGGATACAGATTTCTATGTATAAAACCCAAGATAGATTATCTATTTATTGTTTATTATCATTCACCTTCCATGCATATATATCTCAAGGGTGGTGTGTGCAATATAATAAAAATAAAAACTAGTTAAAAACAGCACAAAAATAACAAGGTGGATTTAAAAACAATTCAAAATACACACCCATGGCAGAGACCTATTCATCCAGTTGAGAAATCTTGTTGGGAGGAAATGTATTCAGTTGTTTCCAGAAAGTGCAGATATTGGGCGCCTGTCGTAAATTGACGGGAATACTGTTCCATAGAACAAGGGCAGTCATACCGAAAGCCCTGCTCTGAGTTACCATAGAGTAGGTTTCTTATATCTTTGAAATGTGAAGTAGACGCTCTTCGGCAGACTGCAGTGACCTACTGACTTAATATGAAGGATAAGAAGGTATTTCAAGTAACCTGGTCCTGAGTTGTACAGGGCCTTATATCAAAACCCTAAATTTGGCCTGGTAGCAGATTGGCAGCCAGTTCAAATCCTGCAAGGAAGGAGTTAGATGCTGGTGGTTGTTTGACCCCACAAGCAGTGAAGCTGCTGCATTCTGCTTCAGCTGCATTCTCTGAACCAAATTCAACAGTAACCTCAAATAGAGCACATTGCAGTAAGGTTGAGGTTATAAGTGCATGGACAACTGCTGTTAAACGTTCCTGATCCAGGAATGGTGATAGCTGTCTTAGTAGCTCAAGCTGGTAAAAGGTACTCCTAGCAACTGAGAACACTTACACCTCCTGTGACATCCATAAGAACTCCCATACAATGCATCTGCACCTTCAGAGAGAGTGCAACACAGCTTCATTGTGGTTGTTGTTTTTCTCCTTGGCCCCTCTGCTTTTTTCCCCCTATTTAGTCTGATGGGAAAGGTGTGGAAAACTTAACAGCATCTTTACTATTTTGTGACATTTTGTTTTGCCTAAATGTATTGTCCTGATAAGGATATTGGAACCTTTCTTATAGGTTAACATGTCTAACAACTTTAAAATAAAATAAAAAACTTTTAAAACCCTGTATAAATTGGTTTCGGCAATTACTTGTCACTCATAGACCTGCAAGATTGATAAGTGTGTTCCTATAGACTACAATCACAGGGGCTAAATATATTAATTTATGGTACTTGAAGGTAAATGAATCTCATGCTGCTCTTTAGCCTAATCTGTTACTGTAAAAACTGTACCACTCAATGTGTTTCTCTAAGTAATTCTGTTGCTTAAATCCAATTACTGTACAGTGCTTTTGAATTCAAGTTTATGTTGGCTGCAGGGCAAAGCATTTTGAGCCTTGTCAGGACTCACTTAGACTCACTGGTGTACATTATGTAGATTGTTTTAAGAGTGATTACTGTGATTCTAGAGCACTTGGTATACTGTATTTATTTTAAAGAATAATGAAACGAAATAGATTGCTTTGAAAGGCAATAACATTCTCTCATAAGAAAATGGGAGTGTATTTCATTACTCTCTGATGTCACAGGAATTCTTTGCAAAGATTTTGTGAAACTAATTTTCTATACCTGGAAGAAAGTGAAGGCCAGGGTCCTTGAGAAGAACAATGGGGGTTTATGTATTTGTTTCAACCTCCCTCCAGAATTTTCCCTTTTTCCAGTGGAAAGTGAGAGAACCTTTTATGAAACACTTCCTCTTTTAGGAGAATTAAAATGATTTAAGGCAATGTTTTAAAATACTGTTTTCAGTTTGTAGTATCTGTGTAACCCAGTTACTATATTGAGTACAGTCGTACCTTGGATCCCAAACACTCGGACATTTTGACTCCCGAACGCCGCAAATCCGGAAGTGATTGTTCTGGTTTGCGAACATTCATTTGGAACCCGAACGTCTGACGCGGCTTCCACAGCTTCTGATTGGCTGCAGGAGCTTCCTACAGCCAATCAGAAGCTGCAGTTTGGTTTTCAAACATTTTGGAAGTCGAATGGACTTCCGGAACGGAATCCATTCAACTTCCAAGGTACGACTGTAATTGCAATTCTTATATATATGCAGCTCTCAAATACCACCACCTCCAAATTTCTGCATCATGTGAAAGAAACTGAATTCTATGTTTTCCATGTATAAAGTTTTCAAACTAACGAAACACCATGTGCAGTATCACCTCCTGGTGTCCATTTATTGCAGAACAAAAACTTAAATATGAGCTTAATAAAAAAATATACGTCACCATAAGAGATATTTTTAACAGCAAGGGTTATAAAATAGTTGTGCCTTACTAGACCTATATCACACAATGAAAGAATTTTCAACATTAAAACTCTAAAATTAATATCAGCAACTTGCCTTTTTATGTTCCCCCAACAAGACATTTCTAATCAGCACATGCCTCTTTCTTTCAAGTCCTAAGTTTGTTACAGTAACAATACTAACATAATCAGAATCTATGCCAAGCATAACTGTTGTAAAGGACATTGAGAGAGATCATATACTATCATGCAAACAATTACCATTTTGAAAAGCAAATTTTGAAACAAAATATACAAGGCATACTTAAACTAACAGTTTCATAGTACCAAGGACTATTTTGTCAATCAATATATTAGTTTTGTGTTTGCCTGTGGAGTGAACTAAAATGTTTCATTATGGTCTGTGCCTCAAAGATCTTGAATGTATGCTTCGCTTCTCTGATTATCATGAAGCTGAAGCTTGTTGTTTTAAGCTAGTACGGGCAGCAAGGATTCCTCTTGCAAGATCTTGTAACAGCTATTCATGCAAAAATGTGGGTTGTGCTTGGACGGGCTGAGGAAATTCTAGTACTTGGACTAATCTGATATTGGCTCTGAGGCAATTAAGTAATACCTAGCATAATTGTGCAGGAAAATTTGCAATAAAGGATCTGCACTGACTGCCAATTTGCTACTGGGCAAAGGTTCAAGGTTTTATTGTTAATATATAAAGCCCTAAACAACTTAGGACCTGGTTATTTGACAGACCACTTTATCTCATACAGCTGTATTTGGTCACATTCCCTTCTAATACATACCATGGACCAACGCTTGTTTCTGACCCATTTTTATTTAGACAATCCTTCAGTGAGTAATGATTCTGTTTTTTAAATTTTGATTTTGTAAGTCCTCCATGAAATCCACATTGCCGATTGCAAATAAGAGATCGCTCTCCTTTACAACATTTGTAGGCACATATATACCTTGGTCGTTGGTAATGCCCACACATAATGGGCCTCAACTATTTGTGTTTAATATTGATGATGACATTTATATTAGATGGTACCCATGGGGTAAGCTCAACAACCTTCCTTTTCCTTGTAGTTTGGTGAAGTGACAATACTACAGCTACCTGCTGCAGCAGGACACATGTAGACTGCAGATTTTTGGTAATTTCATGCTTGAACATCATGGCAATATGCAGTTGTGATATGCTCATGGCTGCTTACTTCATTTCTTTCCAATAACATGCCTTCCACCCCACCACAAACAAGCCATTGAAAGAATGAATACACCTCTGGTGGATCATCCTCTTTACTTACATCTATGGATCCCATGAGCACTCACATCTTTGCTTTAGTAATAGATTTCCAAAGGGGACACACTGCATCAAACAAACACCTCATATTCACTTCTGAAATCTTTGTCTTACAGGGGTTCATGCTCACATGTTGTTTTTCTTGCCAAAGTTTGATCAAGGCCACAGTTGAGGCTGTAAAAGCATGGATTTCCACCCAGTGTTTTGCATTTAGCATCTTTACAATTGTTAATATTGATTCAAATGTAGTGCAACATTCCACTGGTGCAGTGACATTTCCAATGCTTCTCTTCTCCCTATCTTTTCTGGAAGATCCCTCAACCCCTTGGAGTGGATTTTGAGAGCTTGCAGGGCTGCAGGAGGAAATTTTATTCTTCTAGCACAAGTCTCCTGTGCTAGTGGAACCGGGAGTGTTGTATACCACCCTTAGAGCATACCATTATGGTTAATTTGAGTCATGAATGGTTGCTCTAAAATCATTAATCAAGGAGATGTTGTCAATATTCTGGACAAGGTGACCATTTTGAATGCCTGCCTTCTGCCGTCCATGGGTATAGCAACGTATGGATTCTGAACTACTGGGTGGCGGGAGGAAGCAGCTTCAAGAAAAAAGTGCTTCAATATTATACCACAAATTTCCCACAGAACCCACAGATATAACCTACTGCTTGACTGCTTCCAGTGCCAGGCAATTTGTGTGTGTGTGTGTGTGTGTGTTAGTGGCAAAAAGAAAAGAAAGAAATTTCTTCCAAAGACTTTGGGGGCAGGGTAGGCAGTTTCCCAGATTTTTAAAGATATTTTCTGTCTTCCCTTACCTTAACCTTAAGAGGTGGGTGAGGCTGTCTTTTCCCCCCTCTCCCCCACTTTTAAAAAAGTATGGTGGTCCTCTGTATTTCCAGCTGCTCTCTGGTACTGCTTGAAATGGGAGTTGCAATCCAAAATATCTTGAGGGCACCAGGTTGGGAAGGGCTGTTATCACTCTGTCCCTACCCCAGCAAAGTTTAGATTACAAGCCACTTAGGGACAGAAGCACTATACAAATAAAAACATGACTTTTAAGGCAGTGCATACCGAATTCAGATCACTTTTCATCTTTCCATTGTTGTGGCATGGAACTTCATTTAAAATGCCTGGTGTTTTAAATATATGGTCCTAAGACCAATTAAAAACTGCCTTGCAGATGAAAACAAAAAGCATGATGGATCTTTAATTGAACATGACAGCTGTTCATTTTAATTACTCCTGGATCAAAACCGTCTTCCTGAATGCTTGTTATCAAGTGATTTACCTAAGGAAATAAGATGAGTGATAAAAGGGTTCCTATGAAAAGTAACTGGTTTATTTTCACTGGAGATTCTATCCCTTTTAACTTAAAATATAGCTAAGTTTGATTGTCTCTTTTGTTATTAAAGAACTATTGATATATTGTGCAAAGAAACAGTGCCCTCTCCTCTAGTTATGTTGTGCAGGTTTCATGACAGATCCCTCTGAAAACATTGGTATTCCTGTAACCTTTGAGAGATATGTGTAGAGTATATTAATGAGCACTACTTCCAAGTGATGTACAGTAACTTCGTTCTCAGATAAAAACAGATGTGAATGATTCTGTTTTAATATTTAATTAGGCTCTAGGCCTCTGTTGGCTTGTTTAAGCTGACCTGACAGTGTTATACCTGGAAATACTTCAAATTAAATGCTGAGTACTTGACCTTGTTCAAATAGTTGTAATTTAATAAGGCTGATACTTCTTTGTGGAAGTACCATGGGTAATGAGAACTGTTCTTTGGCAGGATTTGCTTGCCTTTGAAGGGAACAATTTGCTGCATGCCTCTTTTTAAAGTTTATCATCTGAAAGGGTAGTATTTTATTTATTTATTTAATGGAAGAGTTGTAGAGTGATAAAGTGGCTCCAAAGTTAAGTTCTTGATCTCGCAGCAACTAACACCAGAAATGGAGAGCTTGTGGCCCTCCAGATGTTATTTTACTGCAGCATCTGTCTTCCATGCCGTTCACCATGATAGTTGGTGCTAGTGACACTTCATAGAATTGTAGAGTTGGAAGGGACCCTGAGGGTCATCTAGTCCAACCCTTTGCAGTGCAGGAATCTCAACTAGAGCATCCATGGCAGATGGACATCCAACCTCTACTTGAAAACCTCCAATGGGAGAGAGTCATGATACAACAACACCGGTTGGGCCACAGTTTCCTCATTCCTGAGTTACACACATGGAATTGATGCCTACACACGGAATTGATGCCAGTTTCAGGAACATTCTAGAGCTTTAGCCAGGAACATGATTCTCATTCCTCCTTTCCTCAGGAGGCAACTTAAGCCAAACACATACATACAGCATTGGCTGGGATCATTCTTTTTGCTTCTCAGCTCTTCCGTTAGAAGTAATTGAGGATTTAAGCTATATTTCTGTAGGAAGCCTTTCCACTTGTATTTTTTCATATTTTGTTTCTAATATTGTTGGAACGTGTTCCATAGTTTTTGTTTTGTTCTCTCCTTTATCTGCACTCCTATTCTGAGGCCTTGCCCCTGCTGCTCTTAGGAACCCTTCCCTGCCTGTTTCACTGTCCTAAACCAAATCCCCATCATATTTCTGAAGGGGAAGGAAGACTTGGGGTGGGAACGCTTACTGGAAACAGAAGATGCTTTGCTATCCTCTCCTTAATTGGAAATGATGCTCCACTCATCTGCATTCTGATTTTTCATGAAAAACCTAAAGGGTTTGGCTTTTTCTTTTTGCATTTTCCAGAAATGTTTTGGGGGAAATGACTGAAATGAGCCAAAGGGAAGTTTGTCCATCATTAGCTATGTCAGGTTGTGTCTGAGCTCTCTTTCTCAAGGTAGTTTTCTGCCATTTAAGGGAAAAGGTTTGTTGGCATTAAGTATAATTTAATCCTTCTGTGTGGTTACTTCTCCAGGTTAAATGAGTAGTTAAGCTTTTTCTAGAATCTCTCTACTTTCGGCTGGCCTTTTAAAATCAATTGAATAGTTCCAGTTGTTTCTGTATCTTAAACCCTCTCTGTTTATATCAAACCTGTTGAAATAAAATTACTTGGCACAGTTGTAAAGGGGATTGAAAAGTGTACAATGTAGAAATGCCAGGTGTGCTTTGCTTCTGCGGTTCTCTAGAGCTTGGTAGAACTGTTGGCTCCATTTTATAGTTTCCTTCAGTGTGAATTTGTTGACCCAGATGTAAGACATCTGTATTTTGGCATTCTTGCATTTCCTAATATTTCGCTGTTTTATCACTCCTACAGTCTCACTGCTTTGGTGAGTAGTATTACACATCTGGGTATTGCTTCTCCTTTCAGCTAAAGTGGCTTACAGTGAAATACCCAAGTTTACTTAAAACAGTTATTTGAAACAGCATGTTTAAAATATATCTGAGTAAAACCTAGTGAAGTAAGATGCAATCTTCATTAGCTCAAATTTAATTTTTATAAGTGTCTTTTATGCTGATTATTGATCAATCATGACTTTGGAATTTGCTTCTAATGGTTCCAGCTGTTGTGAGAAGAAATCCCAATTGGGTGCTTGCTTACGAACACATGTGAAATGTGTTAAAACATTACTCGATGTATTTTTCCTGCTGTGGTAGGCAATACAGATAACATCTGTAAACGCTGATTAAAAGAATGGTCTCCCTCTACCAGAATTTAGAGAATTAGCATGATGTAGCTTGACGGGAATATTCTTTATTGTGCATGGAGTGGCCTCTGTCTATTGTTGGAAGATGCCTTGGGTCTTTTTAAGAAGAAGACATAGAATAAATCTAATAAACTAATCTTAAGTGTTATTCAGAGCATGGATGGGTAGGATCTAGCTAACATGGTTCTGTAACACAAAACCCCTGTGGGGAGCTGTTGTGTGAGCTGATGGTATCAACAGTATCTTGCATTTGACAGCAGAATGTCCTTGTTACTATTGATTGGGCTGCTTGGTCAAGTGAAAACACATTGATCTATCCTTTAAACTCAGCTGTATGAAAATTTAGAGATGTATATATTATGTCATTGAACAGTGGGAGTTACAACCCTTTAAGAGCTTTCATAGTAAATCTAGTCCAAATTGGTCACCTGGAATATGTATCTATAATGATTCTGAATCATTCTATATTTAACATACTAATTTCCTCACTCCTTTAAAAAATGTGGCATTTAAAAAATTAATAATTTGCTAAACTAAATGATGGCCAAGCAGTGACTTTGGTGGAACTCACTGGGTGACCTTGGGCAAGTCACAGCCTCTTAACCTACCTCACAGGGTCATCGTTGTAGGGATTAACTGAGGAGGGGGTGAAACATATACTTGGAGAAAAGGATGGGATATAAATGCAATAAATAAGCTCTTCTGCTTACCAGCTTAAGAAAGCTAGAGGGGCCAGCCAGATGGAGGTGTCACTCGCCAGCCTGGCATCCAAAGATCTCCGTGTAGTCCCAATTGGACCTGTGCCAGTTGCAAAACATGCCTGGCTAATTTCTTAACACAATCACAGGGCCATAGTAAATGCCCAGACCGCAGCCAGGTGAGGCAGCAGTGATGAAGACAGACCTTGATGTTTCTGTGTTCACATTCCTTGGCTTATTACTGAACACAACTTTTGCTGTTAGATTATTCCAGCTCTTTTTTCCAGGGTTGCAAACTTCATCCACATGTTACAACTGATATTCTCAGGGATTTGTCTCTAAGGTTTTGTATCTGATATTAAGCAGGTGTTGATTAACCTCTGTCCTGTGATGGATCAGTTGCTAGACTATAGTTTCTGTATGGTAGCTGAGAAACTATCCCAAAAGATACTATTGCATGAAATATAATGTCAGGTGGATGACAAGTGTGCTTGTGGCTGGTGAATTTTGAAATACTGGTGTCCCTGCCCACCTTTTTAATAGGCTGAAGTAGTTAAACTACGGTCCCTCCAGCGGTTGTTCCCAGCTCCTTTGAGCCCCCATCAGTGTGGTCAATGGTCAGGATGATGGGAAATCCACCCCTGGTTATAACATCAACCTCACCATTTGAAATCCTTATAAAAGGCCCTGCGTAGTAAAAGTTCATTTGGTACTTTTAAAAATAATAGTAGTAGTCTCTCCCCTCTCCTATACTTTGTTGATATTACTTTTCAGGTATAGATTTATGTCTCTTATAAATTGCTATGTTTGGCAGAGGATGGAAAACAAGTCTGTAAAATTATGTAATGTCTGAAACTTTGTGTTTATGATTAATTAGGTTATCATAAAATGTGTTTTTGTGTGCTGAATAATTGGGTCATACTTTTTATGTGCTCAGCTGCAGACTAAGGCTTTCAGCCTGGATCTAGTTACTTTAGTAGGCTTTCTTGTTAAAACTGTTTTTCTTACTGGTCTTTGGAACACAGCCTTCAGTATGTTCAAACTAATGTAATTTGAATTATATTGACATAAGTTCATAAATTGTGGATACTGGATTAGTTGGCTTAGCTTCTGTATTGCTGTTTGAGTTTTAACCAATCATTTATTGATGTTGTATTAAACTTGCTTTATAGTTGTATGCTAGTTGTCGTAGTTCAGATTTTATCTGGTCAGTAAAGTAATTTGAAATGCTCTGACATCTGGTACACCAGCACAATTCCTTCTGCCTAAGGGGTTTCTATTTCAGGACAGCATCTTTTGTATCCAGAGATTTACTCTGTCATGCATGAGATGTATTTTCCAAAATAAGGTAACTATAGTCACATAGGTGACTGACTGGCTGTGTGAAGATAAGTTGAATTGGTTCTTTAGAAGAGTGCTGTGCTTTCTTAGAATTTGAATACACCTCAAAAATCTACTGGGGGGAAAAAGCACTAGGTGTTGTTACCAGATGTGTTTTTAAGCAGGCACCCATCTGCTGAACACACAGATTGGTCCAGGGCATAGGAGTGAGGCAATCTGGAAGATAACTTGGCCCTAAGGTGTTTATAAAAGTAAGACCTTAACCTTGTCCTGGTAGCATATAGGCAGCCAGTGCCCTTTAGCTGATGGTAGGTAATTTCTGTTACACATGCTTTAATATACTGTCTGTTTTATGAAGATATCTCATTGAAATCATTGTTGGAGTTAAGGAAATATTTGACTCAATTGGATCTTTTATTTCTGCAATTAATAGATTGATGGTTTTTTATAAAAAATTTGTAAATACAATGGGATTATGATTGGGAAAACATTGATTTAATATTTGAAATTCTGGCTTAAGTGGGGTGCTTTGATTTGTTGATAGGTCTTCCTGTCTCTCAGAGTTAAAATGTATAGTCTGTTCACGATTCTTCTGCTTGTTCACAGAAAAATCATAGTATACCTGTTTTACTTCCATGTCTTCCTCTACTATTATAGCATTTCTTTTCATGGTTTTGTACTCATTTCATTGCATGCTCTCTGTTCTTCGTTGGTTTTGCCTCTTCTCAAACACCAATCTTATTAAACCACCACACCAATCTCCATGCTTGTGTGCTCATGATTCCTTATCTATTTACTTCTCCCCTTAAATAGTCAGCTTCCTCGTTTTAAGGAATTATTAACAATGGCCTTTTCTCTCTCTTTTTTTATTTCCCTCTTGATACTGGGTTGGATCCAGAGAAATCTGTAGTTTCAGCAGAATATGACTTTGCCGCTCTCTCCTCTCACCCAGTGCCCCCCCGAAAAGACCTCTCTTGAGGGTTGTGGGACTCTGCTAAACTGGGCGGGCTGTGGCACAGGGGGCTCTACCAGATAGTAGGAAGGGAGCTACTCTGTGGTGGCTCCACAGTTACATAATTTATGAACCCATACATGTGAAAATAGTTCAGGTGTAATTTAAGAATGACAGCTGCTGATCTCTTTGTGGATGAGGGGAATATTGTCTGGTTTTCATGTAAGGAAAGAGATATTATGATGAGCAGCAGCTGCTGTTCATGAACTTGTTTCTTAATTTCAGTCTCCACAGCTATTTCTTGGTATTCAAAACTGTGTGTGTATTAAAGAAGAACCAAATGTTGACAGATGATTTTTACACTGAAGTTTTTTCAGTATTCTAAGAAAAAGCACCAAACTGGTATTAATATCTAGAATTAGTAAACTGAGGCTATATTAAGGATATTTTAATTCTGCATTGCGAAACAAAAGCCTAACATGTTTTAATAAAAGAGAATAACATTTTGAGGTCACAAAAACAGGAAACAAGATTCTGTATGCAAGAGAACCGATAATTGATTCAACACTTTCTTTCCCTAGCCACGAGCAGATCCCATTCCAATATGTAGCTTCTGTTTGGGGACAAAAGAATCAAATCGTGAGAAAAAGCCAGAAGAACTCCTTTCCTGTGCTGATTGTGGCAGTAGTGGTAAGTCTTTCACTGACCAAATTAGACAGACCTTTTCGCAGTCTTTTACAAGTGTTTTTGCAAGCCAGTGGTTCTTTGAGGGTGTGGTACATCATTTCTGTGAGCTGAAGTGTTCCCTCTACGAGTGCAGCTTTCCTTTTTGGGGAAGAGAAGCACCTTCCATTCACAGAGTGAAAATGTTAGCTAAAGGCTGCCCCCCCCATTATGCTTTTGTTGTGTTCAGAGTTTTAGTTACCTTTTTAAAAAGAATATGTTCAAAATAATTTAATTTGCTTTATAGCCACATCTGCTGGAAGAAATTGAGATTTTAATGTTTATACATCATTCAGCACCACAAATATATGTTAAGTCAACAACTGTGTGACTTCTAATCAGTTTCACTCTGCGAGCTTTTGGAAACTGCCCAAATAAATACCAGTTACTCACAAAGACACATAACAAGAAAAGTATCTTTGGGACAGAGAAATTTGGTGTGCTTAGTTAGCCCTGTTTTATCCCCCCCACCAAAGCCACATTTCTCCCCTCTGAGGTTCAAAATATGCATTTTCCATCCCCAGCTATTAAAATGGTATATAAAAAGGAAATGTTTATTGCCATTCCTGTGCTTTTGTGCTTGATAAGATTCTTGTATAGTTCTCTGACGTTCTTTGTTAACTTTCTTTTTACCTTATGTATTTTGGATGAAACCAAAAGTTAACTCTAAAAATTATTATTTAATTATTACTACTGTCACTTTTTCCTTCTTAGCACTTACTTATTTTGTTTTATGAAAAGCATTGAGATGTTAGGATAAATTCCTCCTATGTGAACTTGAAAGCTTTCCTTTTCAAATCAACCCTTGCTTGCTTTTCTTTTTTCTTTTATCATTTTAAACTTGTGGGGCTGAGAATTAGGATCTCCTGCTTTGGTCCTGAAATATCTATTCTTGCCTGACTTTTGGTGATGTGGGTGGGTGCAGTAACCAGCTTTCAAAGCTAGATGGAAAGTGACACGCTCTAACCCTGGAAGGAGGTCAGAATTTTGTTTTCTGAGCATCTTAATCAGGTACAGAAGGTTGAATGCTGTAGTCCTTATGTTTCACAATAGTTTAGTGCTTGTGAAAGAATTGAAAGACATAATGATAGAAGTTCTGCCATGATAGACGCAAAAATGGCATACAAGGCAGTGAGATACAACTGAAGAATGTGATATTTTGGTCGCCAAAAAGGCCTTTATCTCAGAGAGAAGAGAAAACCTTTTTGACTTTATAGTTTACTATGTGGTATATCCATATCATGGGGTTGGTTTGCTGGGTTGTTCTTTAGTTGTAAAATACATACTGCTCCTGGTTGCTGTCTTAGCAGCGGAGATGGTTGTCTTCATTTCAAGTGTTAAAGAACTGAGTTGTCAAAACCTGTCCGTTTTGTAGAATAACTTTTAAGGGCTACCTTCCCCCCTTCATGTGTATTTAAATTTTATGGGCTGTAACTTTTACTCAAACTAGACTCATTGAAATGAATGACTGTGACTGTGGCGTATTAATTTCAATGGGTCTTCTGAGTCGAATTTAATTGAATATAACCCAATGCCTACATGTGCTTCGTGTATCACATAGGTAAACACTGGTCTTGCATAGTGGCACGTTGGGATGGAATTGCGTTTGCAAACCTTACAGTTTAAGACTTAAGAATTTAGCGGGGTGTGGTGTGGGGTAATGCAACAGTATAAATAAACCACGGTTGAGCAAATTAGTCTGTACATGAGCTAGTGCACACAGCTTAAGCACACACACTTTTCTTCTCCCTTTCTCCAGTGGGGAATCAAACCACAGAGTGACAAGCTGAGCATTTCCCTGCTGGAGGATCCCTGCTGGAGGAAAGGAGAAAAGTAGGAGAATTCAAGTTGTGTCTATGAGCAGGCTGCTTGTGTACAGACTGATGTGCTTAACTGCAGTTTATAGCTTAGCTTTGCATCTGGATGCCACCATAGATTAATGTCATTTTAAGATATATGATACTATTTTATAGATGATTAATGCATTTGCCAAGAGCCCCCCCCCAAATGATGTAGTTTTTTGTTCTTGCATATGTCTGAAAAAAAATCTATTGGCTTCACAATTCACTTATGAAAATACAATTTAATTTGGTATCTATTAAATGTGTATAAGGTGCTCTTTGGAGATTGGTTATTACACTCTGGCTGTCTGCAAATATGGCTTTTCATTATGCTCTGACTGTCTGCAAATACAACATTTCATTAATCAGTGCATAATGTAATCAGCTTTTTTGCATTATAACAATTCACTGACAAGTTCTAAGGAACAGCAGAATTGGAAGCGCCCAACTTTCATGGTTCAGCTTCAGTTCAAATTAACACTGATGCATTCTCGTTGCCTCATTAAAGGTAAATTATGTTTAATTAGTTACTTACCATTATTTAGCTATACAATGAGACATTGAGATTGGCAGTTAAATTGCCAGATGGCTAAACCTTAACTGCAGGTGACATCAATTATTATTATTTTTTAAAAACACAATCTTCATGCTGTTCAGAGGTTTTTCATAAAAATGACTTTGGGCTTAGGTATGCTGTTACACAGACCCCCTGGGGTTCACAGGCTACCAATTGGGAACCACTGTCTTAGACTATAATCATATTGGACTGGACTGGACTTGCTTTTGAGTAGACATGCATAAGGGTGCCTGTGTCACAGTTGTTTGAGGGGAGAGATGAATATGTTGAACACAAGAGGGGCCAGGTCAGAAGGACAGCAGACACAAATTAGATCAGAGGCAAGCAGCAGTTCATAACAACATGAAGGTGTTTATTGCCTCTTTTGAAGATGGAAGCACTGTTTAGGTGCAGAAAGATGTCTTGTAGTTGAGTATTTTTTGTATTTTTTAATATATTATATATGTATATATACATGACCGTTATTTAATGTTGCAGAGTATTAGGCATAAGCATAATAATGCTATATATATATTTTGTGACTAAAACCTTGTCTTAAAACACATGGTTAAAGCAGTCATAGGGCATGAGGGAGGGGGCTTAATTCACTCAGGGAAAGTGGTCAGAGCTGGGGCATATGACTAATGTGGGTGGAGCTTCCTTGCAGCCTGCTGAGAAAGGGGAGCCCTTTAGTTCTCACACAGCGTGGAAACTAAGTGACTGTTGATTGCAGAGGAGCAAATCGCTAAGAACACTGGAACTCATTGATGAAATAGACAATCACTGGAGCCAAAACTAGTTAATAACTGCCTAAATTACAAGATAGTCAAAAGGCTTGTATCTATCAAGTTTGTTGTGATGCAATTTACTTTTTCCAGTTAGAAGATTCCTGAAAATAATAATTAATAGTCCATAGAAATTAAGGAAAACAAAAAATAAAAGAAAGAGCATCTAGAAAAATTAACCTCTGTTGGGCTAAGAATACAAGTTTCCTCTTGGTAACAGCAGAAAAAAAGTATTCCCAAAATGACTTAAGGAGAAGCCAAAAGCAAGGCCTCCTGTCTATCTGTCAAGAAAACCAAGCCACCGTGCTTTCAGTATCCCAGAAAGATGGTAGGAGTGGGACAGAGCGATTCATGGAGAGAAAACGATGTACACTAAAAATTGTTACAGTAGGATTGGGGGGAACCAACTTTCTTTGTGTGTTTCTCTAATACGAAATCCTTCTTATTTTTAATCTCCAGCCAGACACTGGTTGTTCCCCTCCAGTTTCATCCCCTAAATAATTTCCATCTCATTAAATCTTCATAAGGGACTTTGCCGCCATATGTAGTGCCATCTGTGGAAAAACTCACTAGCCTCAGATGAAAGGCACCCAGTGAGCGCAATGTTCCAGAATCAAAGAGATACTTAAAAACCAAAGCTCACCTCATTTCTCAGATGGAGACCTGTCATTCATTGCAAAGGCAATTTAAGCTGCTACAAAAAACCATTCACACCTAGAAGTGTGAATCAAATTGAAAACAAAGAATTAACCTGCAGTCTACTATTTTCTTAGCCCAATTTTGTTTGCTTCTCAAAGCCTCATTCCAGTTAACCAAAAATTATGTGATGTTCCAGCCCAGACAGGACAGCTTCCAAGATGCAAAGCCTATCCTTTTTTCTTGTTTTTAATTAATTCAAGGAGCAACCAGGATTCTCTTGACTAGCAGTCAGATACCCATAATACGTAATATTGTGAAGATGCCCATCTTCAAAGGAAGATAAAGGGCCCATCACTATGTGTATCTCAAAAGCTTCTATGATGGTAATAAGAATGACCCCTTAAATCAGAGCTTTCCAAACTCTTGTGTTGTAACATGTTAATGTGTTGGCTATAGTGTGTAGGTATGTTGCACAAATACACCCCGCACTCCTCCCAGGGCTGGAAAGGGCCTCTGGTCTGCTAGTAAAATTGTGTCACCATGTCCCAAAATGATGCATGTCTAAAAAGTGTATCACTAATATGAAAAGTTTGGAAAGCTCTGCCTTAAATCCTTCATCATGCTCATTGGCCAGCACCCCAGAACCCAGAAAATAAGTTCCAGAGGGAGCAAACCCAACAGATAACTTGCTCAATGGCTTTAAAAGCCACAGAGAGAACAAAGGGAACAAACAGGGTCATACTCCTCCTGTCTCTTTTTTGATGCACGTCCTCAATAAAAGTGACCAAAGCTTTTATTGCCAAAACCAAGCCTGAAGCTAGTTTGAAATAGTTCTAGATAATTGGCTTCTTCCAAACATACTTGAAGCTGAATGGGCACCTTGTAAAAAAGACACTTAAGGCATGTCTGGTGCGTGGCTGTAAATTAGAGCTAGAAAATAAAAATAACTGGAAGCAGGAATAATTTTGAATTACTACATCCGGACATATATGTGCATAGCCACAAATAAAAAGTCCTACGTAATACTAACTGGCAAGTATTTCTCTCTCTCTTTATGGTAGAGAAAAGAGTAGAAATACAATGAAAATGCTCATAAGATACATTTTTTAAAGCTCACCATAGTAGTAGTTGAACTCTCAAGGATTACTGAAATGTATGTGCTTTGAAGCCTCAAAGTATACATTAAGGATAGACAATATGTTAAGGAGTTTAACAATAAAGAGTAGAGTGTTTTGAAAACAGAAGTATGGTACCAATATTTTTATTGTCAACACCAAAATTAAACATGTATTAACAATTTCTGATAAAAATGTGGATTCAGCATGTGTCTCCTATGTGAATTGCAGCTAAAGTGTTGCCGACCCCCCCCCCCATGGCGACTAGACATACTGTTTTGGCACCCAGGTCCCGGGAGCCATTTGGCGCCTAGCTATTTTATCCCAGTTTCTAACACTGCTTCTACTCAGAGAAGACCCATTGAAATTAATGGACATGACTGACTTGGGTCCATTCATTTAAATAGGTCTACTCTGAGTAGTACTAGTAAGGGATATAACTTTATTTGTTAACGTTTGTTAGACACCAAATAATTGAGGTTCTCTGGACAGTCTTGTAATAGCAGCTGCCTCTCTTTCTGTCCATGAGAGAGAAGACGTGAATTCTGAAAGTAGCCAGTACTGATGAAATAGTACTTGGAGAAGATGTCGTAGAGCTTTAGGTGATCTGGGACATAAATAATCCTCATGTATGAATACTCCCTTTTTGTAGGACATCCATCCTGTTTGAAATTCTGTCTGGAGTTGACGACAAATGTAAAAGCCTTAAGATGGCAGTGTATTGAATGCAAGACGTGCAGTGCCTGTAGAATCCAAGGCAAAAATGCAGTAAGTTTTAATCCCTTATTACAAATAATATATAATGTTTGGTCTAATTATTTAGGTCTAGTTGAACCAAATTTACAGCGTAGTAGGAATTGGGTGAAAATTATGCCAAGGGATTGATGGTTTGTTTGTTTTTGTCTTTTGCTAGTTTCTCCATGAAAATATATTTTTGTAAGATTACTTTTGTTTTCCCTCCCTCCATTTCAATTTCAGGATAATATGCTTTTCTGTGATTCTTGCGATAGAGGTTTCCACATGGAGTGCTGTGACCCACCTCTTTCCCGAATGCCAAAAGGTGATCTCTGAAAATGCTTTCAGTGTATATGGCTTGATTTTATGTATGTATGTATGTATGTATGTATGTATGTTTTTGTACATTCCATGTGTATCTTGATTTTCAGTTCAATATTATGAATTGGTTCAGTGAATTATTTATGCATAAGCTATTCATTCTTGGATACATTGATGTGTTTGTGATGGAGCATTCCGAAATAGCCCCTTTTTTTCCTATGTGTTCTTTATAGCTTCCACAATACAGTACATTTGAATTGTAAGAGGGCCGTTCGGGTTCTTTTTTGTTGTTCTTGTCTTTTTGTAGCAGCTTCTGTAGCTGGAGAGCTAAGGATTTGTCACAGTATAAATTTGTGGCAGAACATGGACCATCAGCTCAGATTTCCCTCATCTAAGTTTAATTTTCTACCAAATTACCCTTCAAATAATAGGACTTGGCATTTCTTTTTGCAGTTTTTAAGAAGTCCGTAAATCTAGTTCACCTTCTTTATCACATGCATGCAAGAAAATGTGCTCATGTTGTTACCTGTAATGTTAAAATGGAAGGCGACAGTAACCTGTCAATATTGTTGGCTGATCAAAATGTGGTTCTTATTATTGTCGTTTATAGTTCAAGCCACTAAAAGCTTTTGGTACTGATAATGCTGGTTACAGCATTCTGATTCAGGCAATCAGTTTATTGTTATTGCAAGGAAACAATCTTTTGTATCCTCAAAGTCATCTGTATTCTATTCTAATACCTAGAATATTTAATTTAAAGTTTTTAAAAGTTAAATGTAGCCTTAAAATAACAGCTTGTCTTCTCCACTTCAGCATGCTAGCAAAATAGACAAGTTGCAGTCTTGCTGTTTTGTAGGCCAGCAGTCCCAGTGACTTTAATTTACCATCTCTCAACCTTAGAAATAATAGCCATTCCTAAAAGTCATAGGACATCAGTTGTGCCTAGACTGGATGTTGCCAGGACCCGAGTCACAGTTGCAAAATCTTTTTTTGTGGCCCATGGACAGTCATACAGATGGGTTCTGCAACTGCACTGTGCTATTGGAATATTTGTACCCTACCTACTAACAAGGGTTCTTGGCATGGTTTACAATATATTTAAAATACAATAAAAATTGACAATTGAGGTGTTGAAATTCTTCAGTAGGTGAGATTGCTTTATTTGCTGCTGTCTCATGACTTCAGGTTTCTGGTAACAGACCCAAGAGTCTACAAACCTTCTTCCTATCATTGGATGTACCAGCATCACTCTGTTGTTTATTGGGAAATTTCTAGAATTTAATGACTGGGACCTGATGCTCATGCACTTTCACCTGAACAAAATATTTTTTGAATAATTAATGCAGGGATGTGGATTTGCCAGGTCTGCAGACCAAAGAAAAAAGGAAGGAAGTTACTTCAAGAGAGAGCATCACAGATAAGGCGGCGATACACAAAACCTATTGGGCGACCAAAAAATAAACTAAAGCAACGAATGTTGTAAGTGTTTTGGGGTTTGGCTTGTCTTCTACATTTGGGTGGTGTTGCACTTAACAGGCAGATTCTTACGATGAGAAATGATTTAATTGCTGGGTTGTTCCAAGTTAGTACATCTTCCCGCTACTAAACTTCTGGCGGTTCCCTCACTTCAAGAAGTGAGGTTACAGGGAACCAGGCTGAGGGCCTTCTCGGTGGTGGCACATGCCCTGGGGAACGCCCTCCCATCAGATTTCAAGGAAATAAACAACTATCTGACTTTTAGAAGACATCCGAAGGCAGCCCTGTTTAAGGAAGTTTTTAAAGTTTGATGTTTTATTCTGTTTAATATTCTGTGGGGAGCCACCTAGAGTGGCTGAACCAGATGGGTGGGGTATTAATAATAATAATAATAATACTGTAATTATTTATTATTATTATTATTAAGTACCTGGTTTTAACCTAAATAGAAACATACAGATGTTTCTGTTCATGCTTCTTTTTTAAGTGCATTAAAGCACTTCTGGATGATGGAGTTAAGGCAGCAGAGTTCTCATATTAATTGACAGAGCCATATAAATAACCAGTCAGGTGGCAGTGGCAGCTGATGTGGCCTCTGCTCTGGCCCTTGCCACCGGCTGCTATCTAGTAGCAAAAGTTGTGGAACTTGTGTGTGCCCCTATTGCAAGGGAATGTTTGTTATTTGATCACTTGATGGCAGCCATTTTTCACTCCTGATGAGCAGACATGTGCAAAATTACCTAGTGGTTTGTCAGTTTTTGTGTTGAACATTGGGTCATCATGTTATGAGACAACTGAATTGTGTTATTTGAATTGTTGGAACGGTGAAGGTCTGCACTTGCCGTAGTTGATGATGCAGAGTTGCAGAAATAACTTACTGCTGTCTTCTTTAGAAATAAGTGTAGATCTGTAACCCTTCATCTTTTATGAAACTGTAAAACATTGGGAAGATGACATGTGGTACCAGTACCATGGTGCATATATTTAACATAGAAATAGAGATTGAACCTCTAGAGTGTCAATTCATAGCTTGTTGAATCCGTTCCAGAATAAATTCTGCTGTGGGAGGTGTGTGTGGGTGTTTAAAGGTGTATGTCATTTTGCTTGATGAAATGTACCTAACTAAATGACACAAATATTGTACATTGCTGAATCATTATGTGCTTCATCATAAAAGAGTTGACTGTGCAGTGGCACTGCTTAATGGACCTTTATTGTGGCATTGAACAGCAATGTGAAATCATATAGCACCAGGAGCTTGTTAACCTCTGTAGGCAGATGGTTATTAGCATATATGGCACCAAGTGATAGGCTTTATGGTAACAGAGCTGAACTTCTGGCATTGAAATATTCAAACAACATGTGGGCAAGGCTTAGAAGATTTTAACTGGATTGCGACTGTTAACTGCTAGCCATTCTCAGTAATGGGTTGGAGTGGGGAATGCATTCGGGGCCAAATGGAGGGTTGCTTGGCTATTGGAGATCAGCAAACCAGATGGTTGCCCCAGGCTGCTCTCTCTCTAATCTGTTTATATTCATTACTTCAGTTTCACCACTATCAAAACAAAATATATAATGCTTAACAATAATAAGATGATGGAAATGAGAAGAAAATACAATTGATGTGAAATAATTATGCAGCATTGTGTGGGTTTCAGTTTGATAAACTTTCCTGGTTGCTTGCATTTATCACAAATATAAGAGATTTCCTCAGCATTATCTTTACGTTTCTGCATTAGCCTTTAGCTAAATCAGCACTTAATCAAGCTAGATGCACTTTCCCGGTAAAACTCAGTACTGCTTCTTGGTATCTTTCATGTCAAGCCTTTCCCAGTTCTTGTTTTCCTTTTATCATGTTTTATTTGTACCTTCTGCACGGTTCTTAGTTGGACTTACGCTTTTTTTCTTGACTAAAATAACACATTAGTGCTTGTGTAGGTTGTCTTTAATGCTGCGCAGAAATGCATCTTTCTTTAAGAATTCCATTACTTTAAGTGTATTTTTTAATTAATATGAATGTAGCCCTTTTGTAATGAAGCATGCCCACAAAAGCCTATTATACCGGATTTAGGGTGTTATCTTCCTCCGCATTATTGGAATGTCATTTTTACAGTTGCTGGCTTTGAAGCAGTCAAGTACCTTGAAGCTTTTGTAGCATAAGGCTTGGATCTCCTGGGATCATGTTATAGTTGTAACAGTCTTCAAAAGGCAGAAGCTTTACTGTTGTAATGCAGTGCAGCATATAGTCAAGGAGACCATTGAAATTAGTGAGGCTAAAGTCCATTAACTGTATATTGAGCCTAAGGAATGCATATTCCCTTTCTGTAGGGATTTCTTTGACCAAAACCTGAAACACACTTTGACCCATTTAGAACCTGTCTTAACAGGACAGCTGCATTTTGGAAATGTTCTACTGCATGGTCATCTGTGCAGTGTCACATATCGGTTCTACAATCTGTGCAAAAATATTCAGGAATATTGAATCTAGGAACTCATGCACTTTTGCTCACAGAAGATTTTCACTATCTGCAAATGCCTTGAAGGGAGGGATGAATAACCGAAACCAAATGCAGTATCCAGTGCTTTTTTCTGGGGATACGCATACCCTTAAACATTTTGTGAATTTAAGTTTGGCCTCATTGAGGGGCAGTATTTCAATATGAGTAGGAAAATGAGAGTACACCTAAACATATATTTTGTTTTTTAAAGAAAAAAAAGCACTGGCAGTATTTCAGGGAGCTTTCTCTCTCTGGAGTTTATGTTTTCTGCAAGGTTTAGCCATTGCTGTTGTACTTCCCCGCTTTTCCTCTTTTACAGCTTTATGTGAATACTTTTGTAAAGGTCCCACTGTAGTTCACATAGCTGACAATAAGTAGCCGCATCAACTGCAGCATGACAAGAGTATGGTGGGCAGGCAAGGAAGCAAGTGTTGCAAATGGTGAGCAGCCCAGGCAAGCTGCTGAGGAAGGAGCAACATTGAATGGGCCAAGGAGCCTCAGAGAGCGATTTGCCAAACTGTTCTCTGAAGCACTTCCCACCATCCTCCCATGACTTTTAAGGAGGGTGGGGATGCTTTGGGGAGTCATTTGTCTGAAACATCCCCATCCTCCATTAAATGGTGGAGCCCAGGTGAGCTGCTGAAGGAGTGACATTTAAAGGAGGTGCTTCAGAGAGTAGTTTGGACCCTCCTCCATTAAACATTTAATAAGCTGTGAGACAAGAGCTGTTTGGATGAGCTCTGGGAGAAGGGGATGGGGTTTTGGGGTGAGCTTTGGGGCAAGCTGTGGGGGAGGTGTTTGGTCAGGTGGGTGAGGGGGTGGCAAAATGGTGGGTGGTTAGCGAATGGAGCAAGTAAAAGTTGTGGTGGCAGCTCCTAGTTGTTCCATATAAGATTAGTGGAGCAATACCAGTTTCCTTGGCTGGAGCCCTAGAATGTTTCCAGTAACTGAACTCATGTGAGAAAGGGCTGTGATGAGTGACTATAATAGTTTGCCTTTACAGTTGTTAATCCTAAGGCTGACCAGTCTCTTTAACTGTAGTTAAAGAAGGAGAGGAGATGCGGGGGAGATGTGTATTTCTGTTTGAGCACAGTTGTTGCAACTGCACTGGTTAATTGCACTTATTATAGTTCTTATTTAATAGACAGAGTGCTTTACAGCCTTTGTGCTTCATGTCCTCAGAATAACTCTGTGGAGCCGTTGATTATATTTACTGTTTTATGACAAATATTGAGAATGTGGCTTGCCCCAAAGCATCCAGGAATTTGATGGCTTAGTTGGTTTGAACACAAGCCTTAGTTAAAGCTTTTAACCCCCAGACCACTCTGACGACCATCATTTAGTCTTGTCACTATCATATAATTCTGATGGTTTTGAACTAATATGTATATCTATATTTGATGAGGCTTCACCAGCAGTATTTAGCTGTTAGTATGTTGTTTAGAATTTAAGCAAAGTAGCACGAGTAATTCATATGCAGTGCTGCTATTGTTTATTTTTATGGTTTGTTAATGCTGACTGCTTCTTAAAATTTTCCATATTTTTTGCTAGGTCTGTAACCAGCGATGAAGGATCCATGAATGCATTCACAGGAAGGGGGTCACCTGGTAGGGGTCAAAAGACTAAAGTCTGTACCACACCTTCATCTGGTCATGCTGCATCTGTGAAGGATTCAAGCAGCAGATTGGCTGTTACAGACCCCACCCGGCCTGGTGCCACCGCCACCAAAATCACCACCACCACCTCCACCTACATACCTGCCTCTACACTTAACGTTAACAAGAAAACCAAAGGGCTTATTGATGGCCTTACTAAGTTTTTTACACCGTCACCCGATGGTCGCAGATCACGAGGTGAAATAATAGACTTTTCAAAGCATTATCGTCCAAGGAAAATGGCCTCTCAGAAACAATCATGTACTTCTCATGTGTTGGCTACAGGTACCACACAAAAGCTAAAACCTTCTTCACTTCCACCCCCAACCCCCATCTCTGGTCAGAGCCCCAGTTCACAAAAATCCAGCACTTCCATCTCTTCTAACTCTCCCCAAAGCTCCTCCAGTCAGTCAAGCGCACCCTCCTTTAGCAGCCTTCCTAATAACAGTCAGCTAAAGGGACTCTTTGATGGACTTTCTCATATTTATTCCACTCAGGGACACTCTCGAAAAAAGGGGCACCCGAGTTATGCACCGCCCAAGCGTTTGCGTCGTAAAGCAGCATTTTCTTCCACATCCAAGTCTAAAACTGCTTTCTATGGAAAGAAAGAGATTAGAAGTAGGTTTATTTCTCATGCCTCCGCCTCTGGATGGGGTATGTCTAGAGGACGTGCTTTTAAAGCAATTGGTCACTTCAAGCAAACAACCTTCCTTAAAAAGCGCAGGATTCTAGGCAGATTAAAGTATAAAGTGACCCCTCAGATGGGGACCCCCTCACCAGGGAAGGGGAACTTGGCAGACGGAAGGATTAAACCTGATCAGGATGATGGTAAGCAACAGGTCAAAGCGCCAACCAAACCTGCGTCCCGTCCAAATCCAAATTCTTATTTTGTCACACAGGTCTCGGCTACTTCTCTTCTGACTTCACTCTCATACAAAAGCAATGAACTTTGACCTTGTAACTAATGCTGACTAAATCTCCAAATTGTTTTTCCAACTAATGCTGTACCGCCTTGTTTGTCAGTTTTTGCATATGTAGTGGCACTAGCACCCCCCACCCCAATGTCTTCATAATGTTGCTTTTATGCCTTTTGTAGTAGCATATTGGTAGCCACTCCATGCTGTCCCTTGCCCTTTCTCTGGCCATAGTGCTGATGGCATTTATTAGGATGACCATTTCAACTCTTCATTTCCCTCTCCTCCATCGCTTTTCCATGACACATTCCATCTGCTACACAACACTGGATTTGTACTGCTGTGAAATTTACTCTTCCCAGTTTTTAAATAAATCTTTCCTTTTTTTCTTGAAGAAACAAAAGTCTGTATTCCTTGCCTTAGTTTCTTCTAATCTGTTTCAAATAGTTTTGCCTAAGATTGTTTTAGTGTTGAAAGCTTGTTTTCTTTTTCTTAGAGGTTCAGATATATGGTTAGGATATGTGAAATCTATGCTGCTGTATCAGTTGTTTGATATAGTTTTGTATTCAAAATGTCTTTTTTAATTGGGTAGGAGTAGAGTGTAAATTCTAAGTTAGGGCATGAAAGAAAATGCTGCTGTTTGTCCTGGCTGTGTTTATTTAAAATAAATCTGCAAATGTTTTAGTAGATACTATAATAATAAAGATTTGCTACGTCAACTGGAAAGATCAGTGGGAAGCAGGATTTTAAAGCATTAGTCACTCAGAAAATGCTGGGAGCTACATTTTGATTGCAAAAGGTGTTTGTTGCATCATGGTGGTGAATAAACTCTCTGCTGGTTTTAAACAACAGGTACAGAAATCAAAATAAGCATCAAACAAGAAAACTCAGATCTGTTTCTGGTGGGAAGCAAGGATATTATTACAGAAGAAGATTTGGAAATGTTTAAGCAGGCCCAGGAACTTGCAATGGAGGTAAGGTTCACAGGTGCCAGCTATGTGAACAGTACTGATACGGTAATTTGTTGCTTGATATGAGGGGAAAATTGTGCTGACTGCTTAGTTCTGCTTAATGCCCCTTTTATTAAGGCTAGTTTGTATATAATGGTATACATCTAATCTAGAACCCAAGTATCTCATTAGGGTAAAAGTAAACTTGAATGGGAAGTTCTCTATATAGCTTCAGGCATGGTGCAGAGTGAATAAGTGCCTTGATAGAAGTCCTTATTTTTAAGGATGTGGATAGTTTGTGCTACTTTTCATTCCTCTGTAAACAGATGTCTCTCCACCTAACACCTAAAATAGTGTAATACCCCAAAAATAGCCTTACTAGTGAAATGTGATGGGAGGGGGGGATTCTGTTGCGCTTTCAAAACTTTTGTTCTTTAATTGTGATTAATAGAAAATTGGTTGTAAAAATGGTGGAGAAACAAATGGACGCTACCCTTCAGTGATAGAATTTGGGAAATATGAGATCCAAACATGGTACTCCTCGCCTTACCCACAAGAATATGCAAGGTAAGGAGAATGAACCTATAAACTGTTCTATGACAAACACCATCTCATAGCTCCAAAAAAGATTCCTTTACAACTTATTTGCAAAGCTTCTCAAATTCAGACATGCAGTGAAACCACAACTTTATAACTTCCCTTCTCTTTCTTTCCTAGCTTGCAGATTATCATTGAACGTTGCTGTAAAATCGGCTTGGCACTGCCAAAAAATCAAAGATTAAAAATATGTATTGGCTGCAGATAAGCCTGTTTAGCTACAGAATGCCTCGTACACACCCTTTTGTGGCTAAGGAAAAAAAGGCTAGCCCCCAAATTACTTCATGCATGTCCCTTCCTTTCTACATGGAGCTTGAGATACTTCTCTTAAAACATATCAAAAATAATCATAAATAATTAAGAGTCCAGCAGTGTTCAAAGTGTCCGCAATTAGAAAATCCACATATTAGTAAAATGTAATTTGTTATTTTTCTTGGTGCCAAAATTTTAAACTTCATAGTTCAACATTTTGAGACTATTTTGCCATGGATAGAATATGACAAGCCTTGCAAACAGTAATGTTGATAATAAATAGCTTCCTATTTCAGGCACTTGCCATCAATGTGCTCACCGTAATGTATGCTCTACTTTTGCCTGTAATTGGGCCCCAGTTCCTCAGTGTTCAAAAATGGTCTATATTTTCATCCATTTTTGAAGGGGTCAAGAGAAAAAGTTAAACAAAATTGGAGGGGCGGAGAGATTTACCTGAAAATCGGCAGACTTCTACCACCACCTCCTTTTCTTTTTAAAAAACCTTTCTCGCAGTGGTGCTCTTACAGCCTAGCATTTTTTCTTGGGCCTGTGCATTCCATTTTAACCTCCTATTTCCAAGTATCAGATATTCCGTTTCATCCAATAATTTAGGGAAGGCAGGAGAAATGAATGATGTCAGAGATAACTCAAGTGGAAAGTGGTCCCAGCTCTGGGAATTATCCTAAAGGTGTCTCGGTTAATTGGCACATTATTGGATGTTAGGATATAATCTATGGTGCTAGTAAATCCTCTGGGGGAGATAAAAGTAAAATAACCCTCTTGATCCCCTTGACGGTGCCCATTGCATAACAAAAGGTTATGCTTAATTATAAGTTCACAGAGATAATTCCCAGCGCGGTTAGAGAGGTGGTGTCCATTGCTGCCCTCTGACAGATTTTGGGTTCGTCCTCCCAGTTTAGTCCAGATAATATTGTATTTTGTGGGGAAACAAGGCTGATCCGGGCATTGAAGTCGCCTCCCAAGACAAGTCGAGGGTTAGGAGACAGAGAGTCTATACTTTCGAGTAGTTGGTCAAGCTTTCCCCAGTATGAGCTCAGTTCCCCACAAGACTTTAATGGAGGTATGTACGCACAGATACGGTAAGTATTTCTCCGGAGACTATCAGAAAGGGACAACACTAAAAAAATTAGGGGTGGTCAGCGAGGGACACTGTTGAATTGATACATTAAGAGATGTTGACACCAGCACTGCCAGCCCCCCTGCTAGGCCTTCCATACTTTACAGTTTTAAGAGCTGGTTGAGTGTAACTTGTAAAACCCTGTAATTCAATTCAACCATGGTGCCCTCTTTTGCCCAAGTTTCTTGAAGATGATATCATGTGTTTGTAGAACAGAAATCACTGTCTTGGGTCTTGTTCGGCCACCCTGTTACATTCCATGAGAGAAGTTTAATTGTTTTACAGTGATTTACTCTTAGTCAATTGCTGGCCAATGTACACTCGGAGTTTACCAGTTTTTGAGGCAACATGGATGCTAGTGGAATGATCCAGATGTTTGATTATTTCAGTCGTTATAAAGTACTCACATTTCATAAAGTACTCACATTTGTGTTCACTGGGCCTTTTATTTGCAAATTGCTCACCAGCGGGGATTTCTTGGGCGTAGTTCCTGACTCCTCCACATCTAAATATCTCATCTTTGTCCCGTACTCCGGTGGTTCTATAGTTATCGTTCTGTTGTGGCCATTGGGTCTATTGTCAGTGCTCAGATTCCTGAAGATGATTGTCTAGGGGAATTGGCTGTTCCTTTTGGCTCACCGGGTTATTTTGATGTTGGGCATGATTCTGCGAATTCAACTCGGGCATGTCTGTTTCCTCCCCTCCTGTCGAGTTTTTTTTTTTGCAATGTCATTACTTCCATTGGGGGATCCAGGCCTTGGTTTTGTGGGCCCCTCTGTAGCACCAGTCCTCATCTTACATAAGGGTGCAACAATAGAATTGTGAAATACCCGGGTTGGAAAAACTCCTCTGCTTGACAATTTCAGCTTGTGAATCAGTGAGGGCAGTCTAGTAGAGGAAAAAGTTAACATAATTTTTGGATTTGATTTTTGGTATTCAAGGGTTCAGTCCCAACTAAGTCAGTCTCTGTAAGTCCAATACCAAGTAAGTCTGATAAATGTTATTTGGAACGCTGGACACCTTTCCTTTTAGGAGTTTGATCTAGTCTTCCACAAATTGTCATGCAGATCTTTTTTGGTTGGAAGACTCTTAAATAAGAAGAGTTTGTTTTAAGAGCCTCTGCGCATTCTATGTCAAGCTTAGGGGTCTGCTCTTGTTGTGCCATTTCACTTTGGTGCTTTGGTGTTCTGTTAGTGCCTGCTTGCCTTTAACTGGTAAACTGTGGACCTCTTTGGATAACTGGGTTATTTGAGAGGCAATACCTCTAATTTGTTGGAAGATATGCTCAACCGTTCTTGCAAGTAGAGTTAATTGGGTGCTCTCCCTACTTGTTATTCCTTCCTCTCTTAGAGGCACAGGGTCAACTTGCCCCAATGTTGGATCCAGTTCTGCACTCTCACCTTGAGTATCCTCCTCATTTTCACAATCCTCTTTAAGGGGAGAAAACCGTTTTTTTTGTTGGAACTGTTAAAGCAGATTTGTTTTTAAAAGTCCTCCATTTTAGATTGCTTGGGAGCCGGTGAGAGAACTGCCTCCTCTGGGTCCCTGTTGCGTTTACTAGCAGGCATAGTATTGCAGTGGGGTGTAAACTAGGAGAGGTTTCCTTAACCAAAGAGAAGAGAAAAAATAGAAAGTGTTCAGTTTGTTCAATTTAAGAGTTTCTCTGTGTGGTGACTGCCAGGAGTTCCAGGAACAAAGTATAAAAGGGAGCTGGCGGTTAATAGCTAGCAGCTGGCAGCCTGCCCAGGATACTTCACAGAACTTGCCCAAGGTGTTTCTCATAACATAGATAAGAAGATGCTGATAGAATCTCAGTAGGTTGGTAAGTTTAAAAGTAGAAAATTAAAAAAAGAGGAAAATTTACTTACATGGGTAGCAATTGACACTAATTACATTCCTGTTATCTGCGGAGCTCCGAAGCCAGCTTGCTAAGCTGTTGCCATCTTGGAACCGCCACCAACCAGTGACTGTTGGTATTGTTCAGTAGTTGATAGTTGAACAATTAAGAATGATCAGATGAATGTTGAAGAGCAAGTCAGACAATAATGGAATAAGTGAGCCAGAGGAATATAAGGTAGGGGAATATGCAGAGGCTCCAGATCAAACTGATGAAAGGTTGGCAGGACTGGATCAAGAAATCATACTGAAGGAATCATCATCGTAAGAAAATGGAGATGACCTCCATACAAGAATTCGGAGAAGTAGAAGATAAGATTACAAATGGTGATTTAGAGAAATATCTGGACATAGTGTTGATGGAGCTGAGAGGCAAAAAAAGCTTTGGGATTTCACTCCTGGCCTTTCTTTAGTTTTAGCAGATTTGGTGTGAGTTCAAAGAATGGTGATATTAAAGTTATGGTATTGCCTCTGGAAAAAGACTGGGGGGAAAACAAAAAAATGAAGGTCGTAGAGGAGATCGGAATACCATTGTAAACACAACAGGAAATAGAATACAGCAGGAAATGGAACTGACTACAGTGGTACCTCGGGTTACATACTCTTCAGGTTACAGACTCCGCTAACCCAGAAATAGTACCTTAGGTTAAGAACTTTGCTTCAGGATGAGAACAGAAATCGTGCTCCAGCAGCACGGCGGCAGTGGGAGGCCCCATTAGCTAAAGTGATGCTTCAGGTTAAGAACAGTTTCAGGTTAAGAATGGACCTCTGAAACGAATTAAGTACTTAACCCAAGGTACCACTGTACACGGAACTGGACACAAACTAATGAGAAACAAAAATGGAATAATACAACCGGAAATGGGCTATAACAAGAAAGGGAACTGAGGATATGGAATTGGACATGAACAAGTGGATATACAACAAGAAAAAATGGAGTATTGGCTCAATGTGCAAGCACAATGGAGAGACTGTAATATGGACATGGACAGGAAGAATTATATTCAATATGGAGTAGTGGTGGTGAGAATTAATCGAAGTTAAATTAAAGGAAAAAAATATGGTTAACATTTATTAAGAATGACAATTAGTCTTGGACTTTCTGTGAGAAAAGGAAATAAATGATTCTGAGATACCTTAACTGGTAGGAAATATTGTTTAACAGAAAGTGGTAGATGTTCACATTGACCAAAGTTTTTAAATAATCATATTCTCTTTTATATGACTGGCAGATGGGAAATCAGAGTATTTCTTTTCTGTTGCCTTGCTTATTTTATTTTTCTCTTTTTCTGTCTTCTCTTTATCTTAGTTGTCCCCTTCTTTCCTTTTTCTGTTTACCTTCTTTTTTGGTATCTTTTGTAAATGCAACTGTATTATGGAAAATCTTAATAAAAAGTCATTTAAAAAGTTGAAATATTAATTGCAGGTTTTATTTTTTTAAACAATTCAGGTGTTCATTAATTTAGATAAAGGCTGAATTATGAATACTGTAGATAACTTCACTCAGAACACATTGATGTGTTTACACAATGCATATAATAATGTTCCAATATTATGATGGGATTTGACTTCACAGCTGGTTGTTTGTTTGTTTTTTTTATTATTATTATTATTAAATTTGCTCCCAAGTCCAGCTAGAATTTATGGGCACTTGGAAATACCTCAGCAGAATTGTTATGACACCAGCCTCATAATAAACAACTTGTTAAGAAGTATGATATGCTTTAAGCTTGCTTGTTGTTTTATTTGCTTGTTTAATACATATAGTGCTCTGGTTGACTAAGAATGTTGGCATTTTAAAATACAAAGAATTGTATACTAACTGCTCTGATTTTTAAACTTAACAGACTATCAAAGCTTTTCCTGTGTGAATTCTGTCTTAAATATATGAAAAGTAAAAATATTTTGCTAAGGCATGCAAAGAAGTGTGGCTGGTTTCATCCTCCAGCCAATGAAATCTACAGGAGGAAGGACCTTTCAGTGTTTGAGGTAGGAAGCATTTTTTTGGCGTTAGTAGTACTGCAGGCTAGTTGAAGAGTAAGAATGTAGTAAATGCATTAATCTCCCCACCCACAGCTATCTGTAATGTGGGTGCTCCTGACCCCACCCACCCACCCACACACTGTGCTTGGCCCCAGAGGATGCCCATTTCCCATGAGTTACCGTATTTTTCGCTCTATAAGACGCACCAGACCACAAGATGCACCTAGTTTTGGGAGGAGGAAAACAAGAAAAATATATTCTGAATCTCAGAAGCCAGAACAGCAAGAGGGATCGCTGCGCAGCAAAAGCAGCCATCCCTCTTGCTGTTCTGGCTTCTGGAATAGCTGCGCAGCCTGCATTCGCTCCATAAGATGCACACACATTTCCCCTTACTTTTTAGGAGGGAAAAAGTGAGTCTTATAGAGCAAAAAATACGGTATTTGTTGCTCAAGGAGGTACACTTTTGATTTTAGTGTGATTTTCCATCTTCTCCTGAAAGATTCCTGTTTTCCCAAGTAAACCTGTCCCACTATTTTAGAACACTGGAAGACCACTGATACTGGAAATCTGTTTTCATCCCCAACAGAAATTCTATAGTTTAGAAGAATTGTGGTAGGAACTTCAGACCAGTAGTCTGTGTAAAAAGAAATTCTGTATTGTGTAATCTATTGCTGTACGGATCAGACTGTATGGTAAGATACAAAGTAAATGATGGAAAGCAAGTAAGATAAATTGAGGAAGAAGGATACTCGTTAAATGTAGAAGCATGCTTATGAAAGAACACAAGGAAGTATCGACCTTCCCTCCACAAAGTAAAGAGCAGCAGCTATTTTACATCCTTTGATCTTTCTGTCCATGTATTTAGGATCAAATAAATGTAATTTGTGAAGAATAAATCTGAAAGTGACACTATTTTCAACTGATCTTGGAAACATTTTTTTCATTGAAAATAGTATTTGCTTTTGTATCTAACAACTTCTGTGTGTATATAATGCCAAAGTAACTTCCTCTTTGCAGACTTAACACTTCAGAAACTTAGAATAATGTTACTTGCTTTATCCTCCATCTGGTACAATGCCTTCAAAAACCAGCAGCTTAGCATATCTTTAATGATATGTTCACAAATTTGTATCTTTAATTAGAGGGAAATAAACTTTTGAAATGCCATAAATCAAAATTATATTTTACAAGTTTTACAAGTTACTTGTAAAAAAAATGTATTGATGGTCTAATATTTAATATGATTCTGAGAAAAATCTGGTTTTGTTCACTTTAAATATTATGTGCAGTGATCCACTTCCATACTTAAATATTAATATGGGAAATTTTCTCCTCCATAGGTTGATGGGAATGTGAGCAAAATTTATTGCCAAAATCTTTGCTTGTTAGCAAAGCTCTTTCTGGACCACAAAACCTTATATTATGATGTTGAGCCATTCCTTTTCTATGTTCTCACAAAGAATGATGAAAAAGGATGCCACTTAGTTGGGTACTTCTCCAAGGTAAAAGTTTGATCTTAACATCATGAGAATATCTTGCTTTTGTGCCAAAGCAGTAACACTGCTGATTTGGAATGCATAATATCAACCGAAAGCAAACACTGTTTTCTGATTACAAACAAATACAATGCCAGTATCATTTTAAGATCTCAAGTATTCTCTCTTGGGCTTTATTTATCATTCTACTATATTTTTTCACTTTAGAATGTTTCCATCAGGTGTGACAAATCTCCTGTTTCGTTTGGCACTTCCAGTTTTGTTGTAGTTATTACTTATTTTGTTACTCAGGTAGTATAGCATCTCATCATGCCTTTTATGACAATTTTCTTTTATTGTTTAGTGAAAATTTAAGGTCTTTAGTCTGAAGATTTTCTCTTGAGATTCCACCCCCTGTATACTCGGTGTCTACATTGTCATGTATATATAATTTGCTCTATGTTCATGTTTTAATAATAGTTTGTAGTTTTGTCAGCAAGTGCTCTCCCCACGCCAAGTTTTAATTCCAGTCTGTCTTGTATCTGGTTGTTTATTCTAAATGTTTCTCAAACTGTGGAATGGGACCTGTCACTGAGCCTTGGGCCAGTTTCAAGTGGTCCCAGTGCCACAGCCCTGCCTAGTGTAGGAATGGCAAAGGAGGAGACAAGATAGAAGGTGCATATAAAGACAGCTTGAATAAGTGAGACAGTCTAGGAGGTTTAGTTAAGTTACACTGGAGTTTATTTTGAGGATTTCCCTGTAAAGAAGCAGCTGTCTTGGGTTGTAGCAGCTGTTGATGCATAGTGGTTAGTGGCGCAGAGGCACTGAGATTTTGAGTTATCCCTGTTAGTCTCCCCATACACGTGGTCTGGATTTCAAGGAGAGTTCTGGGGTGTCTTTGCCAGCGTGACTCCTGCTTCTTACGTTCCTGCACCCTGCCAGGCACCCTGCCTGATAGACGTAACTGCCCTGAAGATCCCACTACACTAGCATCTTACTGGGTTTGCCTTTGTTTTCAGCAGCCGGTTTAATCTTTCCTCCTGCTGTTTTTGTAGACATCAATTTATATTTCTTTCTGGTCTGTGCCATATTCTGATGGAAATTTACTTGGTATTCAAAGGTGGATGCACCTGACTGTATGAAAGCTGCGTGTGCTTCAAATATTACTTTAGATAAACAGTTCTGTCAGTTAGAAGTATTTGCTGAGAGACAGATTAAATGCTGGCAAAAAGCAGTAAGTTATTTTAATGTGGCCATTACTTATGATCCAAACTGCTGTCTTCAGCAAACGTGTAGGTATCATCTGCCTTTTGTACATTCCTGACACAAAAGTCAGGGCAGCATGAGAAAAAATGCCTTCTTTCTACTCCCTGGATTTGAAATTCACTCATGCAGTTCCTTTTGGATTTTTCTGTTGTTAATTTCTGAGGTGCCATCTCGTAAAATAAATCTTTTTGGAAGATACATTTGATTTGCTGTTCTACTTCACCAGCGACATTACTTTCTAGGGGCTTACTCTATTTTCGTATTGACCTGCTGCCTGTTTACCTTACTGGGCTATTTTACAAAGGCAGAGGCAGGTGCATGGAATTGCCCACTTCAGCAGTGTTTTGACATCCTTGATCTGTTTCTCCTTCCCCCAGGAAAAGCTCTGCCAGCAGAAGTACAATGTCTCCTGCATAATGATCATGCCCCAGTACCAAAGGCAAGGATTTGGAAGATTTCTCATTGATTTCAGTAAGTGAGCGGCTTTGTTTACAGTCATAACCCTGAGAGCTGATGGTGGTTATGAGGATACAGCTACATAAAAACTTTATTTAACCTGTTTTGTTGTTTGTTTTTTTATCACTAGATAATGGGCTTTCTATTTCTATTTGCGTAGTGGCAGGAAAGCTCCCTCAAGTGAAAAATCTAGTGCCTCTGTTGTACTGCAGGAAATTGAGAATGTGTCTCTCTGCAGTAATATTAACTCTCAGAGCTATTACGCTGAATGAATTGTCTAAATTGCATTCATTTTGTGCTGCTCATTAGTACAAAGAGAAGCAATTATTTGTGATTAAAGCAAAGGAAGGTGTTAGTCCAAGGCATTCTCTAGTTTCCCAGTCTATTAACATGGAGTACATTTTAGCTGAACAATGCTTATGATGAGAGAGCGTAATGTTTCAATTTATTATTCCTTTTTTAAAAGAATGTCATTAACTCACTTCTGAAGTAAAAGCTACTATTTGCTGCACAATGTATAAATTGGTATTCAGGGTTTATATCTTGTATTCTTCATCATGCAGTTGCCCATCTGACATAATTTTAAAAATGTTGGAGCTATTCATAATATTTCAATATCAGTAAAAAACAATTTGATAAAACAAATAGTATAATTCAATAGGCAAGCGCCACAGCTCAATGATTTCATTGACATTTTGAACTGAACTTTGAATTATAGTTTGGAGAAAGGCTATGAAAGCCAGGTTTTCGAAGCCATGTGTTAGGGTACCCAATTATTTTTAAAGCTTCACAGTAAACATATAGCACTGTATGTGGTTGGCTTTCTTCGGTGGAGGAACATACAAGGTGATTAAGATGCAGATCAAATATAAATCTTAAGAAGGGAGGTAGCAGCCAACAGGGTTTCTTACTTGGCAGTTGCCCATCATGAGTTATTGCTGGTGATGCTTCATACTCAATGTGTTATGCTTCCTTCTCATGATAGAAGCAGGTTGCCCCATCCCTTCAAGCACTCTGCTTCTTCTGCCACAGCAAGTATTGGCAGATTGTTGTCACAGCAGGCACCCATTTTCGGGGAGACATGTGTCCTCAGCAAACTCACCCACTGATCCCCCATTTAAGGGAGACGGAAGGACAAGCTTCTCCAAGGCTTTTCTGGTTCCTGAAATTTGCATCTTTCTGGCTTCACTTGACTGGGAGGACTAAATCTAGATGTCCAGTGAATTCTTCACCCAGAATGTGAAGGATTCCCATAGAGAAGAGTGTTACCTTCCTAGAACTCCCTGGGGTTGTCTTCAGCCATATTGGTATAAAGACTTCAGCCTTTCCCCCCCTCTGCTCTCTCACAAGGGATATTCACAGAGATCTGAACAACTACATATTTTGCCCCAGCGTGCTTTGGTGCAGCCCAAGGCACAAGCTACGTTTGGGAAGGGGAGAAGGTTCCAGACTCACTAGGACCTATTATATATTGCAGACAGGGTTTCCAACCTTTTACCAACAACATAATTTTCCTTTCTCCCCTCCCACTTCTTCTTTTACATCCAACCTGAGAGAGAGTTCTGTGAAACTCGAAAGGTAGCTCAGTATTTGGTGATTTTCAGAGGGTTCTTTTTTTAAAAAAAATGAAGCTGAAGGAGGCTTGGGGTTAAAAGGCCAAGGTTATATTAATATGGGGTGCAGGTGAATTTAAATGCATTGTATCATACTTGTTTCAAAAATTAAACAGCAAAGGGTTTCCCAAACTTCTCCCAAAGAGCCTTGCTAAGGCATTGGCACCCTGCTGTGCAGCATTGCGTTCCTGTGACAGAACACAATGGGGACAATGCATTATGACAGAATGTTGTTCATAGTGACATCCTTGTGGTGGGATGATGGTTGCTCCCCCCCCCCCAGTTGGTTTCAACCATTGAATTGTAGTAGGGGGGATAAGGCCAGAAAGATAAAAGAAGAAAAGCAATAATCTGCATCATATTGAAAAGGCTTAGATGAAATTTGTTTAAATTTACTTGCTCCACCTGAAAAATTACTTTAAAATTTCTATTGTGAAGAATGAATTGAGAATGTAATTGAGGTAGGGGGATATTTAAGCACATCTTGAGTTCTAATCAAAGTTTTGTGCTTTTTTTTAATTTGCCCCACCCTTTTTCAGCAGGGGTCGGTCCACTGTCCCTCAGACCTTGTGGGGGGCCAGACTATATGGGGGGGGGGAAATGAACAAATTCCTATGCCCCACAAATAACCCAGAGATGCATTTTAAATAAAAGTACACATTTTACTCATGTAAAAACACCAGATAGGCCCCACAAATAACCCAGAGATGCATTTTAAATAAAAGGATACATTCTACTCATGTAAAAACACGCTGATTCCCAGACTGTCGGCGGGCCAGATTTAGAAGGCGATTGGGCCGGATCTGGCCCCTGGGCCTTAGTTTGCCTACCCGTTCTCTAGTGGAACAACATGACTCCTTGCATATATTTTTTTTGGGGGGGGAGCGTTCCAAATCTATGGGTATAAGCTATGGTGGGCTTTGTTCTTCATGAGCAGAGGCTTCTAATGAGGGGTGGCGTCAGTAAAATCATCAAAATCATAATGTAGTGGAGGCTTCTCTGGGTTGTGCTGCAAGGCTTTAATAGTGAGCAAAAACAGTTGCATCAGGACAGAAATTCAGGAGGGTGGATTAGATGGTTTGACTAGATCATAGTTTCCCTAGATTCTCTAGATGTTTTGGGACTACAATTCCCATCATTCCTGACCACTCTTCTTGCTAGCTAGGGATAATGGGAGTTGTAATCCAAAAACAGCTGGAGATCTGAGTTTGGGAAACTCTGGACTAAGAGACCTCTGCTCTGCTCACAGAGTTGCCACCATCTGCAGCCATTCCACTGGCTGAATCAAAGAGAAAAGTCTCACATTAGCTCTTTCTATCCCAGAAAATTCCTGTGGTGATCACTCTACCTGGGCATTCTGAAATGTTTTTTGTTCATTAGTTCATTTACTTTACTTTCCCCTCGCTTACCCGCTGCATCCTGTTTGCATATTACTTGCATTACAGTGGTACCTCGGGTTACATATGCTTCAGGTTACAGACTCCGCTAACCCAGAAATATTAACCTCGGGTTAAGAACTTTGCTTCAGGATGAGAACAGAAATCGTGTGGCGGCGCAGCAGCAGCAGCAGTGGGAGGCCCCAATAGTTAAAGTGGTGCTTCAGGTTAAGAACAGTTTCAGGTTAAGAAAAGACCTCCAGAACGAATTAAGTTCTTAACCCAAGGTACTTGCAACTGTAAACTTCCTAGATGGCCCTGGGAGAAATGCAGAATATAGATACAGTAAATGGTTAATAAAAAGTTTGGCTACTGTAACACTTCATTATGTTTCTTTGGCTTGGGTAATGCAGTGCTGTGTGAAGGGTAGACGTTCTGGTTGGTGTGTTAATACTTATAGTCCTTCAGTCTCTTTAGATACAGTAATTAACAATATTTTGATGACATGTGCAGCAATCTGTTCAAATAAGTGCAAGGGTTATGTGAATTATTTCATATCGTAGGCAGTTCAGATGACCCTTTGGCCCTGAAGATGAGATTGGGCACATACACCAGGCTTACAGATATCCCTGTTGCTCTAGCAGTTGTTTCAGGGTTAGGGAGATACATATAAGATCTTCCACTCTTAACTTCTACCAATGCGGATTGGAGCAGGAATCAAACCTGAGAACCAGACGCGCCCACTGTTCATGTTGCCACAGCCAGAATTTGGGTGGCCAAATAATGTAACAACAGGCATTTTCGTAAAGTCAATAATCATTTTCAGTAATCAGTTTTATTTCCCCTTGATTTTGTTCCATTTCCCCTCACAATTATCCTGCCTGCTTGTGTTTTCTAATGGCTGTTCTTGCTACACATCTCAGAAACATGAGACTGCAGCTTCCACTTTCCATTTTGTGGACTTTCAACTTTAGTGGCACACAGACTGAACGCTGTAGGACATCAATGCATGTCATTAGGCTGTATAATGAAGCGAAGAAAACCAGCATGGCAGTCCTCATCGTGGTTTGCATATGTTGCACGAATAGCTCAATTTCTAACTATGCTCATTAATTGACTACCAAATTGAGCTCCATATGCTACTCTTCACAGTCCTGGACATGTGATCAGCTGGAATGAAATTCTGCCTAATCAAGGTATGCAAACAGCTTTCAGTATGTATGGACAGTTGAGAAAAGTCCTGGGTCTAGAACGGTGGCCATTGACTGATACTTTAGAAGAAGGCAAATAAGTAAATGTTGAATGCACCTTAAAATACTGTTGTAAGTTGGAAATACCCAAAGGCAACTATTTTTAAAAAGTCATTTGCAAGCTAGCAAGAACAGCATGTTAAACTTCATTTTTTAATTAAAAAAAATTAAACTCAACAATTTAGCTTTTCTGTGCTGATTTAAATATATTATCCAAGTAAATGAAGGAGTATCTCCACCCCCATCATTCAGCCCAGACACTGAGGTCCAGCTCCGAGGGCCTTTTGGTGGTTTCCTCCCTGTGAGAAGTGAGGTTACAGAGAACCAGGCAGAGAGCCTTCTTGGTAGTGGTGCCCACCCTGTGGAACGCCCTCCCATCAGATGTCAAGGAAATAAACAACTAATCTGACTTTTAGAAGACATCTGAAGGCAAACCTGTTTAGGGAAGTTTTTAATGTCTGATGTTTTATTGTATTTTTAATATTTTGCTGGAAGCCACCCAGAGTGGCTGGGGAAACCCAGATAAATGGGCAGGGTATAAATAGTAAATTGTTGTTGTCATTTCCTGAAAAGTCCACATCCTATCTTGAAATTGTGGTTTAATGAAGATCTGGTAAAGATTAGGTTGTGCTCCACGATCAAGTTCCGGCTTAAATAGGGAACTACAGGGATGCGGGTGGCGCTGTGGGTTAACCCACAGAGTCTAGGGCTTGCCGATCAGAAGGTTGGTGGTTCGAATCCCTGCGACCGGGTGAGCTCCTGTTGTTCGGTCCCAGCTCCTGCCCACCTTGCAGTTCGAAAGCACGTCAAAGTGCAAGTAGATAAATAAGTACTGCTCCGGTGGGAAGGTAAACAGCGTTTGCATGCGCCGCTCTGGTTCGCCAGAAGCGGTTTAGTCATGCTGGCCACATGACCTGGAAGCTGTACACCAGCTCCCTCGGCCAGTAAAGAGAGATGAGCGTCACAACCCCATATTGGTCCAGGACTGGACCTAAAGGTCAGGGGTCCCTTTACAGGACAATGAGCCATGCTAGCTAAGAGCCTCTTCAACTGCAGTAGGCAATCCCTGTGACCATCCCTGACCCCGTTGAAGCTTCCAGGACAGACTAGTTTTCTGGTCTGAGCAGCAAAGCGATCCTTTTCCTAATGTCCCATGTTCCTGCTTTGCTCCATATCTTTCTGTAGGGGCAGGAAATGGATCCAACTTCATTTATTTATTAATTTTGGGGTAAGGTTTTATGCACTGCAGTCAAGCTCCTTTCTCCTCACACTGGCTAAATCATGGCTTAAAGCTTGATGCACTGGGCATTGAGCTACAAATATTTTGCCAAAGAGGGCCATTCCCTCTTATTTAGAGATATTGAAGTATTAAAAATGACTTTTGTACTGAAGTGCAAGCAGAAGAGTGAATAGGCTTTCCTACCCTATAAAAGGAAGTCAGACCTACAAGTCAGGTTCTCTCTTGTGCTGGAGCATGCTATTTAGGAGAAAAGCTAAGTGGCTCTAGCTTGAGCTAATAAACACAGTTCCCAAATAGAATAATGAGCTGCCAAAGATTGGGACCATCCTTAGCATCCCACCAAAGGTAGGGAGAAGAAATGTGCAGCCTCTAAGATGATGTAAAGAATGAATGGTTACTTTTAGGGGGCAGCATAAAGCAGGAAGTGATTGCCTCTGGGTTTTTTTAGCTCACTCGTGCCTTTGCAGACTGCTTGGTTTGGTCCTACTTGCTCAAAATGCCATTTGTATTGTTGTATAGTAGGCAAAGGAAAACAACAATGAACCAAAAGCAGCTGGCTGTTCCTTCATGCAAAGGTACAATTTGTTGTAATTTTTTGAGATTTGAGCTATAGATGGTGCGGATAGGACCTTCCACTCAGTACATATGATTCTTTTGATTCTGAATGCAAACTGGGCATTGAGATGCTCAGTGCACATAATGAGTCAACTTTCTTTGTACAATCATTTGCCCGGTGCTGCTGCTGCTTCTTCTTGTTGTTGTTGAAGGCTCTGAAAGTATATTTGTTTTCTGCTTTGTTACTCTTCATGCTTAGATTTTATTGGTTTTTATAAAAGCACAGGAAATGTAAAAGGTTACTAGATTTTGGAAACAAAACCATGGCATGTCATACTTTCCTGCAACTGCTCTGAGTCAGACCCAAGCAGACTGATGCCTGATGACTAATCATCTTTCTTACTCCTGCTCATTATGTTGAAGCAACCTTCATATACACTTTCCATTCTGTGACATCTGTCTTCTTTTAAAAGAATATGAACAGGAATCTACACAACAGTTTGGATGACTGGCAAAAAAACCATTTTTTAATGGATTGTTCTCTCAGAATGTAGATGTCTTATCTGCCGTATCTATGGCTGACACCATGTTCATTAAAACTCCCAATGACATTAACTTGGGACACTACCCATTTTTTGTGACATGATTGTGATATACCAGTGTTCATTCTGCTGGTGCTGTGTGCCATGCAGTGAGTCGGTAAAGCACAAACGGAGAGAAGCAAGTTGCCAATTGCAAAAATATATATGATACATTGCCTTACTATAGTGTGATATTGGATTCAGAATAAAAAGTATAATGTTAGAACATCAAAAGGAATTTATTGGGGCAAAACCAATGAAATCAAATATACTATGGTTATCATGGCATTCTTGTGTCCATCTTGTGAATATATAAATGGAAATGTTCCAAGGAAAGCAATAAATACTCAGACAATATTTTCTGAACATGCTATTTATAGTAGCATAGAAATGTGGAAGGGATGGGGAAAGGAGGAGGATTGAAACCTGGATCAGATTGGTAGAAGTCCCCTGTGGTGCTTCTGTGAATGAAAGGAGGAGTTAACAAGAACTATTCATTAGAAGCAGCTACATACAAACAAATGATAGAATCGCAGAATTGTAGAGTTGGAAGGTACACAGAGGGTCATCTAGTCCAACCCCCTGCAGTCCAGGAATCTCAACTAAAGCATTCCTGACAGGTGGCCAATCTCTGCTTAAAAACCTCCAAGGTAGGCTGATCCACCCTAGGTGGGCTTCCAGACAGCTCTGGAGGATTTCCAGGCTGATACGACTGGTGCTCCTGTTGAAGCCCTGGCCAACAACTGGAACATTGAATGGCTTGGGCTGTTGACAATATAGCCCCTGAGCGCCTTCTCCCGCTTTGTAAAGCCCTTTTGGTTCCCTGATACACCCCAGAACTTAGGGCAAGGAATCAAGCTGGGTGATGACTCAAACATAAGCAGAGGGAAATCTTGGTGAGGGCTCGTTATCAAGCCTACCTAGTGGCAGTGAAGGCTGAAAAGGTGGCTTACTTTGCTGCCTCCCTTGCATCCTCATTGTGCCATCCAGCACAGCTTTTCCGGGTAGTGCAGAGCCTGTTCCAGTCTAGCCCAAAGGAGGTGGCAGGATGAACGGCAGCTTGCTGTAATTTGTTTGCAATGCATTTTGAGGATAAAATTGCATCCACAGGGATCTTGACTACGCTGTTACAGCAGATGAATCACTAGAGGCATCCAGAGCACAGTCTAGTCCTGCTGTGTTGGATGAGTTTCAGTTGGTAAGGCTCAAGGATGCAGGACAAGGTGCTTGAATCAGTTAGTGTGACTTCTTGTGCTGTGGAGCCTTGCCCCTCATGGCTGATTAAAAGCTAGCAGGGAGGGGACAACTGGCTGGGCCAGGGAAGTGATTAACTTGTGGTCTACTAAGACCCCTAGGTCCTTTTCACATGTACTACTGGCAATCCAGGTGTCCTCCATCTTACATTTGTGCAGCTGGATCTTCCTAAGTGTAGAACCTTACGTTTGTCCCTGTTGAAATTCATTTTGTTTGTTTTGGTATGATAAAGATTTTAAAAAGTTGATTTCTTCAGTGCTTGGGAGGGTAGGAGCAGCTACCTCTAAATTGTAGACAATGAGCCATCATTATTTATTTCATTGCTTTTCAACACGGAAAAAGGACCCCTTCTGGTGATAATCACTTGCATTCATTGGGATTTATCTCAAGCCTTTTTTGCTTTTGTGTCATGTTTCCAGATCTGTCTTTTATTTGTGAACTTCTATTTCACCATGAAAAGCACATCTCTCAAAATTAGCTAGCACAATCCAGAATTAGGGTGGACATACCAATGCACAGAAGTGGAATACCCCAGGTTAGAGTGCAGACACTATTGAAATAAAGTATTTCATACCAATGCATCTCTTCAGAATGGTAAAAGTGTGTGATGCAGCACCTTGAACACTTTGTGATCAAATACGTTAATGAGAAGCTAAAATCTTTTGAAGTATGATGGGAAGCACTTTACTAATTACAACATACTCTAGTTTTTCAAAAGTTTATTCTACATTTGTTACCTAATGGAATACAGCTGGCTGCTAAAAACCCTTCCCCACCTTCCCACCACCCACTTTATCACTAATTTTTTAACGTTCCAACAGCAGAAGCACTAATGAAAGAGGGATACAGATATCCTGTTGAGCGATTGGTATTTAACTGCATATTTGTACAGGGGGCAAACATTGCTCACGCGTTTCAAATTTAGATGCAGCCTCTAGTTTGTCAAATATAGTCACTGGTGAAGTTGATACAGTAGGATTTCACCTGTAACAATAGAGTCTCCAGCTTGATTGGAGAGTTTGAGTGTCCCCAACCAGTGTCATCAGTTTTGTGCTTAGGTCATAATTGCTTCAGGTCTGCCTTAGTGATGGGGCATGCTCTGTATCAGAAGAGATGGGAACATGTGGAGTGATTTGCTGGATCAGAACTCCCACCTGTGACTAGTCAGATCACTATCTTGATCCATTTCAGGCTGCTTACAGGTCTAGTTTTAGAAAGAAATCAGTCTTGGATTACCTTTTATCAGGGGAGGGACAAGGGGGGTATGACCTTGTTGCTCTTATTTAATCTCTCAGCAGTTTTGATGCCATCAGCCATGGTATCTTCCTGGACCAGCTCTGTGGTATGGACACAGTACTTCAGTGGTTGCATTTCTGCCTACAGGCCTGTTTACAGAGAGTGGCATTGGGTGACCGGCATTGCTCACCTGGCATTTTCACTATGGGAGCACATAAGAGTGCTATCTTCTGTGATGCTTTTTAACATCTACTTGGGAGCTGTGATTAGGAGATTTGGAGCAAGGTGTCGCCAGTATGCCGATGACTCAGCTCTATTTCTCTAACATCCGAATCAGGTGAGGCCGGGCGCTCCTGGATCAGTGTCTGGAGTCAGTGATGGGCTGGATGAGGGCCATTAAACTGAAGCTGAATCCAGGCAAGATGGAAACCCTGTGGATGAGCGGTTCCCAAGTTCAGGAAATAGGCCAGTTGTCTGTCCTTGATGGGGTTGCACTTTCTCTGAAGGAGCAGGTATGTAGCTTGGGAGTACTCCTAGATTGTCCACAGTGGCCAGGAGTGTTTTCTCCTAGTTTGGGCTGGTACACCAGCTACAGCAGTTCCTGTACAAGAATAGCTTGCCACAGTGGTGCAGGCCTTGTTAACCTTTAGAATGAACTAACGCAATGAATTCTACATAGAGCTGTCCTTGATGAAGGTGGTGAATGCTGCAACCCAACCTTTGGCTTGAACAACTCCATATCAGCATATTACACTGGTGCTGCCTGAAACCTGGAAGGAAGCTTTCATAATTCTGATACCAAAACAAGATCAAGATAGATCAAGTCTAAAAAACTATAGACCAATCTCATTACTTAACGTGGATTACAAAATTTTTGCTAATATTTTGGCCAACAGGTTGAAGAAGGTATTAACAGATTACAGCCATAAGGACCAGGCAGGATTCCTGCCTGGAAGGCATATGACAGATAATATTAGGAATATAATTGATCTATTGGAAAGATTGGAAGTTTAAAAAAACAGTAAAGCAATGTTAATGTTCATTGATGCAGAGAAGGCCTCCGTTAATGTGTCCTGGAGTTTCATGAAGAAGAATTTAGAAAGTATTGGGGTTGGACAAGACTTTATAAATGGTATTAATGTGATCTATTTTGAACAAAAGGCAAAAATTATAGTTAATAATGTGGTTTCAGAAGAAATTAGAATTGAAAAAGGAACCAGGCAAGGAGGCCCACTTCCCCCTCTGCTTTTTATAACAGTGCTGGAGGTTTTGCTAAGTATGCTAAGGAAGGAGGAAGAAGTTAAAGGTATAACAGTAGGATCTAAACAATATAAGTTAAAAGACTTTGCGGACAATTTAGTGCTAACATTACAAGATCCAGACTCCAGTGCAGTAAAAGCACTGGAGCTGATTCACGAGTTCGGGCAAGTAGCAGGATTTAAGTTAAACAAGAGCAAAACGAAAGTAATGGGGGAAAAATTAGATATTGAGGAGAGAAATATTCTTCAAGAAAAGACTGGCCTAGTTTTTTAAAAAAAAGTACTTGGGGGTGAATTTATCGGTGAAAATTTTGAATTTATATGAAGATAATTATGAGAAATTATGGAAATAAATTAAGAGAGATCTGGAGATTTAGTCAAAGTTAAAATTGTCATTAATGGGCCGATTATCGGTGGTTAAGATGAATGTATCGCCAAAGATGTTGTTTTTATTTCAAGCCTTACCAATTATTGAGAATGTTAAATATTTTAAAGAATGGCAGAAAGCATTGTTAAAATTTATCTGGCAGGGGGAAAAACCCAGAATTAAATACAAATTACTTACAGATTTTCCCTGCCAGACCTGAAGATATACTTTGAAGCAGCAGCTTTCTGCTGGATTAAGGAATGGATTCAACTAGACAATGTTGATGTTGTGGATTTAGAGGGATCTGATAATGTATTTGGTTGGCATGCATATTTATGGTATGATAAGATAAATGCCCATAAAGGTTTCAAAAACCATGTAATTAGAAAATCACTATATAATGTTTGGATAAGATATAAAGATCTTCTAGAAAGAAAAACACCCAGATGGCTTTCGCCAATAGAAGCAAAGGTCCAGAAAAAGTTAAATATGGAGAGTAAATGGCTGAGATATTCTGATTTATTGTTGGAGGATAATGAAGGATTTAAATTAAGATCATTTGATCAAGTTAAAGATAAATTGTATTGGCTACAATATTATCAGATCAATGAAATGTATAAGCTTGATAAGAAAAATGGTTTTGCAATGGAAAAAACCAAATTGGAAATGGAGTTGCTAGATACCAATGTTAAAAACCTATCTAAGATGTATAACTTATTGTTGGAGTGACATACAAAGGATGAACAAGTGAAATCTGATGATAGATTGGGCAAGAGATTTTGGACACAATATAATGATGGAAGATTGGGAATGGTTGTGGAAGAAAGGGGTTAAGTTTACTGCCTTCACTGTATTAAAAGAAAATATTATGAAAATAATGTACAGATGGTACTTAACCCCAGTAAAATTAGCAAAGATTTATCTTAGGAGTGATAATTTATGTTGGAAATGTAAAGAAAAAGAAGGTACCTTTTATCATATGTGGTGGACATGTCCTAAAGTGAAAGACTTCTGGGAAAAGATTTATAATGAATTGAAAAAAATGTTGAAATATACATTTATTAAGAAACCAGAAGCCTTTCTACTTGGAGTAATAGGACTGGAATTGCCCAACAAGGATGTTAGATTGTTTTTGTATGCCACAACTGCAGCAAGAATTTTATTAGCCAAAAATTGGAAAACGCAAGAAAGTCCAACAATAGAAGAATGGCAGATGAAGATGTTGGACTTTTTGGAGCTGGCCGACCTGACTGGGAGAATCCGCAATCAGAAAGAAGAGGAACACCAAGAACAATGGAAGAAATTTAAAGACTATTTAGCTAAATATTGTAATATAAGACAAGTAGAAGCTACTTGAAAGTACCAATTAGGCTTAGGAATAGAGTATGATTAAATTGTAAAACATTATGGACCTAAAAATTATGAAAAGAAGTAAAGATAGTAATTGGAAGGAATTAATTGTCTTAGAAAGAAGATATTGGAAAACTTACAAGGGGATACAATGAAATTCAGTTAGGGGGGATTTGAGGAAGTCAGTTAACAATGAAAACTAAATTGGATATTAGAAGGATTTTTTAATCTTTTTTTCTCTTTTTTTCTTTTTAGTATATTTGTTATAAATTTGGAAAATTAATTTAAAAAAAATTGGGGGAAAAAAACATATTACACTGTGTCATGGTATTGATGGAGAATGAAGGAGAGGAGGAGAGACAGACAGACAGAGGAAGGGGGGCAGGAAGTGGCGGTGGAGGAAAGAAGGGAAAGCCAGGAGGAGGGACAGCTCACAGATGTTGGACCAGACCCTCAACACCGCACAGGAAGTTCTGGCACAGACAGTGAAACAATGCCTGTTCCATCTGCCAAGGAAAGGAGAGTGTTAAAGAGGAGGGGACAGAGACATCACATGAAAGTTCCACATCTTTTCTGTTGGAGAAGGGCCGGGCATAAGGCACTCCAAGAATCTGAGCCGGAGGATTCGGATGCATGATTGTAACGTGCTGCTTGTACATATGTAAAATAAAGACTGTATATATGTATCTCTGAGTGAGCAGAGGCATTTCTTGCGGAGAGCGTTCACAAGCCATCACACACTGGTGCTGAAAGCTCTGCACTGGCTGCCCGTATATTACTGAGCTAAGTTCAAGATAATTGCTCTTAGGGTATGAAGCCCTGTGTATGAAGTGCATGAATAGTGTATGAAGAACAGGCTGCCTCCACATACATCATTTTATTTGTATACTACCTCCCTGTAGTTAAAACCAGGCTCAAGACAGCTTACAACATGGACAAAATTACATAGTTACAAATAAAACAAAAATCGTCACAAATAATAAATAAAACCCATAAAAAAGTACACAGCCAAATCATAACAAGATCTAAAAATAAAGATACCAAAATTTTTTTAAAAAAAAAATACAGCCACAAAACCCAAACTATGCCCCAACCCAAGATTCTGTTGAGCTGCCTCAGTGTTTGTTGCTGGAGTCAGTCAAGGGCCCACCATCCCAGGCTGGATTGGGAAAGGCCTGCAAAGGAGGTGAGGCGTTTCCCCGTTCGTTTGAAAATGTCTGTACAGGGGGAGAGAAAGGGTTAACAGGTAGACCAATAGAAAAGCCAGAGGCGGTGCCTACCTGTTCATAAAAGGGCTTAGCGGGAGGTTTGGGTTGGTTGGTTTTGGTTGGTTGGTTGGTTGGGAAACGCAGTTGGGAAAGCAGTTGGCAGACAGATGGAACTAGAGAGACAGTTAGTGCAGTTGATTCTTGTGTGAGGGGACGTAGAAGAGTTAGGGACAGAATTAAAATAAGACTAAGAAGGTAAAGAGTAACGACATTTTGAATGCAGTTCAAGTTTATTTGTGTTTGCAATAAACTACTCTTTGTTAACCTGACTAAGTGATTTACCGGGGAGGACCTGGTTAGTGGCAGCAGATTAGTCGTGGACAGGTCAATAGTCCGTGAGACGACCGGGGCTCCGTATGAACGCCACAGGAGGTCTTTCAGGACTCACTCAGCGACTGCCTTGTCCCTTATACTGACCACTGTGGGCATCTAAAGAAGCCCTCTTGACCATCCCGTGGGAGCCACATGTTCGTTTAGGTTTTGCTTGAGTCAAGTCTTTCAGCAGTATTTTGGACCGCTTGAAGGGACAGGATACCCAAATCCTGTCTGTGAAGTCACCCCCACCCCCCAACCAGGCCTCAAAACCAAATTTCCCTTTTCTCTCTTCTAAAAAATCCACAGCTTCTGCTTTTCTCTGCTTTCTCACAAGATGCTGCTGCATAGGCAAAGTGTTACTTTTATCAGTATGAGAGAGCTTCAAAAAGGCTAATGAATGGACTCTATCAATGCCAAGAATACTCAGGCCTGGGAACTGACTCTTATCTCATTCGGTTGCAACACATCTTGGACACGCTGAAACGCAAGGCTTCTCAATCCCCTTGGCTTCTCATCCCCCTTTCATGGGAAGGGTGCCAAGGGGGAGGGAACTGGAGGGGAATATATGCTCTGTGCAAATGGCTGTGAACTTGTGCTAAGCTTGTGAGTTATCACGCTTGCTCCTTCTACCAGCCTGGATGGTAGAAATAAAGCTTTTTCTCTGAAATTATCCCTTGAGTGTCTGTTTGACTCCCATTTCCCTGTCCCGGGCGCAATGCTCTTCCCACCCGAGGGCAAAGCCTGAAAAGGCTACATTTCTTGGTGCGTTGGCCGGGAATCGAACCCGGGTCAACTGCTTGGAAGGCAGTTATGCTCACCACTATACCACCAACGCTTATTCCTATTGAGATTAGATGAGCAATTGCAACTCTGATCTTTTGTCATCTGTTAAAAACATATTTGCTTTCATCAAGCATTTTTAGAGAATTGATTCAGTTCATTGTTTGTCATTCGGTGCTGTATTTTATGATTTTATTGTCCTTGGTAACTCCACCGCAATACTTTTCTTAGGAGTTGGCAGTTTATAGATATAAAGAAAGCTCAGGAACATGAAAGTTTCATTCAGAACCAATACACCACGCTATTTGTTTGATCCCCTTTTAGCTCTTTCCAGACAAAACACGAGCTGTAACCAAGGCTTACAACTCATTTTCCCAGGTTCTGACTATGGCTTAGCTCATTAAATCATAGAAATAAAATCACTTCCATGGATCTGTACTTGAGTGTTGTATGTGTTGTTTTATTACAAAGTGTATGATACCATAAATGTTGTCCTAATGTAATAGGAGACATTCTTTCTTATGCTTGATGTATAGGTGTCTCAATTTCTTATAAAGTACTGCAAACACCAATATGAACATTGAACATTCATATATACCCCTTCTAAATAACTTTTTCGGTTTTTATATAAAACTTTGCAGTTGTCAAAACACATTTAGATCCAGTGGCACCCCTTGTCATGTAGGTCTTAAAGAACTTGTTGCTTTTTAAAGACAACATTGAATCCACTTGGTTCATTAGGGCAGCCAATCACTTTTCAGTCATGGGTGGCTGATATTTGTGAATAGTGTACAATTGCCTTGATGAACCAACTGGGCTGTGAATGTCATTCTTAAAGATACATGGCTAATTGGTTCATCCGGATAGTCGGCAGTTACAGAGCCAACAAAGGTTTCTATCTATGCTGGTTGGACTGTCACGTGAGAAGAAAGAAGCCATGCTTTTGGAATTGCTGTTGTCTGCTACCAATTATAAATCTTAAGGTAATGACCGGCCTACTCTTTTTGTGTTTTATGGTTAAAAATATGCAGCCATTTTCCCTACATGCCTATCTGTTCTTCTACCACTCTTTTGCCCCTACTCCAAGACAGGAAACATAAAAGAAGATCTTAGTGGTTGATCCTGGGAAATAGTTTCTTACTGAAATCAAGAGTTATGTTGTGTTTATGTGTCAGATGCTGGATAAAGTGAGGCTTTTCCCATTGAATGGGTGCTAATGGCCCACAAACATTGCAGCTTGCCAGAGAGAATGATTCCCCCTCTCTTTCCCATCCCTGTGTTATTCTGAGGGGTTCTCCTAGCTCCCCCCCCCAACCATTTTTTTGGAGGGTGGGTGTGTGGATGATCCATTGTGCAAACAGATGTCTTTGTCCAGGGCTTCTGCTGATGGGAGCTGATAGCAATTTCCCCCAGAGACTTGATTTTTCCGTACAGGCTTTTTTACCCGTACAGGGAAATTTTAACAGCTATATGCAAATATTTTGAGAGTTTTAGCCTTGGGAATAGAAATGGGCCAGGGCAGGGTATATCTAGCTAGTTTTGAAGTATAATAAACTGGATGTTATATACCATTTTTAAGTTAGTATTTTGCAGAAAGTCTGCATTGTTTATCTGCTTATGTAGATTCCAGAAGGATTTTATCGCAGATTAAAAAGTTAATGATAGTAAATTGAGCTGTCCACAATAGTTGCATTAATGAGTTTTCTTCAATTTTGTTCCATTCTAGCCATAGTGCTTCTTTTCTAATTGACTAATCCACATGATGAATGAAATGAAATGCAGTATATGGGAGGGTATGGAGTTCACTGCATGCTTTGTGAGCATGGAAGCCCTAGATCTTATTCTTGCACTATTGAAGCATTCTGGATGACAGAACAGGTTGAAGCCTTTGTCTGAGATCTCGGAGGGCTGAAATTGAGATCCACAGCTCCCTTCTCCACCTCAGTCTGTCAGCTTTGATAGTACAGAGCTTAATTGATCTATTGGTTTGATGAAATTCCTTTACATATGCTAGATTAGTATGACAAAACTAGGAATTCCATTGTGATCTGGATTGAGCTTTCTAATTAAGATAGGTGATCGGGCTAGATTGCTAAATGTTTGTTCCTCTGGCTAACAGCTTGATTACAGACTTTAAAAATACATAGACCTGGCAGTCTTGGTCTAATGCCATATATTCCTTTGAAGAGAAGGCACCAGCTTCATTTTGTCTTGTAACAAGCAATTGTATCTAACAGTTGTCTGCTGCAGACATAATACTGTGCTCATTAAAACACAGCCGGCTTGGCTATTCTCCAATTAGGCTATAGATTCTCAAGGAATCCTATAGGATTAAGGATATCCACTGATTAGACAAGATGGATATTACAGCATTGGAGTGATCTATTTAACAGGGACATGTTGTACTTATTTCAGATACTTCAGGATAAATACACGAGCATCCAAGATCAATGTTTTTTATTTACCTGCAACTTAGATCAATTATTTGGAATCTTTTTGGTAAGTTTAACTTAATGGATGTAACTTAAATCACACAACCAATTAACTAATGTATGCTGTAAGTAAATTGAGCCTTGTAGTTAATGTGTTGTTGCTTTCCGCGTACTTAGGTTGACATTTGTGAAGTCGCAAGTGCCAGAGAAGAAGCTGCCTTCCTCTGTAAGAGCAGAAAGTCACAAAGTGTTGTGGTACTTTGTTGTACTGTGAGCTTCGGAAAGATTACTCCTACCTTCCTTTATAGGTCCATAGTAACTCTCTAAGCCCCAAGGTAGGAAGGTGGTGAATTTTGTCCAAAAGAATGCTACAGGCCAGAGTGCAAATTTGGGTAGCAGTTTATAGTCTACAGAATTTCAGAGTTATTTGAAGCAGGTTATATATCCTTTAAACAGTAAAGTTCAAACTTTACACCTTCAGGGAACAATTTCTACATTGACTTTTCTGCAACACACCCCTTGTACATTGCAGAGGATTATGAGACATGTTTTAGTTCATGCAGATAATGTAGGGCACTGGCCAAGCCTCTTGGGCCTCACAGTTTGGCTCATGTGAATTGGGTGTGCCCTCAAACTCTCTCAGCTTTCCTGAAGCTGTGCACTAGAAGGGAAGATTGGGAGCAGTGGGCATGTCCTGCTTTCTTACTGAAAATAATGTTTCTTTGAAGAACCTCACAAGTTCCAAGGAACCCCAGGACTCCCCAGAAAACAGCTTGAACAGTTTGCCATTCGGTGTGCCATTTTTAATAAACGCTCCTGTTAGCAAGCTGTTGCTCATGTTAGAAAACTATAATAGGTCTTGAAAGTATTAGCTCTTTGAATTTTTGTTGTATCTCTAGAAGTCAGGAACTTGAGCCCATAAATATATAGAACACATCAGTTGTCTGTATGGTGCTGTATCTCCAGTAGTAGATATTTTCATATTGCTGAAAGTTAGTGTAGGTTGGTGGCTAAAGTGATGGAGGGAATCTCTGATTTGGGAATCTCTGATTTGAGTCTCACTTGGTTGCCCTAGTCAACCCACTATCTCAGCCTCATTCCAACATCTGTCATATGGGGGAAATAATGCTGATTTATATTACAGGCTTATAAGAATTACAGCACAATAATTCATGTGAAGTGCTATGTAAATGTTGAGTGTAACAAGCCAGCATTCTGAGAGTTGTCAAACCTCATGTTCAAACATCAGATTTGTTTGATAAATTGAAACAAAATCCGTTAGGAGAAGGGGTCTGTCTATATGGGTTCACAAACTGAGCTTTACCTTGCACATATACTTGAATTGTTGTTTGTTGTACATACAGAAAGAGTTCCTAGTTCAAAAAGTCATGTGACAATATTAGAAGTTGACAGGGAAGAGAACCTTGATGCCTAAATTGTACAGAGATTTAATCTACACCATGATGAAGACTTTAAAATACTAGGAAGCTGTAATTATTTATTAGCTCTTTCATTGGATACTCCAACATGGTTGCATAGAAAAAAATACTTGCCTGGTGTTAGTGCTAACAGCAGAGTTCATTTTATAAATATACTATTAGTGTTGTGTGTATGTCATTACCTTTGCTCTGTTTTTATACTTAAGCTTCTTCATATTCTGAAGATTTTAACAGGTATATTGACATTAACATTCAGAGAAATACTTGTGATTACTGCTTCCTTGTTTTGATAAATCATTTATTTGGATTTTAGAAACTAAATGATGGTAAAGGTATGTTTTTGTAAACAAACAAACAGGTTTTTTATACCTGTAGCTATGGATACATTTTAACACCTCTGAGTTGCTTGTTACATTTCATTAGAAAGAGCATGTAGGACAGAGAGATCAATAGGATTATCTTGGATTCTCTGTTGATGCCCTGCTTGCAAGCTTCAGGGTTCATGTGAATTAAACCAAAAAGGTTTTTGTGTGTGTGTTGAATTCCCTCCCTAAACTTATTTTTCCATCTGGTCAATAATAAAAATTCAGATGTGAATGTTCAGGACATCCTCCTATATATCTATTTTGTGTAATGATGATGCTAATTTCCAGTTGGGAGAGTTCAAAATACAAATTCCTCCAATTAAGAAAGTCTCATCCCATTTTTATCTTGGTCCCGGTCCCATTGAATTTTAATCTGGCTTGAAGTGAGGTTCCACTCTACTGCTAGCCAGCCTTCTCTACCAGTTCAACTGTTACTTTCCAAGTAACTTAGCTCTGAAAAGAGAGATGAGTGCCTCTTGGTGATGTGGGCTTCCTAGGCATGTTTTGGAAGGGAGTGTGGGATTTGTAGTTTCCTCTGCTTTCCCAATTCAATTTGGATGGAAGAGAATCTAAGACGATCCTACTGGATTAGACAAATGACCCATCTAATCCACAGCCCTGTTCTCACAGTGGCCAACCAGATACCTGTGGGAAACTTACAAGCAGGAGCTGAGTGCAAGAGAATTCACCCTTCCTGCAGATTCCATCAACTGGTATTCAGAAGCTTACTGCCACTGACCAAACCCCATGCTCCCTTGCAGGAAAGAATATTTCTGAGCATGCTTGAAAGCAATAGCGTTCATTTAGAAATAGACCAATGTGTAATCTTCGGCGAGTTGTCCCAGTGACCAGTTACTCCTCCTTTTCTCAAAGTGAAGAGGTTGTGTTCTTCTGTTTTGCTTGAGAACGTGTATGGGGAGTAGCAGAGGAAGGGGTATGTGTGAGCTTCATCCATTTCTTAAATAAGCTTTTTTTAAAAAGCTTGAGGAAAAAATGAGTTTTGAGGCAAGCCAAGAAGAGTTCGCTCATCAGTACAGTGGAACCTCGGCTTTTGAGCATCTCAGAAGCTGAACAATTCGGAACCCGAACGTCAAAAACCCGGAAGTAATTGCTTACGTTTTTGAATGTGCCTCGGAAATCAAAGAGCTTTCAAGGCGCGTTTTTCATTTTTTTCCCCCCATTGACTTTGCAGCCAGCCCATTGATCCTCAGTTTTCGAATGTTTCGGAAGCCAAACAGTCTTGCAGAATGGATTATGTTCAAAAACCGAGGTTCCACTGTACTTTGGTATGAGAAACTTGAGAAAAATATTCTCCAGTGGTCTTTGATGTTGCTGTTTGCTGTGGAATACTCATTTTACTGTTGCTTTGAATGACTATTTTTTTAAAGGATGGGTTCTAAACACTTGTGGCTGATTGCATTGGTGACATATTTGTGATTTTTGCCTCCACCTCTTCTGCTAGGTTACTTACTTTCTAGAAGAGAGGGACAAGCAGGATCTCCTGAAAAGCCACTCTCTGATCTGGGTCGTGTCTCCTACTTAGCCTATTGGAAAAGTGTCGTCTTGGAATATCTCTATTGCCATCATGAGAAACAGATCAGCATCAAGGGCATGAGCCGAGCAACGGGAATGTGTCCCCATGACATTGCCACCACCCTGCAGCACCACAGCATGATAGACAGAAAAGAAGAAAAGTCAGTAAACATTGTTGTTGCTTGAGTAGCTACCTTCTGAATTGCATTTGCCAACCATGTTGCCTGCTTCCGTTTTATACATTTTGCTAGCTTTTGATCTCCCTTTTGCATATGAGAAGCCCATATGTTGAGGGTTTACAGTCACAATTGTGCCCGTGGAGGGCATTCTGAATTCAGAGAGGCTCCTTCATTGGAACTGCATAGACAGAGAGTACAGTATCGGTAAGATAAAGGCTGTTCATAAGCATAGTGTTTCTTTCAGCCATTGTGGCTTTCAAAAACGAAAAAGTGTCAGTGCGGTCAGGTGACTGCTGGAATATATTTCCACAACCTGTTCTTTCTTGGGAATCTATGCCCTATAACGATCCCACGTAGTGAGAGGGTAGCACTTGCCACCGTCATCTGGGAAAGAGTCTTTACCTCCCAGGAGTATATATGTCAGGCACCAATCTGGACATGCCCCCTTACATGGAGCAGGTATTACAAGGTAGACCTTCTTCATTGGAAAGCACCTTTGAGAGAAGAGGTATGCAGAGTCTTTCAATCCAGAACAGAGTAGGACATCCACGAGTTGTTTCCCTATCTCCCAGCACGCACACATACAGTGGTACCTCGCAAGACGAATGCCTCTCAAGACGAAAAACTCGCAAGATGAAAGAGTTTTTCGTTTTTTGAGTTGCTTCGCAAGAATTTCCCTATGGGCTTGCTTCGCAAGACGGAAACGTCTTGCAAGTTTGTTTCCTTTTTCTTAAAACCGTTACAGTAATACAGGGTGCATTGCTTGAAGAGGTGCAGTTGCGACTTGACTTCGGGGAGCAACTCATAGCACGCCGTGTGGTAGCCTTTTTTGAGGTTTTTGAAGATTTTTTTGAAAAAATTGAAACCGTGCTTCGCAAGACGAAAAAATTCACAAGACGAAAAAACTCGCAGAACGAATTAATTTCGTCTTGCGAGGCACCACTGTATGCCCCTCATTCCCAAGGAGAGACTTGTTTTCTAGAGAAAGAAAAAAGATTTACTGGAAAGTTCAACAAGCATCTGTTCGTCCTTCCTTCCTTCTTTCATTCCTTCCGCACCACCATTTTCAGTGTGGATATATAAAGAATGAACTGATCTTGCCAATTCATCCATCCTCCCACCCCCCATCTTCTCATTTGACTCTTGCTGTTTCACCAAACCTCAAGCTTGTTTCTACTAGGTAACCTGTTGAACCTGTTTTGACCTGTTCTGTCTTCCTAGCATAGTTATGCTATGATGCTTGATTCTGTGGCTATCTTAATTGACTGTAGACTTCAGGCTGTTTTGTTAATGGGAGTAATAGACTGGCATAAATGGCTTCTTTTCCATAAGCTGCCTTGAGCACACTCCCATGGAAAGGTAGATATGCATTTAATTAATAAGCAAGCTCCCAAATCGAAACTTGTTATAACTAAACATATGCTTCCATCTGCTTTGTGTACATTTTTATATTTCTTAATATCTGATGTGTTTAAATTGTAGATTTATAGTAATTAGAAGGGAGAAACTGATTTCAAACCACATGGAGAAACTGAAAACCAACCCACGCATGAATGAAGTAGATCCAGAAAGCTTGAGGTGGACTCCTCTTTTGGTTCCTAATGCAGCAGTTTCAGAGGAAGAGAGAGAAGCTGAAAAAGAGGTAATAGGGGACACACACTAAGTCTTCTAATGTACATCCTAAACATTTAAGTGGATATGTCATAAGACAACTGGTGTAGCATATTAAGTGATAGGAGATGTCCTAGCTGCTCATACAGCAAGCTGGGCAATGGCACAGCATGCTCTTGGGTTTATTTATATAGCTCCATTGATCTAGATAGTGCTACATAGTAGCATAAGGAAATGACAAGTTTTTACTCCAAGGAGCTTAAGATCTAAATTTAGACAACGGTGAGGAAGTGAGGCAGAGACAGTGGAAATGAACCTGTGGAGAGGAATACGAGCAAATGTCATTGCACGTTATGAGGCTTTATTTCAACTAGGGGGGAGGCCTTAAGGGTTAAGCCAAAGACCTCATGGAGGGAGGGAGTTTTGAGGTATGTCTTGAGTAAAGAGTGATAGAGGAACGATACCATGTAGAATTAGCATTGTGAATCTTCTAAGAAAGAGTTCTAGGCAAGAAGGAGCAGGACAAAGAATTGGCAGGGTAGTTTTGTTTTAAGAGTAGAAAAGTAAGGGCCAGGAAGAGAAGGATGAGGATAAGAGAGTGGCGAAAGATTTTATCAGCAGAGTTGTGGATAACGGTGAGCTGTTTGGAATGCGATAAGGAAGGGCCAGAAGGAGGGAGGATGCAGTAGTCAAGGCATGAAGTGGCCAAGGTATATCCTAGAATTATAGCCAATAGGACAGAGAGAAAGTGTGTTGAATTTTCATTACTGTATTATCTGGTGTGAAGGGGAATGGCTCTGACACATGATATGAGCAGCAAAGGAAGGGGAATAATCAAAATTAAACAATATTCTGTTCCTTGTTTCACAAATGGTGCTGAGATATAAAAATAGCACATTTCAAGAAGTAAAATAGTATAAGCTAGTGGACTCCAGTACTATCCATTTGTTTGGGAAAAATGCTTGAGAGAGAAGTTGTAAACCTTGGAATTTGGAGTGTGGGTATAAAGCCTGAAAAACCTGAAAGATCAATATGGAATAGTTTTTATTCTGCCCCCTACCCCCTTCTAAAGTGTTGTTACATTCATGGACTGGAGCCAGTTGGGTACAGTGCTCAAAGGCTTATTGTGTCAATCAATTATTTTGTGTTTATGAAGTTGTTCAAAGTGATCCATGTCAGAGGGCTTGTAATGTAGTGCTAGAAGAACTAAAATCAATTTGTTGCTTCATTAATAGTGCTAAATATCCCATGAAACGCAGCCTTTTGGGATTTATTATCCAGTTTTAGAAAAACCACTAGGATGAATTGGCCTAGATGCTGTTGCTTGGGTAGCTTTCAGCACTAATCAGGGTTGACTTATTGTAACTTTTTTTTAAAAGCTGAACTAAAAGAATAACAGCTAAGCACTGTTTCGGTGACCCATTATTTTAACCTCTCTGCCCCTCAGGCTGAGCGACTGATGGAACAAGCAAGCTGCTGGGAAAAGGAAGAGCAAGAGCTGTTCTCCACGAGAGCTAATAGGCAATTGCCTGCAAAAGTGCAATCTAAAAACAAGTATCTGCGACCTCCAGAGAATATAACAGTATTAGCAGAGCGAGGGCAGACCACTGATCTGCCAAAAGAAAGCAGTGGGGAGGAAGAGGAGGAGGAGGAGGAAGAGGAGGAAGAGGAAGAAGAGGAGGATGTGGATGGGCATCGTCAAAATTCTCCTCCAAGGCTGGCAAAGCCTCAGATGCTTGCTGTGAAGAGAAAGGTCAGTTGTTTTTTAAATTGGGGTAGACTCCACTGTAACAATGACAGTCCAAAGACTCTTAACAGGACTTTGCACGGCATGGACTTCATAGGGACGCATATGTTTTAAATAAGTAACTAAATCTCTTTGCAATAATCTATTTCACAGAAGACAAAGCATGCCCAACAGCTTGAGTTGAGAATAAAACAGAAATGTAGTCTGACCATTCTTTTGATCCAACATTTTTATTCTGTAATCTGATTCTGAATACCCATTTCACAGAAGCCGAGCTGATTAATTTCTCCAGATCAGCCCTAAATTCCTTTCTCTACTAGAGGGGCCAGTTCAAGGAGTCCTGCTAGCACAGTGGGGCTTCCCTCCTGCGTGCAGCCTGAGCACCCCCTAAATCCATTTACGAGGAGATTGCAGGAGAGGGGATTGTTCCATCTGACAAGCAGACATGCTTGCACTAATTAAGCAATCATAATAGTGCAACATTGAACTCCACCTGAGGTCTTTCAGATCTGATTTTGGGGGTGGAAGCATTTACATTTCCCTTTCTGTCTTAAATGCCTTTCCTGTATGTTGTCTTAATAATTTTCATTCCATTTAGACTTTTACCAATAAAATCAAGAGCTGTATAAAAATATTGCCCTCTGCTGGTTGCCTGTAGTGTTAATTGTAATTATTGCCATTCAAATACCATATATTTGTTTTTTTGAAGGTTCAGTATGCTATTCTATGGCATAGTAGAATTCATGAACACAAAAATAGGAGGTTAGGTATTAGCATTAGGATGTGTCTTTTGTGTCTCACCCCAGTCCTAAATTAGCCCTGTCTGAAGAAGTACCTTCTAGTCTTGGCCATGTTCCCTCTTTTTCTTGCTAGCTAAAACATTGACGTGCATAGTCACACCTTTTGCATTGGGCAATAACACAAAGATAACTACCCTTTGGTCTCTTGCTCTCACACAGTAACAGTTTATAATTCTAAATTAATTCAATATCCACTAAACTGTAAACTTCGAAATAGCAAAATAACTGTCTTTAGCATAGTTTTAGTTGGCTTTCAATATTTACAGTATTTAGAGAAACTTCACTGTGAATATTCAGGTTACATTTCTGTGTAATCTAAATTGTATGTGCAGCTAGAGTTAAATAGATTAGAAATACACATTGAGGCAACTGGTACTCTTTTGGCACCAGTAGGTGGTGTTGCCTTAGTCCACATTGTTCTTCACTGTGGTATATACTGGTATTGGTGTTCTTATTCAGTAAAGTGTTTGGTGGAGATGTCAGCATTTCACAGCAGCTCCCAAAGCACATAGAGCTGTTTTTGAGTGAATAACAGAGATTGAGATTTAAATGTTGTAAAGAGGAATGTATGTAGAAGAGTTAGCTGGAACAGAGCCAGTGACATTTGAACTGTCATGTAGGCTGGACTGCCGTGAGTATACATCACAAAACTTGTTTGGTTTAGCAGAAAGGATGTTGGTTCTTTGCCCAACTTTCACATTTTTAACATTATTTTTAGAGACCTTTCATCTTGAAAAAGAAAAGGGGTCGTAAACGCAGAAAGATTAATAGCAGTGTTACAACAGAGACAATTTCTGAAACCACAGAAGTTTTGGATGAGCCCTTTGATAACTTGGAAGAAGAGCAGCCCATGACACAGCTGGAGCCCACTTGTGAGATAGATGGGGAAGACGATGAATCTAAACCTGGGATTCCAGAAGCGTTCCAGTGTCAGTCCGAGGAGAAGGAAGAAAATGAGCTGGAAGAGGAGGAGCAGGAGAAAGACAATCACTGTTACCAAAATGATACTCCATGCAGAGGTGAGTGCAAAATAGATTTTGTCTGCAGTTCTGTATACATAGACCTGGAAGCAAACCCCAATGAATTCAGCGGGACTTGCTTCTGAATAAACATGCATAGGATTGAGTCTTCCAGTTGTCTTTCACAGGCTGTTTTCACATCAGTTCAAAGAAATCAGACTTGCGATAGCTTTGGTACCATTTGTTAACATATACTTTGCAACTTCTTATTTAAACTGTGAAGCCCTTTTGACAAGTGACACTTAGTCCTGTGTCTTGCTTTTATTGAAAGGCTGAATAGCTTCTTAAATTTTCTTTCTCCCCTTAAACTGCAATTTAGCCATTTTAATCTGTAAGGTTCCTTTTCATATTCTGTAACCAACGCCTTTGAAATTTCTTTCAAATTGAAGAATGCTTGGTCCTGCCACTGTAGAATAAAACAGTTTTCCTTCAGTGGATGAGAGGTTGGAATATTCTCTCCTCCACTGGGTAGGGCTGGCCGACCATAATTTATATCATCTTCCAGTTATCCCAGTGTTCACTAGGAGGGCTTGTCTCTTGTGCTTTTGCTCCCAATGCACAACAGTGGAGTGGGCTGCTTTCTGCTGCTTTCTTTTTGGCCTTCCTTTGGCCCGTTCCCTTACTTTCCCCAGACCTGTTAGTTGGCAGGGAAGGAAGGAGACCAATGTGCAGGGGAGCAGAAGCTACAAAGCTAGCACAGAGAGAAGCAGCCACATGCCAGCAGTTTGCTCTGAATCAGGTAAAAGGACTGGGTAATCGGGATGCAGCAAGCATGCAAATTGGCTCACATAGAATTGAATGGGCCAGAAACATCAACAGAGGGCTACGTTGAGTCGGAGGAATGTGATGCAGCCGTTCTGAAGGATTTCCTGTAGAGGACCCCCACAAGTCGGTAACTGGCAGTCTTCCTCTTGATTCTAGGGTCTCTGGAGTGTGCTCAGATGACTTGACCCTCTGGTACTGCAGTTTCCAAGCCAATAGAGTGTCTTCCCTGTAGTTCCTTGTAGTCATAGGCAGTCGGAGTCACCTAGAGAAGCTGCTCCTTCCCCAAGTACAGGCAGCCAAAGATCATGCAGGTTTCAATGCAGGCACAGAGATCTCTCAATGCATAGATGTCCCTAGGATATTGTTAAGTTCAATGGTTGTGTAATAGAGTGTGTCCCCTGGGCCCTTATCTCACTCCAGACCTTTACAGTAGCTCCTGTAGTCCCACCAGGGAGGACCTCATGTGCTTCTACAACTGGAGTGAGGAACCTGTGTCCCTTCAGGTCTACTGGACTCCCATCGTCCCTGACTACAGGCCATACTGGCTGGGGCTGATGGGAGTTGGAGTCCAGCAACATTCAGAGGCTCACTTTTATTCTACATGCTTGTCTCTCTCTGCACATGTGAATGCCTTGATTGGTGAATCAGGTAGCATCATCTTGCCATAGATTAAGCTTTTCAGTTCCCAGCAGATCATCACGGATATGAGCCTCTCCTTTCAGGAGCCCATTTCAGCACGCAGTCTGTAGTTTGTGGGGAGAGGCTACCCATAGCAACACATTACTACTACTTCAAGCCACAGGCTTATCCTCTCTGCCTTCAGCTACGATTTGAGAGCTGTCCTTTTTCTTGAAGTCTATTTTAGCATATATGAGGCAGAATGCTATTGACAATACATAGATGGAATACTAATCCTCAAAAAACAACTTATAACAAGAACAAGTTCCCAAAGATTCTGTTCTTACATGCATATGTTGTGGACTTTTCCAGCAGCACATATGTTTTGAGACAGAATATTTAGAGAAGGCAATGTAATTACTGGTAAAAGAATTGCATTATGCTCCAAATTAGCTCGATTAAATACTCCAGATGGGAAACAATAAGACATTGTTATATAAAGAATATATATGCTAGCAGGAACTGCTTACCAGGCATTGGGAAACTGCTCAAGAAATACTTGTTGAACTGCAGTACCGAATGTTGGGGTGCTGCCTCTCAATTGCAGTGTTTAGGTAATCAAAATAAAGAGCATTTTTACAATGTGGCAAAGTTTTGTTCACTGTACAGTATAAGCACAAATGCCTGATACCTTCCAGCAGCTTAAGTTTACAGCTGGCTGGGGCCAATGGGAGCTTCCACCCAGAACAACTGGAGGGTGCCAAGTCAGAGAAGGCTGCTCCAACTTACTAGGGCTACAACATATTGGATGTTTTTCTCCATTGAGATAAACTATGCGTAGAAACAAGCAAGGGTGTGTATGACGAACAGGCATCCCATGCTCTGATGCCTGATCTCTGTACTCATGGCAAAACAAACTTCCACACCTCACTTAATAATGCAGTGCTGTTCATTATTTTTCCCATAGGGAAATTGTATTTAAAAAAGAAAAATGTCACACATGAAGAAACCTTTGGGTTCCATGACTTGGTGATGGATGTGCCAATATTTAGTTCTATAGCCCTAGGTTTCTGCACTCAAATTTGTTGAAGGGTTCCTGTTCAAAGCTCATAGTTCAACTTCAGCTGAATAGTATTTCTTAGCTTTGGATGCTAAAATGTCAAGTGATTTAGATGTATCTTTAAAAAAAAGATGTTTCTAAGAAACAAACACTTGTTTTTTTTCCTAAAACCAGACAGCTTTGTGAATTTTTGCAAAATGATCCATTCTCCTTCTTTGTGTTTGTAAAGTTCATGCGAATATGTCTACTGTTAGCATTGATTAAAGTGAAAGGTTTAAACTGAGGTGTTGTACAGTTTAATGCTTAGTTTAGTTTATCCTCTGAATGTTGGATCTGATAAGAGGCTGAGGTTTGTTCTGTATTGCATGCTTGTTACAATTTGCTGGCATTTAGAAAGCACTTCAGCTGAGTGTGGCGAACCCCCCTTAACTACCGCATTGGCCCGAATATAACCTGCACTTTCCCCCCAAATTCCGATCATGAAAAGTTAAAGTGCGGCTTATATGTCACAAAGAGGTGCCAGCTTGTGTGGGTGATTGGGGGGACAATGTCGTGCATGGCACAATGTCCTGACGTCAGGAGGAGCTGGGGCAGAGCTGAATGTGGTGGCCACACGGCTTCAATGGCCAGCGGCTCCTCCTCTGCCTCCTCCTGGTGCTGCCACCAGCAGGATGTTCCTTCCCCCTCCTTCCCCCTTGTGAAAGGAGGAGAAGGAGCTGGCCACCAGTGCCACACTCAGATCTGCTCTCTTCCTCCTCTGCTGAGCTGGCGTGACATGCATACATACATACATACATACATACATTGACCTACCTGCTTGGAGATATTTTACAGCAGTTTTTCACTATATTTGAACATGGCAATTCAGGTCTGCTTCTCATGTTTTCATTTCTGACTATGCTTTCTTAAGACAAATGTCAAGGAGGGTGTTCATTATCCTTGCAGTTTAGGAATATTCAAACTTGTCTAGGATTAGGGCAGACATGTACTTCATAAGCTTCAAAGGAGTTGGTTGGTCAGATATGTCGGTCAGAAATACATCTGACCAATCACAAGTATAAATGATACTCGTGTTTTGAATGTCTTAAGAATGTGCATTCAGTGATGAAAAACAGAAACTTACCAAATAAAATACTCCTAGTTCATTATATCTGTAAGAAACAGCACAAAGCAATCTTCATGTGATCTTCCTCGCAATATAAAATTATTTGGCTGGATTTGATCACTATACAGGATAACAAATGTGACTTTGCATAAATGAGACCACTAAGCATACATTAAAAAATATGTCTTCTGTTTTTGTAAACTGAACCTCTCTTCCATTGTAGCTTCCCTTTTTAAAAATTTCATCTGTTTCAGTGTAAAATTTCTAAAACCAACAAAAACAAAATTGGATGGAGGTAGATAAAATGTGCATTTGTACAAGTAGCAAATGAATTATATGCCCTTCACATCAACTGACTGTAGTGCAAAAGTCTAGAATGGGATAAATGTTCCATAGCTATCCCTGTGTGTGCATGCATCAATCAATAAAAGCAACATACATTTCCATGTTTAGTTAATAGTAATAAAGCTAAAGGTTTACCTTTTTTTTTTTAACCTAATAGTAATATTTGTGCCCTGCTTTTCTTTTAAATAATAACCAAAAGTGGGTGGTATGCAAACATGTTGCTGTCAGAGATGGTTAGAATAAGATGATTAGTAGGACAGTAGTACCTCAGGTTAAGAACTTAATTTGTTCTGGAGGTCTGTTCTTAACCTGAAATTGTTCTTAACCTGAAGCACCACTTTAGCTAATGGGGCCTCCTGCTGCTGCTGCGCCGCCGGAGCACGATTTCTGTTCTCATCCTGAAGCAAAGGTCTTAACCCGAGGTAATATTTCTGGGTTAGCGGAGTCTGTAACCAGAAGCGTATGTAACCCGAGGTACCACTGTATATATTTTCTTTGACTAGGGTTTTGTAAAGCAATTAAGAATAACGTGATAAACGTATTCTCTTCTCTCTCTCCCCCCATCCCCATTTCTCCTTATCCCACAGCTAATGCAGAAGAGGATGTAGCCGTCCTGGAAGATGATGATAAAGACAATCCTGAACCTGTGCTGTGTAAACAAGGATGGCCTAAAGGCGTGAAGCAATGTCCATCCAAATGGAGACAAAACAAAGAGAGAAAACCAGGTTTTAAACTTAATTTGTACACTCCACCTGAGACTCCTATGGAGCCTGACTATCAGGCCTTGGGAGAGGAATTGAAAGAGATAGCTGAAAACAACGCATGCCAGGCGTCTGCTGTTACAGAGGAGGTTAAGAACACTGAAAGCATTCTTCCACAAGAGGACGAAGTGAGAGATGCGGTATCTGAGTATCTGGAGCTGCCCAAGACAGAACAAGCAGAAAACGATTTAGCAGAAGTAGAAGAAAACAACATAGTAGAAGAAATGGAAAGTGTGGATAATCAAGATAAAGACCTGCAAGAGGAAACGGAAATGGATAAAGAGGAGCCTGAGCATTTAGAAGAGCAGGAGGAGGAAGAAGAAGAAGAGGAGGAGGAGGAGCAATCTCGCAATGAGGATCATGATGCTGATGATGAGGATGAGAGTCACATGGGTCCAACGGAAGTAGAAACTCAGGAGGAAGTACCAGCAGAAGCTCTCAAAGATGTACTTGGGAATGAGGAGCCTTTTTTAGACCCAAGTGAACAGAGTGGTAAATCAAACCAGGAAGACTTAATGGACTGTGGCGTTGACCTTGCAGCCGAATGTGACAGCGAGCACAAAGAGCTTCCTGCTATTCCAGAGCCTGTGCCTGAGTCAGGTAGTGAAAATACAGAAAAGAAAAACCAAACTGACCGTAATGAACTGAATTCTGCATTCAAGGACACAAATGCTGAAACCATGGAGATAGACTCTGAGACAGTGGAGGCAGTGAAGTCTCTAACGCAGGAAACAACAGAACAGGAAGATGCATTCCAGGATTGTGTAGAGACTCAAGAGGCATGTCGAAGCCTGCAGACTTACGCCAATACTGACCAAAGCCCACAGATGACCACACTGGATGACTGCCAGCAGTCTGATCACAGTAGCCCTGTCTCATCCGTCCAGTCCCATCCCAGCCAGTCAGTTCGTTCTGTTAATAGTCCAAATGTGCCTCCATTAGAAACCAGTTATGCTCAAATCAGCCCCGATCAAAGTGCGATCTCTGTGCCCTCTTTGCAGAACATGGAAACTAGTCCAATGATGGACGTTCCTTCTGTTTCCGACCATTCGCAGCAAGTCGTCGATAGTGGATTTAGCGACCTGGGTAGCATTGAGAGCACAACCGAAAACTATGAAAACCCAAGCAGCTATGACTCTACAATGGGCAACAGCATCTGTGGGAACAACAACTCGCAAAACAGCTGTTCGTACAGCAACCTCACGTCTAGCAACATGACTCAGAGTAGTTGTGCGGTGACCCAACAGATGTCTAACGTGAATGGAAGCTGTAGCATGATGCAGAACGCCAGCATCAACTCTCCCCCTCCTTGCAATGTGAAGTCGCCTCAAGGCTGCGTTGTCGAAAGGCCCCCGAGCAGCAACCAGCAGCTTGCGCAGTGCAGCATGGCTGCTAACTTCAGCCCACCTATGCAGTTAAATGAAATCACAGAGACTGGCAATGCCAACCTTGGCTTGTATGAAAGAATGGGTCAGAGTGAGTTTGCAGCAGGGCATTACCCACAACCGTCGGCCACCTTCAGCCTTGCCAAATTGCAGCAGTTAACCAACACACTTATGGACCATTCGTTGCCTTACAGCCACTCAGCTGCTGTCACTTCCTATGCAAATAGTGCCTCTTTGTCTACTCCTCTCAGTAGCACAGGACTCGTTCAGCTTTCTCAGTCTCCTCACCCAGTTCCAGGGGGAGGCCAGGTCCAGACCACGATGACTCCGCCCCCTAACCTCACTCCGCCTCCCATGAATTTGCCGCCACCCCTCTTGCAGCGCAACATGGCCACATCCAATATTGGCCTGTCCCATGCCCAAAGACTGCAAACGCAGATGCCTGGCAAGGGCCATGTTTCGGTTAGGACTAAGTCGGCCGCTTTGCCGTCGGCTGCAGCGGCAGCAGCTCACCAGCCGCAGATTTATGGGCGATCCTCGCAGACAGTGACCATGCAAGGGCCTGCACGCACCTTAACCATGCAGCGTGGCATGAACATGAGTGTGAACTTGATGCCAGCTCCGGCTTACAATGTCAGTTCCGTAAACATGAACATGAATCCCCTTAACGCTATGAATGGGTTTAGTATGTCCCAGCCGATGATGAATGGAGCCTATCATGCAAACCACGGTTATATGAATCAAACAGCCCAGTACCCAATGCAGATGCAAATGGGAATGATGGGAAGCCAGCCATATGCCCAGCAGTCAATGCAGACTAACCCCCACAGCAACATGATGTATACCCCGCCAGCACATCATGGTTACATGAACAGCGGCATGTCTAAACAGTCTCTGAATAGCTCTTACATGCGTAGGTAGGATCTGGGGGGAGCGGGGAGGGGAGACGGTTGGTGTACCAAACTGGCATGCTAGGATTTGACCGGCACAAAAATATGTCCTTTTGGAGAATACGATTTCAAAACCAGCAATTGGTGTGAATGCAAAAACATTTGTAGGCACCATAAAAAAAACTGTATGCAGCGAAAGGCCTTATATAAATGTGTTCTCGTTTTATTTGTTTTGTAATTTCGCTTTGTTTGCTCTTTTTTTTTTTTTGCGTAACTGAAGTTCTGTGATGATGAAGAACTTCGTCATTGTACTGCAAACACGCGAAACAAGCTGATGGTTCACAGCCAAGTTTTATGTGCCTGCTCCCATTTGAAACGTGGATCATAGTTTTGGAGTATATCTGATGTCGTGCTGGACTGTGAGCTTTCCTCCTGTTCTGTCCTTCCCCTCCCCATCTCCTCCACCATGTAAATGCCTTTTTGCATTGCATTCATGGACTATTTTGTTCCTCAAGGTGACACTTTCGCATGCCGCTAATGTCTTTGTTAGTGACAGTGCGTTTCGTAGTACTGTACAAGTGTTGTGCTTAACAGTAAGCCATTTCTTAATTTGTGATTCCCCCCCCCTCCTTGATTAGGTTACCCCAGTTTAAGGGGTGTAAAAAATTATATTTTTGTTAATTATATTTTTTAAATCTTGTTTTAAAAAAGCTGTGAAAGTTATTCCAGTATTGAGTCAAACATTTTAAGTGCAACCCACTGGGAAATTCTCGCGTGTCAGCTGTGCTCTTGCACAAATATGGTTAATTTCTATGGGTCTGGCACAGAAGAGAGTGCCCTGGTGGATTGCATCCTTGATTGGTAAATATTTGATGTAAAAGTGAGCCCTGTTTTTGTTCTGGTGGCAGATCCCCTCTGGAGTAGGGGGAAAAGGCAGCTTACTGTTTTGTTTTTTTAATACAAACCTTATTGATTAAAGCATATCAGTGTTTATCAAGTTTTTGAAACATTTTCATATATGTCCAGATACTTGGCAGGATTAAAAAAAAAGTGAATTTGGTGTAAAGTTGCTATTTTATGGAAATGCCTCTAACTTTACATTTTCATTCCATCTGTAGATTTTTCTATCTTTATAAAATATTGGAGTTATTTTTTAAGAAAAGTAAATAGAGCAGTAGCGTGTGAATAGAACAAATGAAGCTTCAAGAGCGCATGTATAAAAAAAAAAAAAACACCAGAAGGTATTTGTGTCTGTTTATATGGCTTCCTTTTTTTGTAGCCTTTGTACCTGTACAGAGTGACTGTAAGGGCCAAAAAGTGGCTTGATTCATGTATAAAACTAGACCCAGTGACACTATTTATGTTACCTTTTTAGCCAGTCACTTAAATAAAGCAAAGACAAGCTGTACATTTTAACATAAAATAAATTATGATGAGCCATTTTTAGCCTCTTGTGCTCTTGTCTGCCGTGCATAGAGACCGATGAGCCACATTGTCAATTCTTCTTGGTTGCAGGGTGCGGCTCACAAGACAGGGGAATCCTGCAAGCATCCTTGTTTTCGGAGGTCTTCTGTTGCTTTGTCGGTATATCTCTCGATGCCTAATGTTGCCCACTGCAAGGAAAGTGAAGAGTTTTAAAATCTGAATTGACCAGAATATTTTATTAAATATCATAGACTGCAGTAGAAAGCTTGAGTGATTGTCAACAGTTGTGCTGATCATGTGTTAGTGGAGGGGAAGGAGAAGTGGAGGATTCAGTCTCCCCCTCCTCTTCCCCCCCCCCCAAAACACACACACATATATTTGGTTCAATTGTATATTCCACTCCTGGATCAGTTGGGAAATGTGCATGCATCTTTGCATTTATGCATTCCCTCATTCGGCTAGAAATACTCATCTGCTTTTGCAGGCATATTGCCTTACAGGGGAAAGAATGATTTAAAAAATAATGCGCCTTTCTTAAGTGTATCTGACATGTCCGGTAAGGAGTCTGGAACACGGTACCCTAGGAGGCCCCGAGTCTGATCTGCAGATCCATGGGGAACCAGCCTCGCATATCAAGATCCCAGTGCATCCGTCATCATAGGTTGCTCCATAACAGCTATGAACTTTTCCCAGATGGTTTACAGGGATGGTTACTTGAGTCCACCGGATTGACTGCAATCCCAACAGGTTAAGGTTATGTGTGCCCTTCTAATGGTGAAGTGTATTGTTCCTCTGTGGACCTGACAGTATCTCTGCTGATAATGGAGTCCAGGCCTGCCCTCCTCCTCTGCTTCTTCTCTGCTTCTGAACCCTGGTGTTGGTACCTCCACACCACTTTCAACCATGCCCTATTCACTTCGTTTGTAGCCAGTGCTTTGGCAGAAATGCAAGCTAGCTGTGCTGGTCCCGGGGAGTAACCATGCGGCGTGGTCCGAGTCCAGTCCGAGGTCGAGGGTGTGGTATGGAGGCTGTCCGTCAAGGCTGAAGCGGGGTCCAAGGCAAGGATTCGGGTGAGGTCAGGAACTCTGGCAGAAGAGCAGGACAGGGTGCCGGCAGGAACAGGTTACCAACAATGTTGCTCCTGAAACCTGGGACTGGGATGGCTGGCTTTTATCTGCCCTGAGGCATAGGGCAGCCCCGGTCCACAGGTGACTCGCCTCTCCTTGCCTGGAGGCGAGCACTCCTCCTGCGAGAACTTAGTTCCCTCCGCCTCTCTGCCCTGAGCATCTGCAGCTCAGGAGAGGATAAAGGGTTACTGGACCCAGAGGCAACCTCACCTTCCCCTGACGGGGCTGAGAGTGGAGCACCTGCAGGCAATGGGTCCTCGATCACCTCCGGAGCCAGAGCGGATTCAGCTGGTGTCTGCTCCTGAGGATCCGGCACAGGTGAGGGCCCTTCAGATTCAAGCCCCTGCCCTCGCTCAGCCGGCCCTGGAGGCGGGGACTCCTGTGCAGGCTGGGATTCCTCAGGTTCAGCCTCTGAATCCGATTCCCAGGCCATCACACTAGCCTTGAGCAGTGTAGTGTCTCCTGATTATTAAAAATTGAATTGATGCTTACAAAGCTTTTAAACATGACTCGAAAAGCCCAACAGAACTGGCAGCCGTGTCAAGTAAGTGAAATGGTTTTGTGTTCCTTTCCTCTGTGGCTCAGCAGTTTCGTGGGACCTGTGTGTAGTTGTGGTAACTGCAGGATACACAAAGCAAGTAGGCCACAGCTGGTTTATGCAGCTTCCAGAGAATTGTCTCAAGATAGCAGCGCCTTTGTTCTCCCCGTCTCCCTTGTTCCAACCATTTGCTAAACCGGAGAGTTTTTATTTGGGGGGGGGGGCAACTGAACATTAATGTAACCAGTGGGGGAAGGGGCAAACCTAGGAACTGAGAATTAGGTGCAGCCAGAAGACTAATTAGGGATTTGAGAATAAAAGAATGGGGAAATGGAGTGTACAAATAAAAATCACCAGGGAAGGAAGTTCTGGGCTGGGCTGATGGTGGCAACAGGAAGAAGTTGTAGGTCCATAGCTCACGGCAATACACATTTTGACAGGCAGCTCTTAAGTTAGGGAACTTTAACCACTGTTGATTTTTTTCAAATTCCAAACAAGTGCTGTGGCTGGGGGAAGGGGAATAGTTGGGTTGGCACTCACGTTGGGTTTAACAATTTTGCTGTTGGGGGGGGGATGTAATTAATTGGAAATGCTACTTCAAATTCTTGCAGAGATGTATTTGTAATAAAATATCAGAAGATTTCTTTTTTATAGCACTTGCTCTGACACTTTGCAACTTTGTTTTGACTTTAAAAAGAAGAGAAAAGCCTACAGGCAATGGAATGGATTGTTGATATGCTTAAATGCTTACTGCAAAATGTAATAAAGCTGATTTTGGTGGGTGTCGCTTGTTGTAAAGTTAGGGATTCCCCCTTCTCCCCCTCTTGTGTTGAAGCTGTATACAAACACTCTTTGCTTTCAAAATGGCCCTACATAGAGTGTGTTTTTGCATGCCTGCAGTCTCCGAATGCAAATATAAAATGGAGTATTTTCCTTTTGAAGCAGCTGTGACTGATGGAACTGCTAGATGTGGGGAAAATATGTACTATTGCTCAGCAGTACACATCAAGCAAATTTATGCAGCAGCAAGAAAACATGCATATCCATTTTGAGTGATGGATCCTGATATTCTGTGTTGAAGTGCCACAAGTCCCAGACAAAGCGTCAATGTGGTCTGTCATTGTCTTGCACAGCAAGCAGAGCCCAAGAAACATATTCCTAATAAATCAAAATTAGGCTTTTTTAAAAAACAAACAAACACTGCAATTTTGGATTCTCTTGTGCTTCTACAACAGATGTGTGTTATTTGAAGCTCTGGGTACACTTTGGTGGCAAACTCTTGCATGAGTTCTATAAATGAATGGGAGCTGAGCAGGAACATAGTTTACAGTGTTGAATAGAAATCATTCTTTGCAGCTGAAAGAAAAATGCCTTTTTCTCTTAAGGTGGGGGGGGGGACTTAAAATACCAGATACTTTGTCTTGAGCCCTATTATGAATGGAAAATTCCTCTACCGTTTAGGAGACATTTTTCTAGCTGTCTGCTAAACTGTGGTCAGTATTTATTTGTTCAAAGGGTCTTAGCAATTATTTCGTCTTTCAACCAAGATTTATTTGGTAAAGGTTTGCGGTTCTGAACACAGGAATCAAAGATCAGCTTGAGTGTTGCAGCCTGACTTGGGGTTCAGGAAATTCCACTGCAGAAACCCCCCCTGGCCATTTCACACTCCTGTGGCATCACATCATACAGAGGCAACCCAATGTTTAAGTCTCCCTGCAACATGGCCAGTCATAGCTCCTCTATCAGGGTACCTGTAAGATAATATTTCCAAGAGCATGCTTTTGATGCATTTACACTTCACAGCTTTAAAAATGTACTTTAATGTATGAAAGGATCCTTTGGTTGATGAATGCCTTGCAAGATTCTGCTGAATCATTACTTGAAGTCAGCCTCTTTTGCAAAGTTGCATCAGCCGTCGGAGGCAAAATGAGCAGGTGAAAGTTTTTGTTGCAGGAAAATTGCCAGAGAAAACCGAGGCATAAAGTTCAAAGAGTTCTTGTTAATAGGGAAAATAGGTGGGGGAGAAATGTATGTGTAATTAATGTTGAAATGTAAAGACGTTGCCTGTCTTAACAATGCTTGGCAAAAGTTTTTCTCGTTTCCTCATTCTTGGACCCTGGTCACTAAGAGAAGTATTTCAATAAGGGGGATCTAGAAACTTGGATTATTATTATTATTCCATTTTATTGGCTCTACCCCATGACCTAGACGTGAGCCTCCCTAGTACCTTGTGTTGTTCATATTGCTAGAAGCATCAGACCCTTATATGGCACAGATTGGTCCTTAATCATTGGCTGGACTTGCTTAACTTACGCCAAAGTGCAATTGTTGTTTCCCAGAATGAAAGGTGGTACATCATGGATGGAGGTGCTGGCTGTGTTCATCACAGCTTTTAGTATTTCAGCTCTCATGCTGATAAGAGTTACTGAGCTTTCCCTGCCAAGGTCCCTCATTTCCCTACCTTTGCGGGGGGGGGGGGAGACCCCCTTCACAGAGCACTTAGTACCATGAAGTGAAACAAATTGCCCTGCCTGCTAACAGGTGAATAACACTTTAGCACTGTTTAGTCCTTTTTTGATTAACTCTGATATATGAGAACCCAAAGACCTGTAAATGACATAAGCAGCTGTTAAAGAGAGCCTTAATTGCTTGGGGTGCAGGGAGAGTTGTACACACATTGGAAGAAACGGAGACTAGGTTCACATATACCATACTTTTTGCCACGTAATTTGTTTTTTGGGTGTGTGTGTGTGTTTTTAAGTGTGGCTCCTAGAGGACCTCTCTGTGACCAGCTCAGCTGCCTTCCCCATCCTTCAGGATTATGAAATTCACTGTTATGACCTAACAATACTTCAAACTTCAGCAGCAATTACAGTGGTACCTCGGGTTACATACACTTCAGGTTACAGACTCCGCTAACCCAGAAATAGTACCTCGGGTTAAGAACTTTGCTTCAGGATGAGAACAGAAATCGTGCTCCGGCGTCGCAGCGGCAGCAGGAGGCCCCATTAGCTAAAGTGGTGCTTCAGGTTCAGAACAGTTTCAGGTTAAAAGTACGGACCTCTGGAACGAATTAAGTACTTAACCCGAGATACCACTGTACTGATCTCTCTGTCTCTGATAGTACCAGTCGAAAGTGATGCCTGGTATCAATAGCCATGTTCCTACCCTTTCAGCAATGTCAGGCCAGAATACATGGTGCATATAAATCATATTTTTAAGGAAGCTACACTAAATTCGAATGGTAGGAGGATCAATGACTAAGTGAAGGTCATAGTAGACAGAAGCAATACCTTTTGTATGGAGAGAGGGCCTTGGTGTAATGTGAAGATCTCTTCATGAAGATGTGGAATAAAAGTGGAGGAGACTTGAGTTTTACCGTAGATCTTGCAAACCCTTCAGAGGATGTTAAGCTTGGTTTTATAAGAAGCTGTTTTCTGGGAGATGTTCTGGATTTAATTTGAAGCTTCCAGCCTTGCAGATGCTGGACAGCTGGTTAGAGAAGACCTCTGGAGTAGTGGTTGTTCAGATGGGTTTGTTTAAATCTGAGGTGGTCAACATGGTATTCTCTGGATATTGTTTGACTACAACTCCCATCATCCCTGACCAGTGGTCATGTAGGCTGGGGCTGATTGATTAACATCCACCATCATCTGGAGGACACTAAATTGGTGCCCCAATCCAGATACGTTGTCGCTTCGTTGAAGGCTGAAGCCAAGAGAAGTGGTTGGAATTATAAACTCTGCTTGGGCATATATTGTGTTCCATTGTGGAATATGTGTTTCAGAACTGGAAGATAAAAGGTTCTGTTAGTGTTATCAGCAGCCACGTGCAGGGTTGAAGTCACTCCAACAGTTGTGGATGTGAGTCTAACACACATATTTAGGCTGCCTTGGTTTCTACAACTACAGTACTATCAAAACTGGCACTGGGAAGGAAACACAATGGATGTACAACTTTTGCAATGGGCTCTAAACTTTTCCTCCAAAGAGGGCATTGTAGAAACAACATCATTGTGCTCCTAGTACTTGAAATGAGAGTTTGCGCCCTCCTGTGTCCCTGTTGGGGTGGAGGACCAGTTAGGGTAAAGATGTATGTGGACAGCTTCTGTCAAATTTGTGCTGGGCTTTATCCAGTGACTTCGGTCCCTCTGCTAATGACCTTAATGGCCACTGCGACATAGCTTTACCCTGACCAGGATAGGCATAGTCTCTGAACATTTCATTCCCATTGTCTTTCCATACAGATGATGGCAGGCAACACAGCCCACTATGTTCCTGGTTTGATGATAAGATGTATGCTAAGGTGCTTGTGATAATGCAGAGAGAAAGCGATTTGCCAAGAGGCTTTTAAGAGTCTCTGCCTTTTCCCACAATGGAAAAGGTGGTCGCTGACCATTTGCACGTGTTCATTGGAGTCTATGCAAATAAGAAAATAGTCTCTTATACTGTTTTTGAGGGTGAGATTTGAAAGAAGTCCATCCAGGAGACAGATGACCCAGCAAGGTCCATCTACCAACCCTATCAATGTGTGTGTGTGTGTGTGTGTGTGTGTGTGTGTGTGTACTGAAATACAGAGATGCCCTTTTCTGACCATACGCTAGAGCAGTTGCAGGCCTCCTAACCCACAAAGTTAAAACAAGTGACAAACAGTTTCCAGCAGTGACTTTTCGTAAATCCCGTTTGGTCCTTTCTTCTTATGCACTGTTGATTGACTCTTTGGGTGACTGGGTTTTCAGGTTTCTTCCCAAGCCCCCTCTGTAAAAGAAAGCTCTGAAAAACAGCATGAAGGAAGCCTTCTCTGTGTATTTCAAGTTTCTTTGAAGACCTCCTACCATGTTAGTGCATTTTCAAGCTGAAAATACGCTTAAGGCATTTGAAGTGCTACTGAGTCTCTTCCCCGCCCCCGCTCCCCCAGCTTTACTTGGTAACAAATGACTCCCTTTGCCTAATTGTTTTCAAGTTTCCCATTTCCTTTTAAAACTAATTCTTTTCTAGAAAACAGGGAATGTTAGATCTCCGTCTCTGTGCTGCCCTCTTGGTTACACTCCATCCCGTTTGTGGCTTTGCTCCTCTCCAGGGCTAGCTTTATGTCCAGTTCTCTGAGCTGTTTCAGGAAGCCACGGTTTGGGAGAATGCACCGGTGCTTGAGCACTTGATCAATGGCATCAACCACAGTCATGTTCTTGTAAATCATCAGATACGCCAAGACCAAGGCAGCTGAGCGGCTCCGACCCATAGCACAGTGGACCAAAATCTTGCCTGTGGAAGTGAAGAAAAAGAGAGAAACCATTCAGATTTTTTGCCACTGGCACTTCTCCATTTGCCATTGGTGTTGGGCAAATCCAGGGGAGCGGGTGGCGCTGTGGTCTAAACCACTGAGCCTCATGGGCTTGCTGATCGGAAGGCCAGCGGTTCAAATTCGTGCAACAGAGTGAGCTCTAGTTGCTCTGTCCCAGCTCCTGCCAACCTAGCAGTTTGAAAGCACGCCAGTGCAAGTAAATAAATAGGTACCACTGTAGCGGGAAGGTAAACAGCGTTTCTGTGCCCCCATGGCTTATGTCACAGTGTCCCGTTGCGCCAGAAGCGGTTTAGTCATGCTGGCCACATGACCTGGAAAGTTGTCTTGTGGACAAACGCCGGCTCCCTTGACCTGAAAGCAAGATGAGCACTGCAACCCCATAGTCGCCTTTGACTGGGCTTAACCGTCCAGGGGTCCTTTACCTTTACTTTTATACTTACACAGGGTCATATGTGAGTGGTGGGTATGGATACCCCACAGTCTTGTGTGCAGCCACAAGGGCCCCCAGGTGATCCATGCAAATCGGCAGAGGATAAAGTTATCACCCCCTTCCCCACTTATCAAATGGTGACTGAGGAGGGGCAGTTTGCGTCCTCATCAGGCTGTTTGGGTCACCCAACTCAGCGACACACCTACTTAATTTTTTTTTTATCCTTTTTACTGCCCCTTTCAAAAATTGGGTTCTTGGAGGAGGGGGAGAGAAAAAAGCCAGATGAGGCCTTTGCTTGGTCTGGGACATGGGGGTTAACAGCCCCTGGTTTGACAAGGAGAGGGGGTTTGGGAAATTGGAGGTGGGTGGAAGGGAAGAACGATTTGGATTGGGTCAGAAATAGCCGAGTTATTTCTCGTATTTAGATTGGCTTATGATTTATGATATGAATTATTCTGGTATGGCACTGTTCTCTTTATTTTGCAGTTTGACTAGAGAGGATCTGGTCTCCAGACCTTATCCCCATTCTTAACCCTTTAAGCATTCTGCCAGGCTCATAAGCACTGCAACTAAAGGTGTAAGGCTTTCTGGGAGATGATTTATAATGAAATAAAAAAGGTATTTAAATATACCTTTCTGAAGAAACCAGAGGCCTTTCTTCTGGGCATTGTCGGCCAATTGGTGCCAAAGAAAGACAGAACCTTTTTTATGTATGCTACAACAGCAGCAAGAATACTCATTGCAAAGTATTGGAAGACACAAGATCTACCCACTGTGGAAGAATGGCAGATGAAGGTGATTGACTACATGGAACTGGCGGAAATGACTGGCAGAATCCGAGACCAGGGAGAAGAGTCGGTGAAAGAAGACTGGAAGAAATTTAAAGACTATTTACAGAAATATTGTAAAATTAAGGAATCTTAGAAGGATGTTGGATAGAAACTAAGAGCTTTTTAGCTGTAATGCTTTAAGAGATATGAAAAAGGCCTACAATTGGGCAAAAGTTTAATGGTAAGGATTTGCTGAACTAACAAACTGAACTGGAATACAAAAAAGGGAGGTATGAGGAGGTCCGAGGAAATAAGATAGGTTTGGAAAATTAATGTCTTTTTAACTGTTTTATTTTGTATGTTTCTTTTTATCTTTTACTTTTTTGTTATTTTTTTAAAAAAATTACTCTTTTTTCTGTATTTTGTATTTCTTCTATTTTTTGTAACTTTAATAAATATCATTTAAAAAAAAAAAAAAGTGGACACCCCCCCCCCCGGATCGTGAATGTGTGGTAGGGATGATTGATTTTGAAAAGCCCACCCAGAGTCAAGGACTGTCTCAGGTACATGGATTTCAAACTACTCTTGTCTTATTCTGGTCCTGTGGAGGAGCCCTCAGAGAAAGGCTGGTTGGCTGTTGCAGCACCACAGACAGCACCTAGCGAGCAACTGGTGCTTGCAAGGTTTCAAAGTGGATCTGGGCTTATGAAGACTTTGTCCCAGACTCCATTCATTTTTGGGAGAACTAGAATCTCTTAAAGGGGCACACTGTAACATGTGACAAATGCGTGTATCCAGTTCGCCATGTCTACATGTGTGGAGCTCCAGTAGGTGAAACACTTCTGTCCCTTGACCACCGTCGCTTCCACCACTGCCCATGAAAGGGAGTGGGCCAAGCGTTCTGGCAGGATTGGAGCGCTTGCCATGAGCTTACACTATTTTGAGGTCCTGCATTAAGGCAGCTGACTCAAATGGTTAGCTTTTAAACAAGAGGTGCTCAAAGTGGGAGATTGGTTGCCTGCAGTGTTTGGGAGCAGGCTGTTCATGCACTGTCTTCTGCATATACTCGGAGGTTCTTTGATTGCTTGTTCTAGTTTATGTGTCCATTTTTTAAAATAAAGCAGCATAGCCACACATGGGAAGGAGCGGTGCTGAATAGGTGTGATTTAAGTAGGGGCAGATAGGGATGCAGCATCTGTAGTAGCTGCAAGAAATTACCTCCTCCCACCCATATGGACACAGGATCACAGGGTTAGAGAAAACACCCATGCCTGGTGATGGTCTTAGGTTCAGCAGCCTCACACACCATGCCAGTTAGGCCATTGCAGATAACGCCCGGACGGAAGCCCATTTTCCTTACTTGTTTCATTCCGGAGTGCTCTATCAATGAATTCGGCAGCAGAGTAAAAGAACTGGCTAAGATTGAAGGTGGGCAGATCATCTGCCTCCACCCCGTGGTACTCGATGTCCATGTCCCTGTAGTATTCTGGTCCCGTATCTACGTTCCACCGGCCATGGGCTGCGTTGAGGATGTGGGTGAAGCCGGCTTTCTCAAGGCTGTAGCGATCAAGGGCTGTTTTCCTGGGTCAAAGCAATCAGAGGCTGTTAAGCAAGGGCACTGCGGTTATGGCATAGTTCAGTTGGCATGGCATGAGAATCTCAAAGTATAATAATAATAAATAATAATATAATTTATTTATACCCTGCCCATCTGGCTGGGTTTCCCCAGCCACTCTGGGCAGCTCCCAACAGAATATTAAAAACTCAATAAAACATCAAACATTAAAAACTTCTCTAAACAGGGTTGCCTTCAGATGTTTACTAAAAGTCAGATAGTGAGTGGGTGCCACTACCGAGAAGGCCCTCTGCCTGGTTCCCTGTAACCTCATTTCTCGCAGTGAGGGAACCGCCAGAAGGCCCGCGGAGCTGGACCTCCGTGTCCGGGCTGAACGATAGGAGTGGAGACACTCCTTCATGGCTTTGAGACCGACGTTGGGCAAAAGATTCCAGCATTGCAGGGGGTTGCACTAGATGACCCTCGTGGTGCTTTCCAACTCTTTTGTTGTTGCTTAGTTGTTTAGTCGTGTCCGACTCCTTCAGACCCCATGGACCAGAGAACGCCATGCACTCCTGTCTTCCACTGCCTCCTGCAGTTTGGTCAAACTCATGCTGGTAGCTGCATGAACTCTACAGCTCTTTGATTCTGTTATTCTGTGCTGCTCCTTTCTAAGGCTGAGCCGAAGGGCAGCTGTTGCTGGAACAACACCAGAGCTCTCTTGATTCTATGATTCATCACTTTCGTCACTTCCCCACCTCAATGGTACGCTGAACGCAAGCATGATCTATTTCTACAACTGTTTGTGTGAAAAGAGTGCCCACTCAATGCTTTTCACAGCTAAGCTATGGCATAGGCAAGTACCCGGATGGCACACACATTGAATGTAGCGTGTACATCCTTTTTGTATTGGGTGGGATGGCTTACACTTTTCAGTGGAGACTGTTCCCGTCAAGTGGCTGGACCGTGAAATTGCCTGTTCAGGGATGCCTGCCCTAGCTAGTGAGGGCACTCGCTCCACAAGTTAGAGGGAGCCCCGTCGGGCAAAGTGCCCCAGCCCCAGCTGACAAAGCATCACAGTGAGTTAGGCAGGTGGGCAAACATTTATTTAACTAAAACAGATTAATAAGGGCACAGGAAGGTGATTGCCAGTTAGGACCCAGATGCTGCAGGAACTTAAAATTAAGGAAAACTGGGACGTTCTGGGGTCAAATCAGAAACTGGGATGGCTTCTGTAAATCCAGGACTGTCCCTGGAAAAGAGGGACACTTGGAGGGTCTGCAATAGCAGACTTTCTGTTTGCACACTCTTGCTGTTTAAAGGCGGCAAAGGCAGTAGAAGTCCCTTTTGTATCAACTGTAGCTGCAAAAGTACTTTCCCATGAAAACCACTAGATTAGGTAACAGCCACAATAGCCTCCTGGTAATTCCATTTTTGGACTTCCTTGTTGTTAGGGGTTCCTAATATAACTATCTCCGCCCCACCCCCCACCCCAAAAAGAAGTTTGATACATATATTGTGTCTGAATTGATGCTTTCTGGCTCTGGCCTTTAATTAAGGTGCCACGTAGTGAAATCCATGTGTTCTTTTAAAAATACATTTTTAAAAAAGTTTTGCATGATAGGACACCCACTTTTAAATATAAAGCAGTTTTTAAACATTACAAGTTCAATATGAGTATCGGTTCCGAAAAGGAGCCCTGCACCATCTATTTTTAAATATCTGCTTTTTCATAAAAGTGTCCAATTCCTGGCATTACATTCTTGCAGCTCCCCAGTAAAAGACTTTGGAAAGGGTAGCATCCCATGAAACTCGAAGCTTTGTTTATTACATGTCTGAAAGCGCTTGTAAAAGTTTCATTCCTTCTGGGCAGTGTCTACAACAGCATTCTGTTGCAAAAGGAATGAAGGGCAAATTAGATGTTGCACCAAAATGCATGTAAGTTTTGGGTGGGTTTCTTCTTCTCTTTTTAATGTAAAGCAGCTTTGGGGAGGCTTTGATTTGGAGCAGAGAGACAGCATTGCGGGTGTGGGGAGGGAAGACTCCGGGGTGTCTTTCCCACCAATGCTCTCTCACTCAAAATCATCTCTCGCCCAAGCTGATTTTTCTCCATACACAGCTCTTCAGGGGATCAGTATGTGTACAAATTTCAAGCAAATGCTGACATAAAACAGGCAGGGAGTGGTTAGAATTGTGAAGAAGGGACAAATTAGGGCCCTCGTATTTATGGGACCACCTCTCCTGGTATGCCCCGCAGAGGACCTTAAGGTCCATGAATAACCATAGTTTAGAGGTCCCAGGCCCTAAGGGAGTCAGACTATCCTCCACCAGGGCCAGGGCCTTTTCAGTGATGGCTCCGACCTGGTGGAATGCTCTGTCCCATGAGACTAGGGCCCTGCAGGATTTAACCTCCTTCTGTCGGGCCTGTAAGACAGAGCTATTCCGCCTGGCTTTTAATTTGAATTCAGCCTGATCTCTTATTTCCCTTCTCTTCCCTCCCCCTCCCCTTTTATGAAGATCACCCGCTCTAAGACCCCACAGCTAATTCTCCCCTGGTCTCCTCGCTGGCCCAAGTAGGACCAATTCCAGCCAGCTGCCCCTGGGAATTATCTAATTGATTTTTGAATGTTATTGTTATTCATGTTTTTATACTGTGTTTTATGCTGCTTTTATAATTAAGTGTTTTAAATTTGTTGTTAGCCACCCTGAGCCTGGCTTTTGAACCGGGAAGGGCAGGGTATAAATAAAATTATTATTATTATTATTATTATTATTATTATTATTCTCTGATGGGTCATTTTAAGGCCACCTACCAAACCTCTAAACCCTTTTATTTCCCTCCTGCCCCAGAAATACCTTTCAATTATCCTACACAGAATCTACACTTGCATTTGCACAGCATAGCCCAGAGAGGATGATGTCAGAGCCACATTTCCACTGTGATCCAGTCATTACAGGCATAATGCTCTCCATGACTACTGGAGGCCATGTGTCTTGGCATAACTTACTCATCTCCTATGTAGAGGTTGGGCCAGACTTCGTTGACGTGGGTGTACTTTGGGCTGCCTTTCCAGAAGAGCCTCTCCAGGTCAAACGCTCCAGGGGTGCAGTAGTCCCCATTGGGGTCTACTTTGACGGCTGCATAAGCACTGATCTTCCCAGATTTCAGGGCCATCGAAGAGTTTGATGGATGACGGTGGAAACAAAATCCAAAAACCTGCAACACCAAGCAGAAGGTGAGGTTGCTGTTAAGAGACCCAAGTGAACACAGTTCTCCCTAGAGATTATATTGGCATTGTTGTACCTTAGGTAAAGGTAAAGGGACCCCCGACCATTAGGTCCAGTCGTGACCGACTCTGGGGTTGCGGCGCTCATCTCGCTTTATTGGCCGAGGGAGCCGGCGTGCAGCTTCCGGGTCATATGGCTAGCATGACTAAGCCGCTTCTGGCGAACCAGAGCAGCGCACGGAAACACCGTTTACCTTCCTGCCGGAGCGGTACCTATTTATCTACTTGCACTTTGACGTGCTTTTGAACTGCTAGGTTGGCAGGAGCAGGGACCAAGCAACAGGAGCTCACCCCGTCGTGGGGATTCGAACTGCCGACCTTCTGATCGGCAAGTCCTAGGTTCTGTGGTTTAACCCACAGCGCCACCCACATCCCACCTGTTGTACCTTACAACAGGCCTATTAGGACTGTTTTTTTAAAAGGGGGGGGGAATAAGGCTATTTATATGACAATTTTTGACTGATGAAAAGCGCCTCTCTGGGTGGCAATTTTTTTTTTCTTTTTCTTTTTTGCAGCACAGAGGGGGTAATTTAAACTGGAGATTATGGATGAGAGGCATCTCAGCTTCACTCTGCCCTCAGGCGGAACATATGTTTCTGCTTTGACTCTGGAGGAGCTTATAATGAAAAATTTAAAATATTGGCCAACTCAACCTCTCGTCTCTGGAATGAAAAAGCCGAAGCAGTGGTATTGTGAGAAAGGTTAGTCAAATATTGAGGACCTAACATCCAAATCGTTTTTGTGTTTCTGAAGCTTTGAGGTACCTGGCTCTATTCAAAACCTTTTTTTAAAAAAAACAGCACCACACATACCATGAAGTAATTGGGGGTTGTATTTGCCAAACTTTGTGAAGTGCTTAAAAAGAAATCTGATCCCAGCCCCATTATTTGCACTCGCTCCTGTCTAGGGTGACATTTTAATTGGGGTGGGGTAGATGAGAAAGTGCTCATTTCAAGAGCTGTCTAGGATTGTACCTGTTCCCCCTTTCTGAAGTAACCTCCTGGGCCAGAAGTTAGTCATTCTCCATATGTAAAATATGGCTTCCTCCAAGAGAGTCTAACCGGTGGGTGGCTTATGGCTTAGAATGCTCATTGTGAGGCAGTTAAACTGGTCATTTCCACAGCAAACACAATAATATACCTACAGCAAGGCTGCTGATGAGGTAAAGCTAAGACACCCGCTTACCTTTCTTTATGGACCCAAACAATGTCAGACAAGCTCTTGGCGGCTGGACTTGTATGGCGAACCTTCTCCCCTCACAATAATGCGCGTCTACAAACATGGAATTTTGGCTGTGTAGGTAGGACTGAACAAACAGGGTTTCCTCTCAGGCAGGCAGGGGCTGTGAGTGTTGTGTTGAGGTTTCAAAACTCCAATTTAGAAGCAACGGCTGGATTTTAAGGGCTTTGTAAGAATTGATGCTTTTGAATTATGGTGCTGGAGGAGACTCTTGAGAGTCCCATGGACTGCAAGAAGATCAAACCTATCCATTCTGAAGGAAATCAGCCCTGAGTGCTCACTGGAAGGACAGATCGTGAAGCTGAGGCTCCAATACTTTGGCCACCTCATGAGAAGAGAAGACTCCCTGGAAAAGACCCTGATGTTGGGAAAGATGGAGGGCACAAGGAGAAGGGGACGACAGAGGACGAGATGGTTGGATAGTGTTCTTGAAGCTACCAGCATGATTTTGACCAAACTGCGGGAGGCAGTGGATGACAGGAGGGCCTGGCGTGCTCTGGTCCATGGGGTCACGAAGAGTCAGACACGACTAAACAACAACAAGTAAGAAAGCCTGTTGGCTGGTGAAAGCCAGGCTTGTCCATCGTCTCTCCTCTCACTGTCTTCTTGAGCTTCCATTAATTTCGGCGGGGATGGAATAGGGCAACTTCCTGGTAATGTTGTGCCTTTGACTCCTGTAATGGAACCAGATTTCTGGTGTGATGATAATATGATAATTATAATCGTATTACAATTATGGAGCAGCTTTTCAGCTGACTTCCAGAGAAAAGCCGAATGGCATCCCGTTCAAGATGACTCATCCGCTGGGGGAAGATGATCTAAAACATTCTGAGCTGCCATTAGGGCCCTAATTGCTTTGAGTGCCTTGGCAGGAAAGTGGTATATTTACAGACAGGCAATAAATCAATGAAGGGAGGATAGAAGTTGACAGTGAGCACATGGAAACTAATGGCAGACAACAAAATAGGCTGCAGTGTCACTGGGACAATGACGCACAATGAAAACATTTCAAGAAGGATCACACGATGTATGTGTTTCTATGCTAATGCTAGAAGATTGAGCCAAGTTGGGGGAAGCAGAGTGTCTGACATTTGCTTACAGGAAAAAATAAGGCTTCTCTGGGCTTATCAGAGAACACTAGGAGAACAAAAAGATGCTTATCTCTAGATTTAAAATCTATGAAAAGGGCAGAGTATAGTTGTATTGGGTTGAGAGTTGCATTGATATATATGTCAAAGAAGGCACAGAGGGCCATAAATCAGAACTTGTACAAGAAACAGATTTAGCTGTAGAATCATTATGTGTAGAAGAATCAGGCCGAAACAGGAAAATAGTAATACTCCCCTAAACCAAGTTCTGATGGTGATTTACAGACGTTTTAAAAAATCAGAGAAGCAGCTAAAGGAGATCTTATGAGAATGACTTCCACGCTCATCAAATTGATTGCATAAATGCAAATTTAGTTTGTGGTCAAGAGACACATTTGTGTGAGCAATACCCAGGATCTCGTGAAAGACCTCAAATCACTTGGGAACAATGACTTGATTGCTCCCAGATTTAAAAGGTATGTGGATGGGAAATTGTTCAGAAAATTTCATACACTCAGTTAATTTCAGAAGAGGAATTTTTTCAGATCTGGAATCAAATCTGGATCTAGTCAAAAGAGAGCTAAGTCAAATACTATGTTTATGAAGATGGATGATACTTAATTTTAATTAATTAAGTGGTAATATGTTGTATGTATCTTTTTTCTTTTTTCTCTTTTTCTCCTATTTTTTGTTTGTCTATATTATTAATCTCTTCTTTTTTATTATGTTTATCTACTGAAAATAATAAATATTATTTGGGGGGGAAAGAGAGCTAAGTCACAGATGCTATATTTAGCATAGTGTTCAAGGCGACTCTGGCAAAATATATTTAAATACAGTGGTACCTCGGGTTACATATGCTTCAGGTTACAGACTCTGCCAACCCAGAAATAGAACCTCGGGTTAAGAACTTTGCTTCAGGATGAGAACAGAAATCGCGTGGCGGTGGCGCGGCAGCAGCGGAAGGCCCTATTAGCTAAAGTGGTGCTTCAGGTTAAGAACAGTTTCAGGTTAAGAACAGACCTCCAGGATGACTTAAGTATGTAACCAGAGGTACCACTGTACATTAAAAAGACAGGAAACCAGCTGTGGCGTTTGCCCATTCGTTTGAAAATGTCTGTACAGGGTAGAGAGAAAGGGTTAACAGGTAGACCAATAGGAAAGCCGGAGGCGGAGCCTACCTGTTTATAAAAGGGCTTAGCCTGAGGTTTGGGTGTGGTTAGTTGGTTGGTTTTAGTGGGTTGGTTGGTTGGTTTGGAAAGGCAGTTGGAAATGCAGTTGGCAGGTGGTTGGAAATAGACAGTTAGTGCAGTGGGTTCTTGTGTGAGGGGGAAGTAGAAGAGATAGAGACAGGATAAAATAAGACTAAGAAGGTAAAGAGTAACAATGTTTGGAATGCAGTTAATGTTTGTTTGTGTCTGCAGTAAACTACACTCTTCTTTGTTAAGGTGAGAACCTGACTGAGACTAAGTGATTTACTGGGGAGGACCTGGTTGGTGGCAGTGGATTAGTGGTGTACAGGTCAATAGTCCATGAGACGACCGGGGGCTCCGGACGAACGCCACACCAGCAAATAAGAGAGTGGGGCTTTTTGAAGAATAAGGTATGAAAGAAATACTAAAGGAAGAAGCGGAAACTGAATACATGCAAAAAAATCTGTCTCAGTCTTCACTGTGAAAGATATTTGGGAGAGGCCAGCAGCTAAGCCATTGCTTTTGAGGAGTTCACAAAAATAACTGTCAAACAGAGGTGTGATAAAGGATGATGTTTTATTCATGGTTTGGCTGGTGGTCTCCTGGGGTAGGTTTTTCATACCTTGGAAACCAAATTCCATGATACTTGGTCATCCATTGGCTGGCTGGCTGGTTTGCAGAAATTGCATGGGAATATTGAATGCCTTTGCAAGGTAACTATTAGAACAGATTTCATTTCCGTGTAACTTTGACTATCTAGAGCAGGGATGCGGAACGAGAATCTCTCCAGCTGTTGCAGGACTACAGCTTCCATCTCAGATTTTAACTACCGTATTTTTCACCCCATAGGGCGCACCGCCCTATAGGACGCACCTAGTTTTTTTGGGGGGGGGGGCGGAAATAAAGAAAAAAAAATCATTTCCCCCCCAGGCGTGGGGCTGGCGCGGGGGAAGCCTGAGCCTGCTATCCGCAGAGCTGCGCGAAGCCCGGGACTGCAGGCAGCTCTGCGCAGCCCTCGGGAGACCGGCGCGACTTCGCGCCGGTCTCCCGAGGGTTGCGCAGAGCTTCCTGAAGCCTGGAGAGCGAGAGGGGTCAGTGCACACCGACCCCTCTCGCTCTCCAGGCTTCAGCGAAAGCCTGCATTCGCCCCATAGGACGCACACACATTTCCCCTTCGTTTTTGGAGGGGGAAAAGTGCGTCCTATAGGGCGAAAAATACGGTATGCTGGCTTGGACTGATGGGAGTTGTAGTCAAACAATAACTGGAGGGCCATGATCTAAGGTTAGCTGTTCACCAGGTGCACAGCTACGGTACTCCTTGTTCCCTGTTGCTGTCTGCTTTCAGTGCTTGGTGGTCTTGAGTCAATTCAGAGGGCATGGGAAGATGATCTGTTTCCTTCTCTGGCTCAGGGCAAAAGAAGCCTGACCACTTTCCACCATCATAATCCAAATGGACAAAGCCCAGATCACACACCAGCCAATTTGCATTAAATGTGGAGTGCATTGGTGTAGGTGCTGTCTGATCATTTGTGGATTGATAGCTTTGTTTTCCAGGATGGTGGTTGATGCTTCATCAAGGACTCATCCACACTTTACTTGTCCCATGCCTAGAAAGCATGGGTCTGAGCAGTTTTCCACTTTTCCTGTGCTTTCGAGGGATTTTCTAGCATTTTCCCTGCCACTTTCCCTGGGAAAAGCTGTTCTTTACTGCTTAATCATAGCAAGCATCAATCTGCAGAAAACCCTGCTGATGTTTGCTCTGATTCAGCAGTAAAGAGCAGGTTTGTCTGGGGAAAAGCAATGGTACAAGCAGAAGTGTGGATGAGCCCCCATACAAGCTATTGACCTGTGATGGTCTCCTGATGGCCCAGAATTTCTCAAGTTATTAGAGAGAGACCCATCAGGAGACGAAACCCAGCAGTTTTAGAGAGAGTGAGAGCCGAGGGTTTATTTCCAGAGATAGTTGAAACTGGGGGTATTCTGTTGGGGAGGGTGCTATTTTCTGGGGATTTGCTGTCTGTTTTTAGAAGTCATCATGCTTCCTATAAACTTATTTACAAATGCATTGCTTCCAGGCAGCCTGTTAATTGGGCATTCATCCTGATCCGTTTGCTAGGAAGTTGCTGTTGTATTAATTACCCACCCTTCACCCTAAAATACCAGGGTGGGTTAGAACAATTAAAACACAGTATGAAAAACAGTTCAAAACAACTTACAATCACAGAAATAAGGTGGGTCCTAAAAATGCACATCTCAAGGGTCAAGGGCCTGGGAAAAGAGGTGTGTCTTCAACATTCCCCGAAAGCTGTCTAATGAAGATGTCAGGTGCACCCCTGTGGGGACGGAGAGCCACAACTTAGGGGATGCCACAGAAAATGCCCTCTCCCAGGCCACCACCCCACAATCTTCTGAGTGTAGTGGAATAAACAAGAAGGCCCGCTCTGCTGATTTCAGCACCTGAGAGGGTCTGTAGGGATGAAGGTGGTCTTCAGGGTTCAGCTTACTGGCCCATGCCCAGCCCATCACCTCCAAGCAATGGTCTAACACCTCAACGGCCTCAGTCCAGTATATCTGAAGGAGCGTCTCCACCCCCATCGTTCTCCCCGGACACTGAGGTCCAGCACTGAGGGCCTTCTGGCAGTTCCCTCACTGCGAGAAGCCAAGTTACAGGGAACCAGGCAGAGGGCCTTCTCAGTAGTGGCGCCCACCCTGTGGAACGCCCTCCCACCAGATGTCAAAGAGAACAACTATCAGACTTTTAGAAGACATCTGAAAGCAGCCCTGTTTAGGGAAGCTTTTAATGTTTGGTGCATTTCTGTATTTTAATATTTTGTTGCAAGCCACCCAGAGTGCCTGGGGAAACCCAGCCAGATGGGTGGGGTATAAATAATAAATTGTTGTTGTTGTTGTTGTTGTTAGCTGCCTCTCCTGATTCAGGTGAAGATTGAGAGATAGAGCTAGGTGTCATCTGCAAATTGATAGCACTTCCAAATCTCCTGATAACAACGCCCAGAGGCTTCATTTAGATGTTAAATAGCACAGGGGACAAGATGGAACTCTGTGGGGCATCACAGGGCAACTCCCATGGCACTGGACAGCAGGCTCTCATGACCACATTCTGGAAACATCCCAGGAGGTAAGAACAGAATCACTGAATCAAAGTAAAAGGTAAAGGACCCCTGGACGGTTAAGTCCAGTCAAAGGCAACCATGGGGTTGCGGTGCTCATCTCGCTTTCAGGCTGAGGGAGCCGGCATTTGTCCACAGACAGCTTTCTGGGTTATGTGGCCAGAATGACTAAATCACTTCTGGTGCAATGGAACACTGTAATGGAAACCAGAGCACACGGAAATGCCATTTACCTTCCCACCGCAGCGGTTTATCTACTTGCACTGCCGTGCTTTTGAACTGCTAGGTTGGCAGGAGCTGGGACAGAGCAACGGGAGCTCACCCCGTCGCGGGGATTCGAACCACCGATCTCCTGATCGGCCAGCCCAAGAGGCTCAGAGGTCTAGACCACAGCGCCACCCACATCCACCACTGAAGCACAGTGCTCCCAGCCACCACCTCCCTGGGCCGCTCTAGAAGGATATTGTAGTTAGCAATATCGAAAGCAGCTGAAAGAGGGAGGAGAACAAACTGTGCCATGCTGTCCATCTCTCTCCTGGTCAAAGCAATCAACCAAGGTGATGGGTGCATTTTCAGTGTCATGACCAGGCGTGAAGCCAGAGTGGAATGGATCCAAGTCATCGGCTTCTTCCAAGCATGCCTGAAGTTGAACCACCACCACTTTGCCCCGCAAAGGGGATATTTGACTCTTGGTAGTTGTTCAACCACCTCCATCAAGGAAGATTGTATCTTCCCCTTCTCCAATGAAGCCTTAATTACTTCCTGGACCCGTCCAGTCAGCCCCCTATGGCTAGCTCTAAGAAGCCAAAAATGGACAAGGGTCAAGGAGCCAGATGGCCAGCTATACTTCAAGCAACTTGCCCTCCGCATCCCCAGGTTGCAATAATCTAAACTGATCTAGTATAGATTGAACAAACCATGCTCTAAACACACCACTGGACTTGCTCTAGCTGTGGCATCCGGCAATTTTGTCCCTAAAGCGCCTTGCAGAGTTGTCACAGCAGGCTTCTGAGGGGGCCAGAGCGATGCCACAATGGCCACGTTTAGTCGGGTTCAGACCAAATCTCTCTTATGCCAAACCTCCTGTTTCATCGCACCCTTGACTTTCCAGGCAGAAAGATGGCTATTGTTACAAAATGCATTGGCAGGGTGGATTTTGCAAAAGCAACCTACTCCAGCCTGGTATCTTCCAGGAGATGTTAGGTTTCCAGCTACCACCAGTCTCCAGCTAGCATGGTCCATGGTTAGGAAGTAGGTGGGATCTAGTCCAACAACATCTGGAAGTCACCAGGCTTGGGGAGGCTGGTGTAAAGCACCAGGAGGGACAGTTTACCCTGAACTTGCTTCACAAGATAATCAGCTTGGATAGCTCTGTTGGTTAGAGTGTGATGCTGATGATGCCAAAGTTGCAGGTTCAATCCCTGTATGGGACAGCTGCATATTCCTGCATCGTAGGGGGCTGGACTTGGGGTCGCTTCCAACTCTACAATTCTTTGATTCCCTAAGTACCTGTAAAGCTGACTTCACACCTTTTTTTCTTCAGCAACATTGACTCATAAAAGTCTAGCTCCTTGCACTAGTCCTACACTACTAGCGCAAGGTAGAGGGGAGGAGCCAACACAGGGGTCTGTTGTGTCTGCTTCTGTGCCCCATGTACAGATCAGAATGCATGTTAGCTGCTGACCCCTCTGTTGAGGCAGGACTGAGCACTGCCATAGGATCTGTCTGTGCCAAAAGAATTCTTGTGGATCAGGCTGCCCATGCTTAGCACAGCAGATCAGGTATCGGTAGGCTATGGAGAGAGACTGCGTGTTTGAATGCATACCCTCCAACTTCTTGAGTCCCCAGACTGGGATGTGCGTCTGTAATCTGTGCGAGATGATGGAGTCAAAAAGACGTGCTTTTTTGGGGGGACGTGCTTGCGCATGTTGGAGCACTGCACAGGGTTGCGTAATTGCATCTCCCCCCAAAAAGTGCATTTTGGGGGTGTGAGATTTCAGCGCGAAATCACAAGTTCACAGTACTCCCAATGGCCACTGTGCTCTTGCATGAGAAAACTGGATGTCCTGTTCTGTTTTCTCTGGGACACTTGCAAGGCATGATGAATGGGGTGGGGTGGGAGAGCAAGATTCTCAGTTAAGGTCCAAGGGTCATCTTTTGGATATATTTGAGTTTTAAATGGATAATGCTGAAGCAATGCATTTTAAGAGTATTTCTTTACTTATTGTTTCTAGCTCCTAATAACTATAGCAACATTTTGCCAACACGGATCAGTTACCCAATTTCTGTATTAAAGCGGAACCATAGGCATGGCAGGAGAAATAGGAGCAGGTGCAACAACCCCACTGCCCTCTCAAAATGGCACTCCTGCTGTGGAGACCTTAAAGTGCTACTCTGGTTACATGATATTTTGCAAATCCTAGCAACCACCCAAAGGAGCCTCGTGGCTCACTATGTACCTGTCACTTATTAGGAGAGAAGGCAGGCCCTGGATTTCAATATGCTTATCTGATCAAAGATGCAATATTTGCAAACAATGTAGTTTTCATGGCGCAGGGATGACTTTACTTCAGATCTCCCACTAAAACAACGACAGCAACTAAAAATGAATGGAAGATTGATGTCTGAAAATATGCTGCTAACAATCCTGCCGAATTGATTTTCGGTTGATTTAATGGCAATAGCTTCTTTGAAAAGAATCCCCTCTAACTTTCTTAAAACAAAACAAAAAAAAGTTAATTTAATCCTTATCATTCTAATTTCTCAGATATTGTTTTTGGTGGTTGTTTCTTTAGGGGAAGGGGAAATTGTGAAGAGGTTTTTCTGTGTTTGTCTTGTGCAGTTGTAGTTTAAAACGAGTTTGCGTATAATCTCTTTTATGTCACTATTCCTTTACCCTCTGTCTGCATCTCTTCTCTACTCGCTTGTATATTCTACAGGCCAGCAATTTCTTTTTTAAAAATCGTTTTCGCACTTGGTCTTCACTGCCAGCGCATGTGGTTAACATGAAGCCAGTTCAGCTGGGTTGGCTGACATAAGGCATTAAAATTTCCTGAATGACAGACACAAGCCATCTATAGTAGAAGCAGGGCAACAGAATTCGATGTAAGGGAAGGGGAACTGAAAGAAAATAAAGAGCTGAGGAGCAGAGGAGAAGGGAGGGGAGAGCATCTAAAAGATCCCCAGAGTAGATTTTAAAATCTCCCAAAACAGATCTCCGTTTAGCATAAACGATAAAAAGCTTCGCCCAATAGGAAAGAAAGAAGTGCAGCTCATTGTATAATATTTTGGAATGCTGAATGACCTCACTGTATCCCCAAATGAATGAATCTCTAATGTTACTTGTGCCTCTTCCCTGAAATGGTTTTAAGAAGCCAGCAGCTCCTTTGCAAAGGCAGCTAAACGTTCAGTTTCCCCCCTTGCCTGGTTGTCCTCTCCCAGAATTTTTTAAGGGAAAGGGCGAAAAGGGAGTCCAGCATTCTCTCATCTTGCCTTACCTGTGACTTTATCCAGGAGCTGTAGGTAGCGTGGATCTTCGGAGTGTGACAGGGACGGCAAAGGAAATCTTTGCCAACTTTGAAACTGGCATCTATTTTTAGAGCAGGATTTGCTGACTGACCTTGTGTGATACCCACTCAAAGGGGAGAATCTTTACATCTGCTACTAAAACGACTCCCTAATGTGACCTGAAACCGGTGGCCTCGGCAGTTCAGCAACTCCAGGCTGCTGGAGCAGATCAGGGTTCAAGTCAGAGAGGCTCGTGTGCGTGTCGTGCAGGCTCCAGTTGTGTGCAAAAAGGCATATTTGGACCTATGCTAGCCTCGGGTCAGAGGCCATACCAGCTATCCCTTTCACAGTACCAATGGTATGTAACTCGTCGGAGCTGCCAGGGTTGCTCTGTGCCTCCTAACGCTATAAGTCTTTATTATTTATCTATCATAAGAGTCCTTATAGGGACACGGGTGGCGCTGTGGTCTAAACCACTGTGCCTAGGGCTTGCCGATCAGAAGGTCAGCAGTTCGAATCCCTGTGACGGGGTGAGCTCCCGTTGCTCAGTCCCTGCTGCTGCCAACCTAGCAGTTCGAAAGCATGTCAAAGTGCAAGTAGATTAATAGGTACCGCTCCGGCAGGAAGGTAAACGGCGTTTCTGTGAGCTGCTCTGGTTCGCCAGAAGCGGCTTGGCCATGCTGGCCACATGACCCGGAATAACTGTCTGTGGACAAACACTGGCTCCCTCGGCCTATAGAGTGAGATGAGCGTGCAACCCCAGAGTCGTCCGCGACTGGACCTTTATCTTTACCTTTACCAAGAGTCCTTATACCAGCTGGCCCAGTATTGTCTACTTAGACTGCAGCAGTTATCCAGGGTTTCTCGCTAGGGGTCCTACCAAACCCCAGAGCTTGATTCTTTTTAATTTTTTTATACATTTATTTATTTGGTTTTTCAGATTAACGTTTTACAATCACACATACAACATAAAAACAAGATTCCAAAGAATCTCCTGGTCTTCCCTCCTCCTCTTTGTGGGTCCTATTGTTAATCATTTCCTCCTGCATCTTTTATGATAATCTTTTACATCTCCATTCCAGTCATACCTCGGGTTGAAGTAGCTTCGGGATAAGTATTTTTGCGTTGCGCGCTGCGGCGACCCGGAAGTGACGCACTTTGTGCCGCTCGCGCATGCGCAGACGGTCAAAATGATGTCACACGCATGCACAGAAGCAGCGAATCGCGACCCACGCATGTGCGGATGCAGGTTGCGTTCGCTTCTGGATGCGAACGGGGCTCCGGAATGGATCCCGTTTGCATCCAGAGGTACCACTGTATATCCAAAATTCACCATTAAACTACAAGTGTTATTCCAATCCTACTGACAATTTTAAGCGTTTACAGTGGTCTTCAAGGTAAATTATAAATTTCCCCCATTCCTTATTAAAATTTTGGTTTTCCTGATTTCTGATTCTTCCAGCCATTTTTGCCATTTTGGCATAATCCATCAACTTAATCTGCCATTCTTCTCTGGTAGGGACTTTGTCTTCTTTCTATCTCCGGGCCAACGGAGCTTGATCCTTTTTAAATGGTGGGGGGAACTGGAGTGAAGGCAGACTCAAAGGCTTGCCAATATATTGATTGTGGGTGTGATGGTGCTCTTGAGGCCTTCCCCTGCTGTCTGGAAAACCTCTGAGATTGTCCACGCTCTTCCCCAGGGGAATTACCTTCCCCGCCTCTCCTTGAAACGGAAGATGTTGCTCAGCTTCTTTGGAAAACTGAAGTGTGTGCCTATGTACATCCTCTCTTTCTGTCTTTCGGAGAGAGGGGTTCTGATCTGAGAGAGGGAAGAGAGAAGCAAAAGAGGGGTGGCACTCAAAAAATATGTGTTCGTGGTCCTAAAAGGGTTAGCAATCCCCACTCTAGAATTTAGACCTGGTGTTTTGATGATGATGATGATGATGATAATAATAATAATAATAATAATTTATATACCCTGCCCATCTGGCTGGATTTCCCCAGCCACTCTGGGTCCCCTAAGAGAATATTAAAAACACGATAAAACTCTTCCCTAAACAGGGTTGCCTTCACATGCCGTCTAAAAGTCAGATAGTTGTTTATTTCAAATCAAATATGATTGAACGAACGCACCCACAAAAAGTGTATCATTTTCCTCTCCTTTCTGCTCCATCCTTGTAGCCTCTTTCCCATCCAGAAAATAAACATTGCTGAATGTGGTTTTGAGCTGCGGCTTTTCGAAAAGCACAGCCAGGTCCAGGGTGGAATTTTAAAGTTTGATTAGACGTTCTTGGGTAACTGTTATGGTTGGTTTACTAGGCGATCTTCCTTCAGAAGCCAGTGCCGAATACGCCAAGGCTAGGGTCAAGTAAATTGGCTCAACCAGTGAGAGGTTTCAGTGCTTACCTGAGTTCTGTTTTTGTTTTTTTTACTGGTCACTGGAGGCTTATGGCATGTTGAATTTATGTACAAATTTACAGGCTGAGCGTAGGTGGAGGGACAGCTTAACACTCCAAAGTCCAGTGTTTCCCACATCCAAGGCAGCCAGCACCCCAAAAATGCTGGCAAAGCCCAAATTCAGCTTTAACCGTGTGTGTCTGTTCAGAACTGCTCTCTGACTCTCCCAGCAGATACAGTCCATGGATGCACATCACAAGAACAGCCCAAGCTATTAGTCTTCTTTTGTTAATCCCAAGACTCTGGTCAGTTATTATTACTTCATGGCAACCTGAAATTTGAAAGCAGCATTCGTTTAACTCTGCATGCAGTAAACCACTGAGCCTCTTGGACTTGCCAGTGTGGTGTAGTGGTTAAGAGCGGTAGTCTCCTAATCTGGGGAACCGGGTTCGCGTCTCCGCTCCTCCACATGCAGCTGCTGGGTGACCTTGGGCCAGTCACACTTCTTTGAAGTCTCTCAGCCCCACTCACCTCACAGAGTGTTTGTTGTGGGGGAGGAAGGGAAAGGAGAATGTTAGCCGCTTTGAGACTCTTTAAAGAGAGTGAAAGGCGGGATATCAAATCCAAACTCTTCTTCTTCTTCTTCTTCTTCTTGCTGATCAGAAAGTCAACGGTTCGAATCCCCACAACAGAGTGAGCTCCCGTTGCTGTGTCCCAGCTCCTGCCAGCCTAGCAGTTTGAAAGCACACCAGTACAAGGAGATAAATAGGTACCACTGCAGTGGGAAGGTATATGGCGTTTCCGTGCGCTCTGGTTTCCGTCATGGTGTCCCGTTGCGCCAGAAGCGGTTTAGGCCTGCTGGCCACATGACCAGGAAAGCTGTCTGTGGGCAAATGCTGACTCCCTCAGCCTGAAAGTGAGATGAGCGCTGCAACCCCATAGTCGCCTTTGACTGGACTTAACTGTCCATGGGTCCTTTACCTATTACCTTTTTTTACAGTTAGTATACTACAAAAAATGCAAGCAGAAAATGGTGGCTATTACAAAGCTGATGTCCTCCACATACGACATGACTTCCAAAACATAGGAGGGTCTATAGCTCAATGGAAGAGGACATCCTCTGCATAAAGAGAAACCTAGATTTGGAAAGCCCTGGCAAATAGAGCAGCTAATACAGGCTAAATCATGGGTGGACAAACTAAGGCCTGGTGGCCGGATCCGGTCCAATCACCTTCTAAAACTGGCCCACGAACGGTCCGGGAATCAGTGTGTTTTTACATGAGTAGAATGTGTGTCCTTTTATTTAAAATGCATCTCTGGGTTATTTGTGGGGCATAGGAATTCATTCTTTCTTTCTTTTTCAAAATATAGTCCAGCTCCCCACAAGGTCTGAGGGACAGTGAACCGGCCCCCTCAGTGAACCGGTCAGAAAAAGTTTGCTGACCCCGGGCTAAATGAACCAACAGAGTCTCAGTTGGTTTAAGGCACCTTAATGCGTTTGTAAGTTGAGTGTTTATGAAATTCTCTCTATTTCCCTCTCTATCAACAGCCCTTTGTTATGACATTTAAATGACATATTAAGTAAACCACAATTTGAATTCAGATAAAAACATTTTGAAGAGTTGCCCAGATTTTAGTAACCAGCAAGTGGTATAGTTTAGCAAGTTGCAAAACTGGTGCAGGAAAATCACACTGAAAAGGCAAATTTTGCAATGAAAGAATTAGAATAGATTTAGGAGACTGAAGAGCAGTGCAGAAATGCTTCAAACAAGCAAAATATAAAGTATGGTCTATTTTTATTAATGATTGGCATCAATTACAGAAGGGTTTGTCCTTGTTTTGAAATTGTTGTTGTTGTTGTTGTTAAATCAATGTCTTAACGTAGCAACCACATTTAGCTTAAATATTTTTACTAACTTTGCTACTTTTTCAAAGCTGCTGCTGCTCTCTTTAATATATAAATTAAAGTCGAGCGCTGGTTATTCCAACAGGGTGACCAAAGCAAAATTCAGCTAACATCCTGACTCTTTGCTACTTAGGAACGAGCCTCTTAATCTGAGAGTCAGACTGGATGTTCTTTAGGTACCTGTGGCCCTGTGGTTTTATTTATGTGAACGATGAAATGTTCCCATTTTCAGAATTGCAGTATGAATTTTGCTTTTGGAAGCCAGTTGGATTGTATGAGCATGAATAGATTGTGGCTTTTTGTTGTTCTGTTACTGATACCTTCTTGAGTGTCTGGAATATTAAACTGAAATGGATACTCTTGTTTATCCCTTGCTGTCAAAACAATGCATGCTCCTTTTGCCTCTCTAGAATTAAACCAAATGTTTCCGAGTCAGTCTTGGCTCCTAGGGATAAGCATTCTGCTTCGGAGACAATACTGTTTATTACAGTGAACTCTTTCTCTCTCCACCTCTCCTGTTGCTGCCTTGAAAATATGAACAATTTAGAAGCCAAGCTGGTCAAGCGACTATGTTATACCATGTGCCTCCCATTTTCCCCTGCTTTGTCAGGAAATGCTCTCAGATCTACACTTTCTGAAGTTGGACGCCAGCAACTGAGGCATTCTGGCCTAGCTACCCGAGGTTACAAACCTAAGTCTTTGTTGTTCCTCTTCAGACTCCAGGCCAGGATGCACATGACTGAGTACCCATCTATAATTACATAAATACTAAGAAAGGCAGTAGTCTTTATTGTTTTATTGTTTTATTATTTTAATTTTTATACT